TGGTGGACTTTATTTGATCGAATCTCCATTCTCGTTCGTACTGGTCCAACAGACTATTTTGGCCCTGACCTGGCTGGTTTCTAAACCCTCTATATTCCCCTCTCCCCAAAGCTTGCCCGAGCGCAGACAGGACTGTCCCTTTCATCCTCCCGCCGGTTCCTCGTGCTGTTGTGCTTACCGCCACCTGCAAGGCCATTCTCCGTCACCCTAACACGGCGACTAAAGCAATTAAGCATCACGATCCAGCAGTACCGTCACTTTTTCCCCTTTGAAACAACAATACTTTTTCTCTCTCTCCTCGATTCACTACATTTCTTACTTGTTCTTCTTCTTCACTTTGGATCATAACCCCTCACCCCCCTGGACGTATCATTACTCCCTCCCCCCAATTATCCTTTCTATCTCAGCCTCTTGGGAGTGTGCAATTATACGCGACCATTTATCACGCGTCGATCCTTTTCCAACCAATTCCCTCCTCTGTCTTGGATCCGTTCGATCACAACACAACCGTCAACTTTCACAACTACTTGAATTGTTCCAATTCAGCCAACTCCCCTAGAGTCATCTAATAGTACGTTCCAATATTGCCGACCTCCAGTCGAGAAGACAAAAACACAAAAAAGGAAAAAAAAATCCCCTGCGAAGAAAAATTAAGAAAGACGAAAAAGAGTAGGGACAGAAAGAGAGAGAAGCCGTCATTGCGCAAAAAGATCTGGTCTGGTCGTCAAGATCTCCTCGGGACCAGTCTGGCACGTACCCTCCTCTCTCCTCCCCTGTCCCTCAATTAATCACCTCTCGGCCTATCTTTCTCTTTCTCACCAATTTCTTTCCCTTCATCTGTCATCTTTCTTCTCCATTATTTGTTCAATCTTGTTTTTGCAAGCCACAAAGCTCATTGTGTCCATCTCGACGCGTCTTTCCAGGCACGCGAGGCTTTTTCTTCTCTCGCTCTCTCTTTTAGCTTGGAAGAAATCATCAGGGATATTTTGGTCCGGTACTAGCTGCGACCAATTTGTATTATATGGACAACAGACCTGCCTCCGAGTACGCGCAGTCAGGTTCGCACTTTCCATATCCACTGCCTGCCGCGACTCATCATTCTGAACTCCCCGCTGCAGACCAGGCTTCTGCTGCTGCCACTGCTCAATACACTCCTCAACCGGAAGTCCGCCCGACTCCCCAGTACACGCCTCAACCCGAAGTTCGCCCCGCCGCCAATATCTCTTCCTCCAACACACCGCAGTCAGACTACGGTTTGAACCAGCCCGCCGCCGCGCGCTCCCCTGCCTATCCCGAATACCTCGCCCGCCCACCTCAATACCATCACGCGCCCAACAGTCAGCCTGGTGGTGCGGCAGGTATGGCTCAAGCAACAAGTCCGTCCATGACCACCCTCAATAATGGGCAACACCATGACCCACGCAATCATCACACGAACGTGAAGTCTGACGCGGACGTTCCTATAGATCCCTCGATCGCGGCCTCCAGCCCCACATATCCTCCTCCTTATTCGCCTTATCAGCCTCAGGGCCATGACATGGCTCAATACCAGGGTCACCCCCCTCCTCCACCTCCCCAGATGTATACGCGTCCGGAATGGTCGCATGGTTATGGACAACATCAACACGGTCTTCCTGGACCCTACTCCACTCCTGCCACAACGGTTGGTCCCGCCTCCCCTGCTGCGACCGCAGGGCCGCGCCCTGGCCAGGTATGTTTTTGATGATTTTGGCGTCTGTTTCCTAAGGCTTGCGCACTTGCGTGGAATCGTTGTCTTGGTTGCCTCCCGCGTTTGCTGGGGGTTGCGGCGAAAAGAGAATCCGGCCTTTGGGGACGTGGGAAGCGGGCGCGCTTTTTCATCTGTGTTTTTCGTCTTCTTGATCAGGAGCTCATGCGGGTGGCTTTTCCCTTCTAGGTCTATTCATTCGTCCCCATTCCCGGCGCGCAGCAACACAAGCGCCCTCGCCGTCGATATGAGGAGATCGAGCGTATGTACAAGTGCGGTTGGAACGGGTGTGAGAAGGCTTACGGTACCCTCAATCACCTGAATGCCCATGTGACGATGCAATCGCATGGTGCGAAACGTACACCCGAGGGTAAGTTGGTCTCATCTTGTTGTTTCTGCATTGGGCCGAATATCGGGGAGAATCGCAATCCTTGTTTTGGTTGGTCGCAGATAGCTCGATTTGGCTAGTGCGGGTGGCACGCGCTAGTCGTGTTACACTACGTTAGCGCCGCGGATCGCAGTAGCGTGACAAGCCGGCGCGGAGGTTAGGCGTGTTTAGCCTCGCTGCCTTCGTTCTGTGTTCTCGCCGGCTCCGTTGGTTGTCAATGATAGTTGCTGCCTCGACCCTTTCTCATCCACATTGCCTCTTTTTTCGACCAACACTCGCTGACATTCTATTGGTACAGAATTCAAGGAGATCCGCAAGGAGTGGAAGGCCCGAAAGAAGGAGGAAGAGTCTCAGCGCAAGGCCGCCGAGGAGCGTGAGCGTGCTGCCGCCCAAGCGGCCCAGGCCAACCCAGTGGATGCGCCCAATCCTGCGGATCCCGTTCAAGGAGGCCAACCACCAGCGTATGCTGGCGGTGTTCGGCCTCAACTCCCCCCGATCGGTTATCAACCTGCCGATGGCCAGGTGCCCGGGCAGTACGGAGCGGGTGCTGGTGGCATGGTTTATCAGGGTAACGGCCAAATGGCCTACCCTCCCAATTACCCTCACTCCCCGTATGGGCAAGCGGGCCAAGTGTACCAGCCACGTAAGTAGTCATGTCCTTCGTTATGTTTTGCATTGTCAGGACCGGGGGTCAGAGGAGTCATAAAAGACCGCAATGAAAAGAAAGAAGAAGAAAAAAAAATTATGATTTCAGAAAGAAAATTTACGACCTTCATACCCGAATCACTCGGTGACTCTTGACTCTCCGAGGGAAAAAGAAAGAGCCGCAGGAGGTCTGTGGGTCTATTGTTCTACAAGGTCTGTAGCTGATCGATGATGGCTTCACAGAAACCCAATCGACCAGCTACCCGCAATAGATGATCAACTTCCCCTATTTGACTCAGGTTGCATATTCTAATACAATATCTCCTAATCCCGTACCGCCATCCCGGATCTAATCCTTCTTTAAGTCTTTTTCGCACATGATACCATTTCCAGGCCTTGATTGCTTCAGTCAAACAAGAGTGGTCCTGCGACTCACGTTCCTGTTCCAATTATGTTCTTTTGAGTTAGATCGCATGAGAAACCAAAAAGGGGATTGTTTAATTGAGGGTTCGTTGTTTGATGTCCCCTTTGCAGATGTCGGTGATGGAACTGTGACCTGGGATATCTGGCGAGGCTTTCTGCATTAGCTGAGCTCTACTTTTTTGCTTCCTTTCCTACTCTGTGAATTATACGCCTTTGTGTCTCTATACGGCTGTTTTCTTATGTTGTATGTGGCTTATTCCCGTGATGCCTGAATCTCCAACTTACCTTGCTATTGCAGCTCTCTTGTCTGTTCTCGCTTTGACCAGCCTTTATGTTACCCTGGGTGTTGGTCCCCGACCTTGTGCACTATCCATTTTCATATCCTTCTTCTTCAGTCATAGCCTGATGGTCCAATTTTTGCAGCCATTTTTGAGTTCGAAACTGCTTCCTCCGCCTCTACAGATATTGGTGGGTCCCGCAAGCCATGGTGTGTATATTCTTGAGTTGTTCTATGTGCCAGTCAATAGTGACGAGTTGGGCTCGATCAAACACTCTTGTAGCTGCGCCAGTGGAACGGAGAAAATACGGGTGCTAGCGAAGGCTATCTTAGGGCAGACAAAGCTGGGAAATTCAAAGCTAACTGATCCTGCATGTATACGATAGTTCCTGCATTAGTGGGATTCAATATGGCATTATACGGTGGGCAACGTGCAAGCAGGCATCTTGATGACTAGTGTGGTGTTACTGCGGTACGTATGTCGGTGGGCGACTCACTAGTCGTGTTGTACAGGATCAAGTAAGATGGCCCAGGACTACTATACAGTCTAGTACAGTAGTACGTCTTGTTTCGACCAATTCGACCGGAAAGTATGGGGAATTTATTTCCAGAGGTACTGTCCGACTCCGCATAGTTCGAAGAAATTTAGGTTAGCTGTAGTTGAGAACGAGGCGAAGGAGCAAGGAGGGTTCAGGCGCGGAATTTGCCTTGCGGGCCGAGTCTTTAGTTTTCCCCCAAAGTGCACTGAAAGTCTGAAACAACCTAACAGTTTCCTACCATAGTAGCGTGTAGTTGTACTGTACCTTAAGTTAAAAGTATGGGAAGCCGGGAACCCTAAGCTAAACGGGGCATTCCTGGATGAGATCCGAATCGCAGACAAGGCTTTTGTTTTCTGGTCGACTACTAGTTAGCGGCAGGCTCCGAGCCTGGGAAGAAGCCTTACTAGTGCAACCCCCCTCAGTACTAGCGAGTACCTGAACCCTCCGTTCCAGTTACTAGATGCTTACAAGGCGCCCTTTTTATTTTCATTTTTTCTGCCGCCCCCTCCCGGGAACGGCGCGCGGAAAGGAAGGGAAAGGGAGGGGGGGTGGAAATGTCAAAGCGCGTTAAGAGCTTATCGGGCGGAAACTGCTGCCTGAGGTTGAGGACCACCGAGTCATACATTGGCTCTGCCTTCCAAGTTGACAGTCACGCCCCGCCTAATTTGGCTCAAAGGTGTCTCTACTAGATAGAGCTGATCTGAAATTCAGTAGCGCTAGGATATTTTACGGTGGAAGCCTACTCAGTCAGGTCAGGTCTTGGTTTAGCTGCACCCACCGTGATTGGGAAGGGTGGCTCCATTCAAATTTCCGGTCAGTTCCTACCGTGTCATTGCCTCAGGCATGCAATGTACAGAGTTCAGGCCGTTTCGGAGCTGGAGTAACGTACTCCTTCGGGACAGTCACAGAGCTAACCTCTTATGGACTAGCTAGACTGAAATGGATGCGATATTCGCGAGACCGCGGAGTTTGCGGTCCAGACACCGGAGCTTGTTGCCGCGTCGTCTCTCAAACCTCTTTCTTTTCTGAGTTGCTGTTTGGGATTTCAAAGAGTACTGTCTTTTTTGCAGAGTTGGTCTGCCTGGAGAGATCAATCGTTGTTTTGTTCATCTGTTTTGTTATAAGCGTGGAAGGGAAGAAAAAAGCAATTTTAGAAGATTCCAACTTTTGCCTCATCTCCGCGATTTTTTTTTCGCGCTGCTTCTCCGGTCTTCACCTGACAACTCAACCTCACATTACGAACGGAGTCATACTCGAACATTGCCACCGTCGCTGCTGTATTAGCTCACGATTTTCGCTTCCCGCGTCTGATTTCACCTTTAAGCAGTAATCAGACTACGATCTTGTTTCTCCCCCGAACCTACTCAGATGCCGTTGCACTGAAGCACGACGAGTGAAACCCCCTTGATGCGCTTTCTACGACCAAACCCCGCCATCAGAAGACAAATGGCAATGAGACTCTCACTCGGCGCGCAATGCGCTCGAGCTGCTGCCCAGACCAGACGGACCGCCATCATAAGCAGTAAACATGCCTACACCACCATCTCCTGCGCCACCACCACAATCACCAGCAGCAACACTCGGACCCTTCGACGGGCCACTCTTTCCAACTCACATCTACGGCAACAAAACAAAACGTCTTCAGCCGTCACTTGGACCCGAGCCGCCTCTCGAGTCCACTCCTCCGATTCTGTGGTCCGAAAATACTGGCAGGGCTTCCTGGAGCTCCAACCGAAGCCAAATAAACCCCTCGTTATTACCAAGAAGACCAAAGAACTGCAGGAGCTGCTGCTCAAGGTCGGAGAGGTTGGCACATCGCCCCGTCTGCGGCAGTCCGAGGGCTCGCTGGCGGGCGACCAGAGTACGAGGAAGCAGGTGCAAATGGAGCTGAAGTGGCTGCCGGATCCCAAGCGGCTGGCCGATCGGGTAGGCCGGTTGCTGCAGGCGAGGGAGATTATCATGGCCGCGGCCTTGGTGCGCGCGGCGCAGAAGGAAGGGAGGGAATGTATGGTCGCATGGAATCATATTCTGGAGTATTGCATGAAGCAGGGTGCGACGATGGCGGCGTATAAGTTCTACACGGATGTGAGTCTGTTTTACCTTCCTAGAGTTCCTCGTTCTTGTGCAAGCCGTGTATGGTTGCTGGGCTTCGCCGTGCGCTGTGTTATAATTCCTGGCTGACTTGTCTCGTCTTCTTTGCATTGGCACAGATGAAAAAACGTGGACGCAAACCGAACGCTTACACCTATACGATCATGCTCAATGGTTTCAGTACCTATGTGCCGGACCAAGATAAAAAAGCGGACGCCGCGGCGCGTGCGAAAAATGTGGATGCTGCAATGCGTGTGTATCGCTCCATCGAGGAGAATCCGAACGTCGAGCGAGACATCATCCATAGCAATGCTATGCTTAAAGTTTGCTGGCTCCAGCAAGACATGGATACCTTGTGGCGGGTTGCGGGAGATCTCCCCGAGGAAGGGCCGGGTTCACCTGACGCTCACACCTACACGATCATTCTGCGAGCCATCGAGAGTCGCCTGCACCGCGAGGCCGCGAATGTCCCATCGAGGCATGTCGGTCCGAATTGTGAGAAGAGAAAACCGGCCATCACGGAAGGCAAGAGGGTTTGGGCGGACGTCGTCTACCGTTGGAAAAAGGGCCAGCTCGAGCTTGACAACAACCTGGTTCACTCGATGGCTGTGCTGCTCTTGCATGCGTATAGTGATTACAATTGTTGGGAGGTGCTCGCTTTATACAATCAAACGGCGGGCCTTCCCATTCTTGCAAACAAGCCGTCGCCGCTCGACGTTTACCACGACAGGTGGGCAGACAGACGGATGGCGGCAAAGGGCCTTGGTGGGTACAAGCCGGAGCATCTCCCTTTTGTCAATCTCAACAATGAGCCAGTCGATGCTGAGGCTACCAAGGATTCGGAATCGACTGAAGCAGATGACGTGGAGGGAGTCGAGGAGGAGAATTTCGACCACCTGTTTGACCCGGTGAATGAAGCCACTGGCCCTTCAGCCCCTGCTCTAATCAAACTCGGCAACCGGGAGCTTGACGTGGTGCTGGAGGCTTGCCTGACCATGCAGCAGGGAATGGGGCCTGGAAAACAGTACTGGAATTATCTGACGCGCGATGGCCACTCCCCCCTCATTGAGCCTGATGCGGCATCTATCCACCAATATATTCGTCTTCTTCGCTATAGCCGAGCGTCTCGGGAAGCCCTCACGGTGATTCGCGATCAGATGGTGCCCACTGGAACCGTTGACCACAAAACTTTCCACATCGCTATGAGTGTCTGCCGGCGCGATACCCGCAATGGGAATGTCCTGAATATCGCCGACGAGATGCTCGACGTCATGGGGCGTGCGCTGGTCCTCCCGGAGCCGCGTGCTTTGGTAGGTTACCTCGAGCTCACCCACGCCTTGAAGGAAAACCCTCAAGTCCTTTTGTCTTTGAACGGCCTCCAAGGTGCCTGGAAGCCCAAGGCGAACAACTTCCAGGACCATGGTAGGAGCTTGCATGCCGGATTAGACCTGCACACTGTTGAGCAGGTGTACCCTCACCTCATGAAACTCGAGGAAGCTACTCTACCGTATTTGCCGAAATTGGAAGAATTCAACACCTTGACGGTCCCTTCGCCTCACAACTCTGACTTGACCCACGGGCTGTATGGCGCGAAAATCGCTCAGGCGATGACCGAGACAGGGCGGTTGATCGACGAATTGCTGAGTCGGGCTAAGCAGTTCAAGTTCCTGAGCGATAAGAAGCGCAAGGAATTGCAGGCCAAGCGGGCGGTCCTGAAGAAGTACTCTGATGCCCGCATTCACGCGGCTCTCCAGGAAGCTCGCGTGGATGCGACTGCCAGCCAAATTGAAGCCTTTGAGCAACAGCAGGAGGGGTCAGAGCAGAAGCCTCGGGAAGAGTCTCAGCAGGAGAAGCCCCGACAGAGAAAGCAGAGGCAGTCCCGTCATGAGAAGCCCCAAGAGGAGAAGCCTCGCCAGGAGAAGCCCCAGGAGGAGAAGCCCCAGGAGAAGCCCCAGCAGGAGCCCCAGCAGGAGCCCCAGCAGGAGCCTCAGCATGAAGAGACTCGATTTGTGAATGCCAAGGAGCAATAGTTTCGACACTGTACAGGATCATCATCACCTCTTTTAACATTTACTTTTGTCATTCATAGCATCTAGAGGGCGTTGGTACATAGGTTTTCACTTTTCTGTACGATACTGGCATGGTTAATCTCCCCTGTATAGACCACATAGACACGTGAGGTCGCTGTTGGAACAAATTCATTTACTACTCTAACAGATCAACATGTAGAACCCAGGGGATCAGTTGTGATGCGTCATGTCAGTCGGAGAATTATCCAATTGATTGAGTTGATCTCTCCGCCTGCCGCTTTCAGCCCGTGCTGCGTACGTAATGAATGCCACTCTAGCCTCTCCGCCCGTCACAACAATCATTCCATTCCATTCACCCCCAATCCGAGCTATAATTTACGTTTCTCTCTGGATACAGCCGGACTGTCCAGGTTATCATCTGGGGATTGCGAAGAAAAGGTTCCTTGGTCTTCGTCGTGGTCCAATTTGTTGAGCTACCTACCTATCCAATTCCCGAATTCGGTTCCTGAACTTCCCATTCGGACCCAAACAGCTCACGGAGCCCGTTTGTTCCTAGTTACGATACAAGCATCAACTCCCCTACTTGCCAACCATGGCCAGCGCACAACCTCTGTACACCCACGGGGATCTCCGTGACGATGAATCCATTCTGGACGATGACATGATCGAGTCCGACGAGGGTGAGTTGCCTGCCTTTGTCTTGAGTGATTGGCCAAGGCGTTCTCTCCAGAGCTAACCTCCAGCGCGCGCGCGGGCCTGTTCCGCACCGCGCATCGGCAATGCTCTAGCTATCGAAGCCGATGATCCTCTTCATGATACTACGGACCGCACCCCCCTCCGCGGCAACATCCAAGGGGAAGCGTCCAGCAGCTCCCGCGGCGCCAACCTCGCGGGGAATTACCTCACCTCATCAATCCCCGGCGAGGATCGTCGCGCCACCCAGAGTACCATCGATGAGACCGTGTGGGAGACCCTCTCGCGGGACTTGCGAGCCGTGTGGGAGAAGATGCGCCAGGTCCTGTGGCCCAAGTACCTGATGGGAGGCATGTTGCAGCGGGGCGGCGGCGGACTGGCGGCGGCGGAGCGCGGGGAAGCTACGGGGTTCGGCGGAGGTGTCCGCAATCTGGTGGGCAGGTGGCCGGATGCTGATGTCGTGCTGCAGGGGGGTATGAGTGAGGGGCTGCGGGACTGGGATCTATGGTATGCTTTTCCTTCTGCGGCGGGCTACGATAATGACTGACTTGTTTGGCTCGAATTTTAGGGGACCGCTGATCTTCTGCCTGCTCCTGAGTATGTTTCTGTCTATGCGCGCCAAGGGAGAACAGTCGTCCTTGGTGTTCTCGGGGGTGTTTTCAATTGTCTGGATTGGTGAGGCTGTGGTGACATTGCAGATCAAATTGCTGGGCGGGAATATGTGAGTTGCTTCTTCCCTGTTTCTTATAAAGGCATGTGCTAATGCTGGTGTGTCCTCGTCTTTTAGCTCCTTCTTCCAGTCGGTCTGTATTATCGGATACACCTTGTTCCCGCTGGTGATTGCGGCTCTGCTCAGTGCGCTGGGTCTACCCACTATTGCGCGCATACCGGTCTACTTGGTACTGGTGGCGTGGTCGCTGGCGGCGGGCGTGAGTATCCTAGGCGGCTCCGGGGTGGTGCGCAACCGGGTCGGAATTGCAGTGTATCCATTGTTTGTGTTCTATGTGGCCATTGGGTGTCTCTGCTTTATTAGCTGAAAAGCTTGAGTTAGGTGGTTGGGCGGTGGTGCTGAACAGGGAGGAACTATAGCCAGGCATAGAGAAAGAGGGGGCGGCGAATTGTCTGGATGTCTGATCATTTTCTATTTGATACAGACCAGTGGAACGGACTGTTCTGTGTTTCAGAGTAACATTTTCTTATGTGACAAGCGTTTGTTTCTCCGTGCTGGACGTAGTGGTATTGTATAACCTCTTATCGTGGGCTGCGGCGGTGTGTGCGTGCGAAGAACGGCCGGGAACAGAAGAAGAGGCGCCAACACAACAACAGCCCGGGCCATCTCATCTTCCAACTACTTCATCCTCCGTCGCTCCCTCCAACTCACCCCGCCCGCACTTCGCCTGCTTGATTGCTTGCTGGCTACTCGACACCGCTGGCTGTGTCTCTCTTCTTCTTTTAAATTACTTACTTATCTTTCACCACCCCTTCCGGGTATTCCCTCTCGGTGCACACAGACGTCAGCTCCTCAGCCCACCCTCTGGTATCGACGGAGCGAGCAGCTTTCGTGCGATCGTGAACCAGCTCTGATCTACAACTCACCCCGACAGCTTCTGCGCGAACACCAACCTCAACCCCTCATTCTAATTTCCCTTTTCTATAAGGCCGTTCTCTAGGTAAGTCATACTTGGGGCTCCCCGCGGATGGAGGACGACGATCACATTCAGGAGTTCCCCTCCATTCCCTTCCCTACCCGCAAGCCCAGAATGCTGCGGGCAGCGCCAGTCTCTTTCCCGGAAACAGACCAAGATAAGCCTCGGCCTCTGGCCGATTTTGCCTCCGGGCTCAGCTGGCCAGGCGGGTTTGAGTCCGTTGCATTTCATTCCATTTGCTTCAAGCTAACCTCGATGTCTCCTGTGTCCCAGTCCAACAGAATCTGCGTTTGTTTACGGCCCCGGTCTCTCTGTTTACCACGTCACTACCCGGCGATCGCCGAATCCCAAGTTTCCGAACAGACACGGTTGTCTCCCCCTCCGATTGCAACATTTCGAGTTCCACAGTCCCAACTTTGATTTAAGATGGCGTCGGAGCAGCAGCAGCAGCAGCAGCAGCAGCATGATATTGGGGCACAAGGTACAATCCGATCATACTAGAGCTTTGTCTCGTTTGTGCGGTTATCCTGACATTGATTATTCTTGTTAGTGGGGGAAGCTCCCCAGAGCTCGGTTAGCGCTCAGGGTAGGTTCTGTGGAAGTCGTGAAATATCTTCGGAGCGACTACTAATCCTACACTCCAGTCGCAGAGGACTCCCAAGCATCGGATAACGACGGCGGAGAACGACCTGTTCGCAACAAGCTCAAAGAAACGTCCATCACCTCGGTAAACAAGGCCGACGACGCCTGCCAGGAGGACAGCGAAACCAGCCGAGCGAGCAGCCGCGGCCGTAAGCGATCTTACGACGAGGATCAACCCGAGAAAATGGAAGAGGACTCGGGTCATCGCCGGAAGAGATCGCGCGACTCAAATACCGAGGAGGAGAATACTGCTGCTGCTGCCACCACCACCGAAACGGAGTCGCAGCCAGCGGAGGACCTTCAACGCAAAATTTTGAGCCCGAAGAAGAAACGAAGTCGCGATCAGTTGGATAAAGACGAGACGAAGCCGGCCGAGGCCACGGAGCAGGTCGAACAGTCGACCGCCGACAAAGAAGCCCCGACAACGGAGAAGTCCGCCGCTGAGGGCGAACCCGAGAAGAAGAGACATCGGGATGATTCGCAGGAGCGGGAAAAGGTATGTGTTCAATCCGAGCTTGTGCCTACATCGATTTAACACGGCTGTAGGTTTTGATCCCCAGCGGTTTCGCCAACACTTCGTCTGTGTCACCTTTTGGTGTATTGGGTGCGGGTGCCAGCAAACAAGAGTCCGCGGACCCCAGCGCAAAGTCCTCAGCAGCCTTTGCGGCATCTGGCTTGGCGGCTTTTGCCAAAACCGATCAGTCTCCTTTTGGCACTTTCGGTAGCTCAACCTCCTCTGTCTTCAAGTCGCAACCGCCTTCAGACGCCAGCAAGCCGGCTCCCACTGGATTTGCCGCTGCGGCTGGTAAGTCCGGCTTCGCTTCCCTGGGAGCCGGGTTCGCCGGTTTCAGTGGTGGCTTTGGATCCGCAGCCCCTAAGAGCGCGATTACGAGCCTCGCTTCTCCCGTAACTCCCAGCGTTCTGGGTAGCAAGAAGCCCAGTGCTTTTGGACAGCCCGAGAATGAAGAGGGCGAAGAAGGCGATGCAGAGGAGACCAATGCCGGCCCGGGCGAGTTTGAGCAAGACAAGACAGACGAGCGATTTTTCGAGCGACCCAGTAAGTTCCACGTTGAAGCGGGGGTTACGTCTGCTAATTCCGTCTAGTTGAAACCGGAGAGGAGAACGAGAAGACGTACTTCTCGTGCAAAGCGAAACTCTTCCAATTCAGCAACAAGGAGTGGAAGGAGCGCGGCATTGGCACATTCAAGGTCAACGTACGGGTGACGGACGGGGTGGAGGACAAGAAGGCGGCGCGGATGATCATGCGCGCCGACGGAGTGCTGCGGGTGATGCTGAACACGCCTATCTTCAAGGGAATGACGGTGGGCGACGCGACAGGACAGCCGCCCAAGTCGAAGCAGATCCATCTTGCTAGTCTGGAGGAGGGACGATCAGTTCCGCTTTTGCTGCGGGTGAGTATGCGTTTTGCGGTCTTGCGGTCAGTTGAGGAATTTAACTAATGACTTCTAGACGGGTAACGAGGAGTTGGCTAAAGAGCTGTACAATGTGGTGAAGGAGCTGCAGTCGCATCAGTAGGTTGCTGCTCTGAGGGGGGGCGGTTTGTTGCGGGGGATGAATTCGTCGAGGAGGGAAGATTCACACGACTGGATACAAGCGTTGGAGGGAGGTTGGTTACACACATCTTGGAGGGCGATAGACCCGGTTTGTGTGTAGGATTCAAGCCTTGATACTGTGGATAGGTATTGATAATGCATTTTCCTATGTTTTGTTGTTATCGAAATCGGGGGGCCAATCGGGCCGTTGGATGAGATCAGTAGGGGTAAAAACTACCCGGCTAGTAACTTAACTACTAGGACTAATGCTGGTAGTGCAGTTGATGTCAGCGTCTGCTTTTTGGGGGTAATCCTTGTTTCGAGTTTCTTCTTGCCACAGCATAGAGTCAAGATGCCTCGCCGGGCTGCGCCTGAACATTTGATCGTCCATCAACATCATGGCGAGAGTCACGAACATCAGCATCAGCGTCAGCATCACCTCCACCTGCATCTCACCGACGTCACAGGTGCAATCCCATTCTTCAATCCGACTCACGCCACCTATCGAACCTCCTCTTCCAGCCTTGACTCTACCCCTACCTCCTCCTCCTCCACCACCACCACCACCACCACCAACAAGATAAATCATAGAAACAATACTACTAATACTCCCAACAATGTATACCGCCTCTACCGCTCCCGCGACCACCGCAAAGGCCGCCACGCCCTCGGCATCGCCGTGAATCATAACCACCAAGAGTCGAACCCAGAGGACCAAACACCTGCAAGAAGTTCCAAAACCACTACCATCCCAACCTCATCCCTGAGATCTACACAGAGAGCCTCCAAGATCCTCCACAACCTCAAACGAATGCTAACAACCTACCCCTACTGGGACCTCTCCTACCTCGTCGCCGTGGTGTTTACCCTGGGCTCAGCCATCTGGATCATCAACGCGTTTTTCGTCTGGTTGCCGCTGCAGGATCCCTCGACGAGCTTTTCGGGGGAGGAGGTCGTTGGGGGCGGGTGGACGGCTTGGGTGGGCGCGGCGGTCTTTGAGGCGGGAAGTGTGGGGTTGATTCTTGAGGCTTTGGGTGCGGTTGCGGGGTCTGCGTCGGGGGGAAGTGGTGCGGGAGGTGAGTCTGGTGGTGGGAGCGCGGGTGCTAGATCTGGGGATAGCGAGTCGAGATTAGGATTGTGTTGCGGGTGGGAGGAGGCCCCTTCGACTACCCCCTCGCCTGCATCTCCTGCCTCATCTCCTGCCTCAGCAGAAACCCCCGAGAAAGAGTCCCAGGGACGTACCGGGGAGGCAACTCTCATCCTCCGACCCAGCCCCCAAAGCTGCACATGCCACCACTCGAACCGCAAGAGTATCTTGCCATCATCCCTCATCCGGATCCCCACCCATCCGGATCAGAATCAGAATCAGAATAGGATCAAGTTCCTGGTAGTAGACGACTACATCCACGACTTGGGCTTCCTCGCCTCCCTCACGCAGCTCGTCGGCGCCACCATCTTCTGGATCGCGGGCTTCACCGGCCTCCCCGGCATTATCAACCACATGAGCACCGGGTTAACGAACGGGGTGTACTGGGTGCCGCAGGTGGTGGGTGGGGTGTGTTTCGTGGTCAGCGGGGGATTGTTCACGCTGGAGACGCAGGAGCGGTGGTTCCGGCCGGCGTGGGGGACGCTGGGGTGGCATGTCGGGGTGTGGAATTTGGTGGGCGGGGTGGGGTTCACGCTGTGCGGGGTGTTTGGGCTGGCGGGGATGCAGTATCAGGCGTGTTTGGCAACCTTCTGGGGGTCGTGGGCGTTTCTGTGGGCCTCGGGGTTGCAGTGGTATGAGAGTTTGGAGAAGTGGCCGGTGGAGAAACGTACGAGTCTGCATCGATGGATGGATAAATAAATAAGTAAGAATGTTCACCTGATTCAATTTCAATCCTTCACTCGCTTCTATAGGGGGAATTAAAAAACTATGACGCCAAAACAAGCAGAAACAAAACCAATGTATACAGACCAGACCAACCCAACTCCGTACAAATACTCCAGCTACTGTGTCTTGATCAACCAGCCAACACACCCGATCGCTCCGCTGCCCAGCATCACTGTCAGAATCCACGCCCCCGCGCGATCGGCCGTCGTGATGGGCTTGGACTCCGACGGGTTCTTCTCGTCCGCGCTCGTGTCGATGTGATGCTCCGTTGCGTTCGGGTTGGTGTCGATCGTCAGCGGCGACTGGCTCGCCAGCAGCATCAGCTGTGAGGTCACCCCACCCAGTGCGCTCATCTGGACTTCCAGTCCCAGCTCGCCGTCCCACGAGGGCTGATACCATCGCACGCCGCACAAGTTGCTCATCCCCTCCGCCGTGCCCGAGCACTGCAAGTTGATGGCCTCCACGGATCCCGCGAGTTTCGGCGCAATGAGATCCCTCGTGGACGGCACCAGGATAGCCGTGAACGCCAACCACATAGCCACGTAACCCTTGAAGCAGAGTTGATTGCGATCGCAAGACAGAATAGGCTCGCACGCGACCTCAGAGAGCACCGATCCGTTGCCGTAATTGGTGCTGCTGAACTGGGCCGGAAAGAATTTCGCGAAGGTTGAATCGAGCAGACGGTTGACGCGCTCCTCCCACACGGCGCTGCCATTGGTCTAGCAGTCATTAGCAAAGAACTCGGAACTTGTCGTCGGCCACTACCTACGTAGTTGTACATAAAAGCCGCTCCCGATAGATACGTCCCGTAGTTGTAAGTCCACTGGTTGTTCCCGGCGTCCTTGCAGTTGGCCTCGTTGGAGGTTGAATCGGCGATGTTCCAGATAGTAAGGTTCGTGTTGAGCAGTGGCGTCGTGGCGGACCAGTCCCAGATCTTCTCTGCCCATTCGGCATACGTTCCATTCTTGGTAAAGCGAGCAAGGCGGGCCGATAGCTCAAACAGTCCTCCGTTCGAGATGGCGTTCTTCATCGTATACCCCGCCTGGTAAGGCCAAACCTGCCACCGCATGCCTCCATTGCAGGTCTGGTTATCCCAGCGATTGACCTGCATGTTGAACACGGCGCGTGCCAGCGAGGTCCAAGATGGTTTCCCGTCTTGCTCCGGTAAGCCAGCCTCGGAAGCAGTGATGGCGGCCAATCCCCAGAACATTTGATCATCGTTACCCTGTATTGAATTAGCCCAGCACTGGTCGCGAACAAGGTTGCCGAGGAGCAAGTCGTACCAGCCACTGACTATAATTGGCCGAGAAAAAGTCGTAGTTCTCACCGGCCTGGAACATCAGGTCATGCGAAACGACCGAGTTGTAGGTAGTCACGCCGGACGCGTGCCAGAACTGGATCAGGGTCATGAACATGCTGCCGGCAATGTACCAGGTGTCGGTGAGTTTTCCGGGAATGCCTTCCGTCTGGTTTTGCTTGTAGAAGGTCATCATCGGGTCGGCGATGGCCGTGCCGGCAGTCGCGAGGGAGTCTGTGAAGCATCGCGGGATGAGCGGGACAATTCGGTCTAGGATGTGCGGAGCACCTACTAGCATCGTTGACTTGGATATTGAGACTGGCCTGAACTAGGCTGCTGACCATGAACAGCCAGACCGGAAGCCGTTGAAGGCAGTGCGGCGATAGGGCACGCATGGTGGGAGTGGCGCGAGTATGTCTCGTCGAGATGGACGGGAAAGAATGTAAGGGAAGAAGAGAAACCACAGCAGGCAATCATCAGGGAAGAAAAGCAGGTTTCGAAGGCCGAATAAAGGGGGGGGTGTCGTTGTTGGACGGACTGAGACGCCAAGGGTGCCAAGGGAGGCATTGGCACGATCAGCCAAGAGTCGTATTTATGGAACACAGCGAGGGTTGGAAAGATGCCAGACGGGCAGCAGGAATGACCTGTAACCACCGAGAAGTCCGAGAAGGAAGGACCTGAGACTGGTCTTGGGGAAGGAGGAGGAGATATGGGGTGGTTGGATGGCTCTGCTATTCAGGAACGCAACAGGGTCCAGTCCCTGAATTTCCCCGGATCTGGAAGACTCGCTAGGCTGAAACCCTTGCAAGGAACCCTGGCTGTCTGACAGCCGCCCTCAGATCTCTGTGATCGGTGAACTGTGCACATGGTCCGAGCTGAGTCGATCATGGTTGTATATTGATGAGTGAGGCAATGTATTGTGACAACAGCCGATGAATGAAGGTGAGGAGGAGGCAGCACCAAAAACCAGGATCGACGGCTAAAGGACGACCCGCTTCTATACTTGCCGTTTCTGGTTAATGCTGAGTACCGGGAGACCTGGAGCAAAAAAACAAACATAAAAAAGATTCGACCGGGACGCGACTCGAACGCGCAACCTTTTGTGCCGAAAACAAACGCGCTACCATTGCGCCACCCGGCCTGTTTTGATGCAAGTACATATCACGCTTTGCCATATATTCAGCTTTGACACACCTTCCTCAGCTGAGCAAGAGTCAGTAATCAACATCACTCGTATATTTCTTCGAAGCATCTGACTAGTTACTGATATCTTGTATAAATTACATTCACCAGGGACGGCATAAATACTGGACAACCCTTGGATATACTATGCGGGCCGGATACAAGTCCGAAAATAGTTGATCTACATCAAAAGGTTATTATATATTGCATGCCGTGCTCTATACATAGCACCAGCGGACAGCGGTCCGAAGGCAAATATTGCGAGATAATTCGCCCGAGGGTTGCACAATGTCCGCCGCGAGGTTATACGAGTCCGCGTCGGCCCCGTCTTCATCAACAATATGCATAGGCTGCCCCAGCACCAAAACGACTGCCTCATCAACAGGTCGGGTATCCAAGAAGCAAAATATAAATAAATCAAGACAAGGCAGGAGAAGGCGTGGTCAGGGGGTAAAGCATCTCAGCTCAGCTCAGCAGCTGGCCAGGCGAAGACGGGGAGGACGGCGGTAACCATGGGCATCTCGCCAGTGGCTCGGAAAATATGGCGGTCGTCGGGCTCATCCGCAATTTAGCCCAACGGTCCGAGACGATCTATAGTAGGATCGTGATATAGCATTACTGTGGCGTGCGATCCAACATCGGCATACCCGTCTATGTGGGTCGTGCATCTGCGGCAAGAGGAACCGAGGCCGGGCTGGTATCGCTCTCCGTATCATCGAGACTGATATTCCAGAACAACCCTTTCATGTCGCGCACATCCTCCCGGAAGTTATCGCGGGGATGAGTGGTGCGCTCTTCAGTCATGGCGCGGACTTCTCGGATGAGGTCGGGATAGTTCTCGTCATTGGGGAGCCACCACCGGTCAATCTCCGGCAGTTGCCAGAGCGCCGCCATGGCTGATCGGAACCGGGCTGCGACAACATAGCTTGAATCTCGTCAGCTTCCATCAGCTTCGCGTGAGCCGAGTACTCACCCCTGTTGCTCCAAGGAAGCGAACTTCCGCCGCGCCCACATAATATATTTATCTTCTCGCGGAAGGAACATGGCCGCCATTCCAACACTGTTTTTGAATGCTAAAATGGCACCATTCTCCTTGCCCGGCCAACGATCGACGGACTCCATCAAACGACACTGCTCCAAAGAGAGATCCGCTAATTCTGCCATGGACGTCTGGCGCAAAGCCAGAAACGACTGATATTTGTACATGGCCTTGGTGGATAGATAGTCGATCCAGACGAAGTTGGCCTCCCACAGGGGGCCACACTGCATGCCACCGGGCACATATGGGTCCACGATATCGTCCTCTGTTAGTGGTACACGATGGGGATAGTCTTGAACGGTGTACTCGGAATCCTGCAAGCGAACTAGGATAGCCTTCATTCGTTCCAGGGTCTGTCCCAGGAGTTCATTTTGCACCATGAACTCCTCGATCGGAATCATGCCCCGTGATAATTTGGCATACAGAGATGCCATCTCTAGTCCAAACCGACGATTGATGGATGAGGCCCAAGCCAGTTGTTTGTCTACATTGCTTGGATCGTCGGCTGCTTGCTGAGCGTCGTACTCCTCTTTCGCAACATACCAATCTCGGCTCAAAATGGCTTCGTTGCCCGCCAAAATGCCCGCCACCACATCGAATCGTGCATACCAGAGGAAAATATGTTGGTGAAGCTCGTTCGTGTTGATCGATTCGGTAGTCAAAAGTTCTCGCATCAAGGCATGAGCTGCCTGATGATGGTCAATGAGATTAACCCAATCTCCGACGAACTCCTACGAATCAAATTCAGTATGATAAATCATGTGGGCATGATCACTAGGAATCTTCGTCTTACCTCGAAGGTGGTGAGCACCAGCACGGTAGCTAACGTGGCCTCGCTGTGTGGCTCGCCCGAGCCTAGGGATTTGCGTAGAAGCGTGAGAGCAGCATTATAATATTTTAGAAACGAGTAGAGCCGGCCTGTTCCGGTCTGCACGCAATGGTGGTATGCCGAGAACCCAACAATGGCATACAAAAGTGGTTCGTACTGCAAGGCCAGTTCCACTATCATATGACGGACAAAGATATCATTAAATGGTCGGAGGAAATAATGTCGATATGTGATAAAATCGCAATGGTAACGAAGGTAAAATCGCAGATCATCCGAGACATGGCTACGAGCCAACAGACTCGCCGTTGACTCCACTGGATGAACTCCCAGACTCGCCGACCGGGCGCTGAGAAATTCAATGTGTGAAGAAGCCTCGGTGGAAGGCGTAGGGGATATGCTGGGTTCAGTACGCAATGGCGTGGCGTCCGATGCAATGAAGGAGTTCCCTTTGCGGCGCCTTATCGATGGAGCGCTTTGTTTCTTGGGCAGACCTGCCACGGGTCGCGCTGCTGCCGTTGGGGTCTGACTTAGTGTGGGAGACAGATGCACACTAGAACCCACGCTGTCCGCATCTCCTTCCCCCTCGTCTGCTATTGTCTCCAATACACGCACGTCGTCGGATTCGCGAGGACTAGTGGACCCCTCTGCTGCGCGAGCTGGGCTGCTGCGGGCCTTGGAGGTGCTGCGGGTGCTGGCAGGCTTGGATGCGCCCGGAGTATTGGTAGACGGATACACACAGTCACGATTCCCTTTGCGACACCTGTCACAGACAGGACGAGTTTCATCGCACTTTATACGACGGGACCGACAGGTGAAACAGCCGCTGCGGGTACGCTTGTGCTTCTTAGAATCGGGGGTTGGTTGCAGCAGCGACTGCGGCTTTGGAGGAACCGACGGATAGGAAGCGGCGGGAAGCGGCGGCTGGGATTGCGCTGAAGGATTATGCCAGTATGCGACACTATCTGGATAGTGATTGTTCCCGAGAATTGAGTAGGCAGCAAGAGAATTATGCTGGTGGTGCGATTGAGCCTCCGCAAATGAAACAGACCCAGGAACATAGCCCGTCATGGTGGTCGGAGAGGGGGTGTATGATGCCATGACGGTACTGGCATCGATGGATCCAAGTAGGTCAACGTCAGTAGAGCTGGCATTAGCTGTACAAGCTCAGCTTCCAGCCTACGAACAGATATAGCGAGTATAGTTGACCCGCATAGCCGTTAACAGTTTGTTCAGAATCCTAGATTTGTTGCTTTCTTGGTTGGTGGCTGGCGGAACCGAGAGACGCAGCGGAGGGCCGGAGCGGGGGAAGCGACAGGTAGAGAGAGCGGTGGCTTGAATAGAAACGAGCGTAGGGATTAAGGATATTATGGTGTACCAAGCTCACCGCTGCAGGGTAAGGGAGGAAAATGAGACGATACAGTAAGAGAAGATGAGGTGATTAGAACAATGGGGGGAAAACAAGAGAAGAAGAGTTGGGGGGGGGGGATGAATGGAGGGAACGGCCGGATGGAGTAAGATGCCTATCCAGCCCTGAGCCCAAGTCTTTCTTCTGCCTCGACGGGAGCTTCTTCAGCTGCTTCTTTTGTGTTCCTATCTCCTGCAGGGAAGAAGACTCATCAACACGATATATTATAAAAAGGAAGAGAATGAGAAAAAAAAAATTAATGACAAGGACAAGCCGAAGTTACCGGCCCCAGTCAAAACTGCCAAAAAGACTGTCACACTAAATCAGATAGACTTTGAGACAGTCCCCTGAAGATGGGAACATTCCAGTCAGCTTAACTGGTTTCTGCTGGCTTCTCCGGCGCTAGGACTTCCTGGACCGCACCTTATTCTATCGCATTCAACTTCTCCGATCTCCGATAATGTTAATTGAGGGGATCATCAGGTGAAGGACTAACTCAAGACTCTGTCGCAGCATGCCCTCCGTCCCTCGAGAGCCCGGTCGAGGGCTGGGGTGGGCCATTCTAGATCGGACAACGATCGTCCCTCCCGACTTGTGCTATTCGAATGGAAATTCCCGGACAGGGCTTCTTCCAGCTCAGTACCCATCGGATGATCCCTCAGATGTCCGGATAGGTCATTATCCAGTGCATAGTGCATATTACGATTGGATTTCCCGCGCCGGCAAGGGAACGGGGACAGAGGCTTTTCCTTTCGGGGACCACTCCAGAAACAACCGTGGATCTGATTATCCTCCAGGAGATTGCTGCTCCCCACAGACAGTCACGGCATCCCAGTAGCGTCGCTCCAAGTACTTGTAAACCGTGACATTGTGAAACTGGAGGCCCGTTTGGGTGAAGACCGTGCCCTGGTTCCAGAAGCAAAAGAACAGGGACCACGGGTTTGACTCGGACGAGGCACAGCCGGAATGATGTTCCAGCTAGCCCTAAATCATCTCCATTTGGCCGCGTCTCAAGACTAGCAGCCAAGAACTACGCGCCGACGAAGGCAAGTGGATCTGTTCAGCTATTGAAGAAGTCAAAGAATGAACGGCCAGCTCCTCTCTTCTGAACACAATGCAAAGACCTCGGAACAGGGAGGTCGTTGATGCGGTTGCTGCATTATGTAAGACGTCATCATCACAACTAAGTTAGTGTCCATATTCCGCAGAAATCGGGAAGATGTTGACCGAAAAGCAAAAAGAGCATCGAGCAGCAGTGCTGCAAGTCGAGGAATCTTGCCAGCCTCCATCCACCAAGCATTAGTTTGCATAACAGTGAACAAAAACCAATCAGATTGACAAAGAGCACGTTCTTTCCGAGTAGATGACTAAATAGCAGTGGAGGCGGCCAAACCTTTTTCGATGGACCACCTACCGCTAACGCCGTACCAATTCCAACGGACGTCTCCGCTGTAGGTCCACTTTTACACTCCCCGAGTCGCCTCGGCAAATCTGAAACCCAGTCTTGGGAAATATTTGCCGAGAAGTTCGTCCGTGAACCCGGAAAGCTCGAAGCCGACCTGGGGCTCCTCATACATCATAAAGAAAACCTGGAGGCAACAGGTTATAACAGCCGATGTTATAACCAAAAATGCCCTTATCCGTACCCAAGCTTCCCCACAAAGCAACTACGTATGAAAGCGCGGACTTGGATGTCCTACCATTGATAATATTGTAATTCAAAAAGAGAGGGAAAAAAAAACCAACAGCTGCAACGAGGCAGGCGTCGTAAGCAAGGGGACGACGCCCGCGGAAATACTGCCGGAGGAAGAGGGGGGCAAAACTGATTTCGGGTCTCGCGGAGGTTCCTGATCGACACATAAGAGGCTTTGAGTTTGACAGCTGAAGTGTGCGGTGCCGGTGACTGGATAGAACCAGATAAAATCCAGTCTAGTACCACAAGTCCAGAGTAGCGCGGCGTGGGCGGATATGACGGCCCTGTCCAACTTGGTCGTATACTAGTACTGCCTATCGTGTCATCGAGATCCACGCAAGCCCTGAACCGGGGCTGATCTCATACCACACGATTTAGTAGTGATCGCATGTCATGTGTAAAAAGAGGGTTCTGGGTCGAGTCCACAACAATTTTCTCCCCCCTTTCTTTTCTGTTCTGCTGTAGTCCTGCTGCTAAGGCCAAACGCCATCTTGCCTCGTATGTGCACTGGCAGATGTGGATAATCAGGTGATCGATCGGTCGCAGGTTGATTTCCAAGCAGTTTCATCAAGTGGTAATCGCCACGAATCAGATAAAGATATACTCAAGCACGCAGCTCAAATTACCCAAGCTAATGTGGGTTCACCCATGTTGGACTGAACTTTTTGTTAGTCGTACTCGTACAAGAGTAGCAAGAACCTAGCCTCCTCCACAGTGAAGAAGCAGATGACAACAACAATCCAATCTGTTTGTTTATTACAAAGTCTCCTTTTTGCTGCTAGATCCGGAGACTTGATTGCGCTGCCACCGAGGGCAGGGGCTAGCTAACCAAGATTTCGACATGAAGGCCACTGACTAACGCCACTGGTCCTTCAGAAATAACACTATCGTGAATTAGGCCTATCCCCATGGGTCAATCAGACCCCCGGGTGAGTGGACAGGTAAGTACACAGATAGCGGATTGGTCGACCCAGGGAAATCTGACAAGTGCCTTGGTAGCCAACCTGAGGATTGAGCCTAGGTGAAATTGGGGTCCGAATGAGGATGGCCACCACGACTGATTAACACCTGGCCGATTTTGTTTACGATACTCATCCTTAGTAGTTGTTGGCTCAGCAAGAAGACCGGAAAGTGCTTAGCATTTCTCTGTCCGCGTGACGCATAGCGATGGAAGAGGTAGCATGACCATCCGTAGTATGATCGGTGGGTGCTGTTGCTGACCCCGTTTCGTGCCACACAATGCAATCTTTGTAGACCTAGACCTGAAGTGATGGCCCACAACAAGCGGCCTCGATTGAGAAGATTATTTAATAAGGGTGTCGTGGATAGATTCTCGGGGATCATCATCACGGAAATTCGAGGTTCCCGAGGAGCCAATCAGTCCAGAAGCATACCCACAAGAGAAAACCGGTACACTCCATAATTCAATGGTACGGATGCATAGGCTACCATCATGAGCTACCAGCCAGCCAACGGGCGTGGAGTGAGGGGGGGTCAAGTCTCTAGTAGTAGGAGGAACGGATGAACTTACTACTATCGAGGCTTGCCCAAATAGACTTCATATACTCTATAGAGTGTCAACGGGCTCAATCAAGATTCTGGTGGCATCCTCAAGCTATTGTGGCTGATTTCGTACCCCAAATTATCACTGAATCTGATTGTTCATAGAGTGGTTCCACCAACAGGTCGCAAATGATGTTTTGAATGTGCTGGAATTCACATCTTGAGTATGGCTGCTAGGCAAACCTGCTTCAAGTGTGAACTTGCATCAAGACAGGTTCAGGGTTCCAGCTCCACAGCATTAGAGCTGCTAGATATGAGGGGGCTAGTCGAGTCAGAAGCAATCTCAGTTATGGATCAGCCGTCATATCATGCTGATTCCGGTGGGACCAATGCCCAGACCTTCCCAATAGGAACCAAGAGGCGCCCTGCTCAAGCTGCACTAATGATCCGTCCTTAGAACCTGGAAGCCTCCTGGCTCTCCCTGGTGGCGTGCGTGGACAGACACCCACCAAGCACGTATGTTACCTAATTGTCTCCTGAGCGCTTGGGGTGCAAGCCAGCCGTTGGATCCACGAGCTCGGCCTATCAGCAGGACTGGAGCTCAGATTAAGGCCCCAACTGAGGGGTATCAGTAGGTAGGGATACGAGGAATTGGATCTGGGCAATCCAGTGCGCCCTTTCCAATAACATAGTGCGTAGTAATGGCGGGATGAGAGGTTTCCGTATGCATGGCGTTTGGGGAACAGTTTGGTTCCCTCAGAATTCTGCTGTTACAGGCAAGCTTAAGTTCAACGCTAACAAGCTTCCGCATCCTGGCTTCCTTGAGATAATGCAGTTGACGGTCTCAATTCCGGAGACCATGATCACCCACTATGAAAGCATAGAATCTAGTACCGGGGGTGGAGGGAGTGGAGAGGGTGACGGATGACTACCGACCAAGCACGAAACGGAATCCTCCGCAACCTCAAGGCATGCGTGTCTAGCCAAGATCAGCGTCGAGGGATTTCCAGGGACTTGTCAGTGTAGAGTGTGGTATGGTCCTCAGCTTTTTGTTTCCTTTGCTGAGGGTGAATGAGATCACGATGACTGGACTTCGGTAGCAAATATGGCTCCATATTAGTCCTATCTGTCAACTTCCCTTAGGATTCCTTCCAGCTCGGACGGCAGGACCATCTTCAATCCGAACATCTTCGCTGAAGAATTGTCATGGGTTCAGGAAGAAGACCTCACTTGATGGTCTCGATTGAAGGTTACCCCTCAGAATGTGGGCCATTCTAGGTCGAATCACGTAAAAAAGGTGCTTTGGGGATATTGGAACAAAGGATTTAATTGGTGAAATAGGACCCTTATCATGATATCACTTGGAAGGCTGGCTGCACGCCGGCGGCGCGGTAACAATACTAAATCAGTGAGCAAGCAAGGTAAGTAGCAATCATTAGCTCGAGGTGCTCAAGTGGGTGAGTATGATGGCATGAGTCAACCAATGCAGCTGCTGCCATTTAAGAGAAAAGGAAGTTCGCGCTGATTCCCGAGGTCCGGGCAGTGACTTAAGTTGGCTGCCTGAGGTGAGTGAGTAGTAGCTCCAATCATGGCCCGGTGACCATCACGGACCGCTCCCGGCGCTGGCAGCTCCCAAGCAGGTTGGTTCTACTAAATCCTTCAGGTGGTGATGACAAGTATACTTCTTAGATTCAGCCTTGGTATCTTTGTGTATTGACCACAATCGTAAAGCATAAAAATTCAGACCGATCACCTCCGCTGCCGCTCTTCCTGAATCTCCTGGATCGTAAGCTGCACTCCTTCAATTACCACTCCCCACTCAATCTCATGCACCTTCTGCTCAAACTTGTGGAGGTCTTCATCCTCCCCCTTGACGAAGGGAATCTCGCGCACCAGAATTGGTGTCCCCATATCTACCTCCGAGATCACCTTGTGCATCATGACTCCCGTCTTGTCGATCTTCCCTTCCAACCAAGCTGCATGGGCGCGATCAATCGCATTCTGATTCGAGGTGGTAAAATGGAATGTCAGATCTAGTCATACAGAGCCCGAAATTCGCAGGCGCAACCGGCACCATCTAGTCCCTTGAGGGATGGCAACGACAGCAGGGAGGACAATTAACGTACCGCGCCATTGAAGGCACCTGGCAGAGCAGGATGCAGATTGATGATCTTGATATTGGCCTCTTCTAACGGCTCCAAGAACCGAGGGGACAAGACATGCATGAATCCCAGACAAGCGACCATCTCCGGCTTGTCAGCGAGCACCAGCCGGGCCAGTTCGGCATCGTACTCCTCACGGGCGGCCAGTATCCCCTCTGGTGTTGCCGGATGTTGCTTCTTGTATTTCACGAGGTTGTGGTATTGCGTTGGGATGTTGGCTTTGCGAGCCCGCTCGAGGCCAAAGGCATCCTTGCGGTTGGAGATGACTCGGACAATCTGGGTGGAGAGTTGACCTTGGCTGGTTTTGTCAATCACAGCCTGCAGGTTCGATCCGTTGCCGGAGATAAGGACGGTGAGCCGGACAGGGTCGGACATTGTTTCACGTAGTCGCCAGGGTGTTGTCGCGACGGCAGATGAGGTGCGGATTGTCGATATCGGCGTCGGTTCCTGGATGGTGGGGTAGGGATCAATTTTTTTTTTCTGTCTCGCCAGATTCTGCTTTGAGCAATTCAATCAGTTGATCAATATTATGTCCGTGAGAGGGGTCTTTCTTTACTCTGAGGGAGGCTTTTTAGATGTCAAATACAAAAGGAAAAGACTGTGCTAAGAGTTCAGAGAAACAAATAATGAGAAGCAGTCCTAACGTACAGTGCCGAAATCGCATAGACGCGGGGTGATGGGCTGCCCGGTGGGCTGACTCAGCGTGAGGGGCGGAGGTGCGGGAGGTGCCCGGTGTGTCTCCGCTCCGCTGTTCCCCGGAATACTTACCACTTCTCTTGGACTATCTCATGGATCTATGCTTGCAGATACTAAACCAGGATTTGCAAAGGTGACTTCCTAATGCGATTGAGTATAATTCGTTTGCTCAACATACCTAGTATCAATGCCATCAATACGTCCTCCTAGTCTTGGAAAAACAAAAGAAAAATAGCAGTATGCACCGGTGCATTCTCACCCCATAGACATCCAATTATCAAACATAGTGGGGAATAATACAGTATGACTGGGAGCAAAGCAAAGAGAAAAGATGATCTGGGGTAGTTTCACACAAAATCAATATAGGATCTGCATGCCACAGCCTGCGAGATCCAAGGCGCAACCGACGGCACCATGCAAGGATGCAAATATGCAGCCCTTCTAATAATCGTTGAATTTAGTGAACCGCCAGACTTCACAACATCCCGGAAAACAAGAAATTAACCAGAAAGGCCATTCAAGTTGAGGTAGAAAAGGGAAAAGTCACGCTTGATGTCCGTGAGTTGATATGGGAAGAAGGTAAGTTAAAGTCATTCATCAGGCTTTGGTATAGACGCTTCATGCTAATCAGGAATCAAGGTTAGTTAAAGAGCAATGAAGATATCTCCAGGAAAAAGAAACATGAGACAGCATGTGTCGGCTACGTGTCATCCCGCTACTGTGGCGTCCGGCGTCTCTGTGGCCGATTCATTGTTAGAAGTCTCCGCCACACCCTGGCCACGGCATAAGGGACAAGAATTTCGACCTGTTGTCAACCACTGAACAATCCAAGTCAGTACCGCGCTCAGCAAATTTGTGAAGAAGAAAATCATACCTGGTCTATGCAATCGCGGTGAAATAAATGCTTGCACTTGGTCAATTGCCGAAGCTCATCCGCCACCTCGTAGTCACTCAAGCAGATCAAGCAACGTTCGCCCTCGGGTAGCTGGATGTTACCAGTCCCTTCCAGAGCCTCCGCAATCAAAGTGCCTCCATATTCGACAAGCCGAAACATACCGCCAGCCGACGTGAGATCTTCTTGACTAGCAACAGGCGGCTTGACCGGTCCAAGGAGAGAGGAGAGTAAGATCATGTCTTCATATGTTGGGTTCTGCAGCTTGTCAGTCATGGACGGGAGTCTCATACGAGTGGTCGATCTTACATCTGTGAAAAGACTTGGAGTAGCAAATGCAGGATGATTTTCTGACAAATTGGTCCCGACAACGTAGATCAGCCAGCTTCTGCCCGTAGGAGGTGTGCCGTTGTCCGGCTCTACCACACCGTTGCGTCTGACAGCACCAGACCCTAAATCACGGTGGCGCGCGTACTCCGAGTCACTACGACGTCGTTGACGTGTTGTGGTGGGTGGAACGTCGTCCTCGACCGACTCGGCCGTCGGCTGTAATGTCCGATCCTCGTCAAGCTGGGGTAAGACGCTGGGAGGCATCGCGGATGCGGCAGAGGGTCTTCGACTTGGGGTAGAGGCGCCGGATGACACGGCCGATAGTCCCGGCTCGGCTGGCGTTGACGGGGGTGGATTGGGCCCTGGAGGACTCTCTGATAGAATGGAAGGAACCGATGAGAGTGGAGCCCGGCTGGCCGTATCAGAGAATCGCCGCGAGGGATGTAGAGTGCCATGAGAAGATGATTCGCCCGCGCTAGGTGCACCATTGCTGCGGGGTCGAAGGCGGAGCTGCGGCAACCTTGGTCGGCCATCACCGCGTAATGGCATGGTTTGGTTGTTATCCTGGCCTCGTGCCAGGTTTCCAGGTGTCAAGAATGGCAAACGAAGCAGCGCATCCAGCCCAGGAGCCGGGTTGCCTCCCTGTTCCGCGGTGGAGCCATTGCCTGAGGGGACTGAACGAACACCGACCACAACCAAAGTAACAGTACGGCCCTCAGGTCCCTCGGTAGCGCCGTCAATATCCACTCGGGCACCTGCACCTCCTGCATTATCGTTCTCTGCACCTGGGCGATCTGCGGTGCCGCTAGGCCGAGCATTATCAGAATTAGCAAAACGGAAGACCCTCAGAAGATTGACCGGAGTTTGAGGAGCAGAATCCCCTATGTGGTTCGATGCATCCGTGGGTGTAGACTGTTGTGCGGATGTTGCATGCTGCAAGCTTTGTATAAAGTTCTCGAGCGACCCATCGAGACCATCGTTACCAAGAGCTTGGATATTGGGCATGACAGGTCCGGCCGTCCCAGAAAGTTGCGCAGCGATTGCGGCAGCTGCCAGTTGAAGTACACGTGACAGAGGCGTTGATTCCTCCCGGCGTAGCAGGCGCGAAGACCTCAATCGCAATGAGTCCGGGAGTGATCCGGGCGAGCCCTGCGCTGACTGCGACATGGGAGAGGTTGGGCGGGAAGTACCCACTGCTGGTTCCACCGAATCGAGTTCGTGAGGCTCATCAAAGTCCATCCGTGTATCCATAGCTGTTGGGTACGGGAGTAGACCTTCGTGGTCTTCACCAGGAAGTGATCCCACCAAAGGTAACTGCGGCGTCGGGCCAAGGTCCGGGCCTGAGATATTCGGGGACTGTCCAAACATATGTGTAATAGGACCTGAGATTGAGTTTCGCATACGGTTGAGTCGAGCGCTCCGTCGCCAGGGGCTTCTGGTGTTCTCAGAACTATTTCCTGGCGTGGCGAGATACGCCTCGGGACTGGAGGGGTCAAGAAGAGGGTCACTGCGAGGAATGTAATAGGGCCCACGTGCTGATCGTCGTCTGGAGATCCCACTGAACGGGCTGAAGCGACTGCTGCTGTGCGTAGCCTCGGTCCTGGGAACTGATCTTGACACGATCCCATGGCGGTGGGCGTGACCTTCCGCGGGTGTTTCCTCCTCGCTGCTTAGCAGGCCACGGATGACGGAGTTGGGCAAGATTCTAGAGCCCAGACGGGACATTGTGGACTGTCTTCTCGCTGCCATACGAGCGAGGATGGCTGGGCGACTGTCTCGCTGGCTTTGCTCCAGCTGTGAGGCGTCCTCCTCCCGTATGCTCCTCATCTGCTGCTGATCTCCGAGTGAAGACATCAATGGCTGCCAAAGGTTCGGCTGAGCGACTCCGGTCGTTTCATACTGCATATCATCATTGTTTGGTTCCGCTCCTAGTGGGGGATCAAAGTCCCCCGTGTGATCCGAGTTGCGTCCGTGATTCATATCTTCATTCCTATGGAGCCGACTTCGATGCGCGTGGAAAGACAAAAAGCGTTCTGAGGAGGTACTGTGACGATTATTCCGTTGCGTTGAAGAGGACTGTCCCATAGTAACAGCAAGGCGAGGTTGGGCCGTGGCAATGAATGTTTATGAGCTGCCTATTGCCATCCAGAAATTGATGACTAAAAGTGAGACCAGCATTAGTCAGACTATACACAGCTGCGAGTCAGGCCAAGAAGCCAGCCAGATCGACATGGAAGATGAAAGAAGGAAGAGGTCAGGATAGGACCCCGTGGATGCAACGACAAACATGTAGACAGCGCACAGAGATAACGCCACCCGAAGGCACTGGATTTGTGGGCGTCCCAATATTTGGAAACCAAGTGATACGCACGTACCATTTGACAGTTTGTCTAATAAACAGATAACATCCGATGCTGACTGCGAGATGAATTGAGGGATATTCCAGAGCAAGGCAAGCGAGTTGGCTGAGGAGAGATTGTGTGTGCAGGAAGGCAGCGATGGTCAGGTCGCAGCTAATTGTCAGGCTTCCTCCGCGTCAGATCCAAGTGTGTTGAGGTCGGCAGGCCCCAGGAAGTAATGGGAACACCCTATCAAGATTATTTCAAATCGAGGAAAGTATGATTATAAAAGCGAGCCCGCCAGCAGGTGTTTTTTAACCCTTTCAATAACCACGAAATGGAGGGCGTATGACACGGGGCTCTTTGGGTTGGTCTTAAGGTAGTTTAACGCCGTACGACTTTCCGGGGGTGGGAGTTTTGTTGAGAGAGAGGGGAGACCCCACGACAATCGGAGTAAAGCGCGATCGTATGTACAGTATGCACAAGCGGCAATGAAAAGGAAAAGAACGAGGGCTGCGAAGCAGGCGAAAGAAAAGAGAGGAGAAAGTGAGGGATGGAAGGAGAAGGTGAGCCTTGCAGCTCAGGGATGAAGCACGAAGACGGAGGGAGGTTTTCGGGTTTGGGGGGGGGAGGAATTTGATGACGATGATGACGGGATAAGTTAAGTGGAATGAATGGGTGGATGGAGAAAGAGGAAGAGTGATCGGGAGAGTCACACAGTACAAGGAAGAGGATTGATTGATTAATGGCAGTAATGGCATTAATGGCCGGGAAGCCAGACAACTTGAAACGGGTTAGCGTACTGGCGGTTTCGGCGGTTTATGTCTGGCTGGATTAGGTTTAGCGTTGGGAGATCCAGTAACGTGCGGACGTTTTGTGATCTTGCAGGTGTGTAGGTATTATTGCAGCGCCATCTCCAATTCGACATATAGTGATCCAAGTCCGTTTAACGTACATATCTGCATCAAATCAACTCAACCTCGCCTGGCTTACTTATCGGGCCGTGGCTCCCTTCTCTAGTCCGGAGTCGCTGGTGTCTCATATATTAGATTTCCGCAAGCGTCACAAAAACAAAAACAAAAAAAAAAAAACGAAATCTGGGAGTTTGGTCGAATCTCCAGCCAAATGCAAAAACGCTAGATGGCCACTCCCCATGGGACCTTAATCCGCCATACATTGTCGCCGAACTAACCTAGGTATTCATGGCCTCTGTTCCTTCGGCATCCTTATTCTCATTGCCCCTACCTTCTTGGCAACAACCCCAGAGTGTACGGGTGGCTAAATATGAGTCTAAGAAGCGGAAGAAGACCTTCGATGATTCGGGGGACAATGATGATGATCTAGACGGGGAAACCACCGATGCTGCGTCAGAACCTGCGCTTCCGGCGCCGTCTCTCACCCTATCACCAGATGAAGCTCATCAATACCGCGTCGCGGGCTTGTCTTTCGACCAGGAATTGCCGGGAGGCAAGTTTCCGCATGCACCCGCACGATCCAAATCTTCCGTGCGACAGACACAGGAAGGCGTACTTGCAGAGTTGTCTTCTCTTTCCTCGCCGTTTTATCCGCCTCAGTCTGCGGCGCATCAGGGTAACCTTCGTCTACAGCACCTCGCCGCACTGACAACTATATTGCACCGCTGTCTTCTTCAGAAGGACTATGTGCGAGCGGGAAGAGCATGGGGACTACTCCTCCGCGAGGAATTCAATGGAAGGCCGATTGATGTGCGGACTGAGGGGAGGTGGGGGATTGGTGCGGAAATTCTGCTGCGGCGTGGTCGTCAAATCGCAGACATGGCTGCTGAAAAAGGGAGTGCCGACCTCAGCTCGCAATTAGAAGGTCCAGCTTCTGAGCTCATGTTCACAAGAAAGGGCTTTGAGGATGCCAAGAATTATTATGAGAGATTGATCATTCAACATCCGTACCGGAAAGCCTCGCCCGACTCCATCAGCTCGTTGCATTTCTACCCCGCCATGTTTGGTCTCTGGGTTTATGTGATTCAAGAGGAGAGCGAAGTTAGTCGGCGGAACATCTGGGCTCGTCATACCGATGAATACGGTCAGCATTCAGGGGATGAAGACCTCGCCTCAGACCACGGCAGTCATCGTGATTCCAAGCAAAGAGCCCACGCGCTCGTTGCCGACGCGCGCAGAGCGGAACTCAACCAGGCGCAGAAACTTGCAGGGAGAATGGATGAGATTCTGGGGTCTCCCCCTTACTCTGACTCTCCGGAGTTGTTAGAGCTCCGGGGAATGGTGTCACGTTGGATTGCGGATCTATTTGTCTCCTCTGTGCCCGGAGGAGAGACCGAATATGACTACTATACCGATGAAGAAGATCACGACGACATGATGTCCGACGACCTGCAACATTCGATGCAGGATAGACGCGAACGCAGACTTGCGATGGAGAAGCGAGCGTCGGAGACTCAGAAATCGGAAGATTTCTTCAACAAAGCTAGACAGCGTGCCAAGGGAGTAACGTCTACTCTTGATGATTTTCATATTGATGATAACGAATCGATGGGTTATTGGAGTTGATATTTTCTGCAGCACCTCGTGCTTAGGGTGACACAGGGTCTGAACATATTTTGCGCTATCATCAGTCTTGCCGGAGTCGCAATGTAAAGTTGGCAGAGTATATATCTCTTGACACAGCCATGTCAGACTAGTAAGCTGTAATCGAATGAAGTAACTCGGATAAATCTCACCATCTCACAAACATAAATTAATATACTACGATTCAACGTTCGGACCCTCGATGATGCTGCCCGATGGTCTCGTAGCACGTGACTGCGTGGCTGCCTCGTGTGCCTGAAGAAATTCACGCGTTTGTCGATTTTATTCGACCACTTTTCAAACAAGTTCATGCTTGTCACGACGCTACGACAATGTCCCAGTCTCAATTCTCGGTATAGAACCTCACGGTGATACACGCAGGTCTGCTATCTACTGCGGATGCTTCCTATGATAACCGCTGAGAAGCTCATTCTGTCTGACTCCAATCTCTCAACTCTTGGACCCCCGCTCCACCGTACGTGAATCATGGGCGTGGGAGATTTCGTGCATGCCAGAGCACCTGGCGCCCAAAACCGATCTCGCACAAGTAATGAAGCCCCCAGTCTCGCATCCAGACAGGCTCTAGCAGCCCAAGCCAGGGTGGAGGTACCGTCAGCCAACCTACTTGCCCCGGTCCCCCTACCGGGCAATAAAACAAACCCACTGGAGCATTACGGGCAGCAGCCGCAACCGCCGCAGCCACAAGCGGTTGAAGATGCTGCGCCCAGGGATATGTTCGACACCGATGTGGAAGGGATTGACGACTCGACCATTGCAGCAACAAGCGTTCTGGGATTAGATGACATCCCCCCTCAGTACCAATTATCTTCAACAACTCAACACCACGCGACCAATTTAGAGCAGTTCCAGCCTCGCCCGTCTCAGCTCCCGCATCGCTCTCATGATGCAAATTGGTACGCGAACTTTGGCGACAACGCCCTAAAGTCAGCTGGTTTCGGCTCAGGGGACGCTGGCGATGAAGTCGAAAGCCAATTGACCTCCGTCGTGGGAGATGACGAACAGTCCGATGCGACCGAGGACGCGGATTATGCTCGGCGTTACAGGTCTTCTACCACGACTGCCAACGAGCCACTGAGCAAACGTCTTCAGAACTTCTGGAGTGCCAGTCGGCGCACGTACCAGAATCCTACCGAAGACCCTCCCGCTACTAACGTGTATCCGGAGCCATCCAAGGCATCGGGTCCCGGGGTGCTGAGGCAAACCCAGTCCGACACCAGGATGATGACCACTAGTCAGGTGCTGCCCTTGACCGGCAACAGCAGAAAAGTTACTCTCCCGCGCAGCATGACCGCTACCCCCCGGACGAGGTTTAGTCCGCCCAAGCCCACTCTCTTGGAACAGCTGGATTTGACACCCACCCGCCGGACGTCTGGACCACGACCCCAGCCAGGCAGAGGTGTTGCAGGTATCACAGGGACTAGCCACTATCAACACCGGCAACAGAATACCCGCGACATTGCGGAAGAGTACGGTCTTTACGACAGCGACCTCGGGAGACGAGGTAGCCTCCCTCCACTAAGTGCCTTCGACATAACCAATATCGATGACCTCGAGAACGACCATGACCACGATGACGACCACGACCCAATCAACGACCCCTTCTCCCGACGCTTATCCGTTCAGCGCATCAGCCCCGACAACAACAGCCCTAACAAGAGCCCTAACAACAGCCCCAACAACGATCCCCAAGACCACTACTCCAGAAAGCGCCAGCTTGATCCAGACTACCCCCCGGAGGTTTTGCGACAGAAGACTTTTGCAGAACTCCAATCCGAACCCTTCGACTACATTCCCGCTGCCGACTCTGCGGCAGCAGAAACCAAACCCGCGCCCCCGTTGTCCTCAATTCCTAGCGCCGCACCCGAGCCAGACGCAAAACCCGAGGATAAGATACAGTACCTACTGAACCTCACCGAACACGACCGTCGGGAGTTCTTCGCTGGTCTCACGATGGACGCATGGGAGGACTACGGTGATCTCCTCATTGACCAGTTCTCCGCGACCCTCACCAAGATGAAGGACCTACGGCGCGCCCGTCGACAGACCGCGGCCGTGTTCGAGGCGGAGATCAAACGACGGCACGACCTCGTCGAGGAACAATCTGCCGAATTATCTCAAAAACTCAAGGACATGAAAAGTGGCGGGGCGGAGGTTCTCCGCGGGCGTACCCCTCAAGGAGAGTAGGAGGGTCGTTATTACCTATCCATATTTCTTTACTATATCGGAAAAACAACGAGGGGTTCTGTTTAAATTCGCAGCAGGCTTGGGAGTTTTGTACTGTCATCCTTGCCCCTGCATGGCATACTTACTTCTAATCTGTGCTTTGGTGGGGTTTCAAACTGCATTCGTGTTTCTTACCCGGCACTACAAAGTATCAATATACCCCTTTATTTCTTGCGTGATAAAAGACCTCCTCTCTCGAGAAGAAAAGAACGTTCGCATTGTTTGGGTTCTAGAAAATGCTAGACAGAAGAGCCTCATATGCCCAAAATGCTGGGAAATGCAGGATGCCTGGGGTGGGACACTGAACACCAGCAGTGAATCCACAATCTCACATGAAAAACAGGAAAATGGAAAGAACGTCATGGCCAATAAGTCCTACGCCATGGGATAAAAAGGAGTTGGTGCACTTAGGAGTTCCACTTAGAGTTTCCTAGGAGCACAGATAACGGAAACGAGTGTGGTGGAGGCGCCCAAGTCACTACGTCAATTCGAGGTCTGCCTCGACAGTCCTGCAGCAAGTCGCTTATAGTCTTCAAGGAGGATGGACACATCTGCGATGGTCATTTCGCTGGCGCTCTGCATCTGGAGGAAGCGTTGAATAGGCGGGTCGACCTTGAGCTCGACCTTTGTCTCAGTAGCAGTCTTGGATGAGGTACTGTGGATGGAGGATGAGGAATCGCGGGAGACAATCGACTGCCTGATTCTTTCGGTGGGAGTGTTCGGAGACGAGAAGGAAGGGCTCGGTGTCTCGGGGGCCACACGGCCGAAGCTTCGGATCATGCCGGGAATATGATTGAGTGGATTGAGTGTGTTCCCGAAGCTCCGCATGGATTCCAGCGGCGTAGGCGTCGGGGTCGTCGAAGAGCTTGCAGGCGATGTCTGAGAGTCGTCTTTCTGCAGACCTGAGGGGACGGCCGTCTTGCGGGCGCTACTCTGCGTCCGAACGCTGTCCGCACTTCGGTCGCGAGGCGTTCTTTGACCACCTACCAATCCTAGTAGCGTGTCTTCTGCTTTGGAGCCAATGCGCCGCAGCTGCGGCCGATCAGCGGCACGGGGTTCTCGGGCCGGATTGGTATCAGGGTTCAGACTGTTCTCGGAGGCTATTGGCGACGTGACCAGACGTCGAGCTTCTGCCAGTGTCTTTGGTACAACTGGGTTACCACCATCTTTGGCAGCGAACTGGCTAGTCTGCAACTCTTTAAGACGACCAAAAAGAAAGTTGAAGCTGCTGTCTAGTGATGCACTTATGTTCTTCAAGCCCTGGTCCGCGGTGTTGCGGACTGCGTCATTGGCGGCACCAAGTACCTTCGCAGGTGGCTGGAATAGGTTGTTCAGCCTGCCTTGCTGGGCATTCCTTGAGGACTGTGTTCTTGGGAATGTGGCCGAAGCCCCTGGGCCTGGAGGTCTTGATATTTCTGGCGAGGCAGTCGTCGATATCACTGATGAGACTGGTGTATCCTTAAAAGGCTGGGGAGTATCAGCCTTTGCGACAGTCGTCGGTTCGTCACCGGCGGATTTTGTCTGGTCTTCGTGCAGCGCTCCTCCGCGGAGGTCCGACAAGTCTACATTCTCGAGGAAACTGATAGCGGCCTCCAGATTTGTCAAACAGTATGCGGTTTCGCCATCCATTTTACTGGATGATCTAAACCGCTGTATGAAGAGAAGATTGCTTATCACGTTTATACCTTCAGGAGGACTGGTGATGAGACAGTAGATCAGAGTAGGGAGAATTTCATCAGCAGATGATGAGGACGGCAACAACTTAGTCAGAGCATCAACTATGGCCTTGTGGGCGGCGGCCAGCTGTTGTAGCTTGCCCAAAGGATATTTCTCGTCGTTCATCTTCGCTAGGCAATCACGGGCAATAGACAGACAGTCATTGGCCTCTTTCTGCTTCTCCTCACTGATGGAGCTCACGTCGAGCTCTATTCCCAGGTCTTTCAAGTTGATGCCAACCAAGAGCAGTGCCGCTGTCTTCGAACGCAGCTTTTCGTCCCTGATTTCGTCCAACGTGCTCTTATGTCTCCATAGCTTGTCATAGATGCTCTCACACGCCCTCCGCTCTACGGCTTCTTCTAGAGCGATGCGCTTGGTTGCTAGATGTTTCCGCGCAATTCTCTTCTCCGTCACTTCCGAGGCAGTCAGCATCTGTCGCCCATCCGAGCCTTGTGCGTTCGAGTCTCGATTTATCCGCGATGCAAGAGCCGATATGTGTGTAGCAATATGCGCTTCTGCCCGTTCGTAAAATTCCTGAAAGCGATCGGACACCCTGTCGGCCGTTGGCGGAGACGAGTGAACTTTGGCAGTGAGGGAGTTGACGAATCTGTAAGAGCACTTTGTTAGCCTATTGACGCCCGACGAAGTTGACAGCAGCCCAGCGAGGAATTGTACCTATCCGTCAAGCTAACCAGCTCGATGGGAAGCTCTTCTGTGTAGCTCTGAATGCCGCGCGACAGAACAGATGTGTCCTCCCCTTGTCCGTCCCCATCGTGTGCCAAATCCGGGGATCCGGTTTTCTCGAACAGGTCTGGGCCGGAATCGTGGTCCTCTTCCGTGGATGATAGAGGCATTGGAAGCGACTCAGAGTCTACCAGTTCTGGAATTGCGACCGATTGAACGGTCTTGGCTCTGGAGCGGATGAAAGGACTGGGTTCAGAGGAATCCATCCTTGGAAACGAGCGCGCCGTATGGAGGCGTGGTTTTCCAGCGCCATGATCGGGAGTATTGATCGACATGATAACTGCAGCCGAGGTGATAGGGTTGAAATGAGGTCAAGTGAGAGAGCCTTCACGTCCAGGTGACAGGCTTATGCAGATCGAGGTATGTATGGGGCCGGTGCGTAGACTAATGACACCTGGAAATCACGACGTCGAATTGCGGGCACGGTAAAAGGGAATAACAACACAAGAGAAAGTGAGGAAGTAAAGACGATAAAAAAGAGACCAGAGAGACAGCTATGAAAGGTTTGCCCGCACAAGCATGATGCAATACAACAAGCCACAGCGGCGCAGGAATACCATGGGAAGTTGGGGGCCTGGCCTGTCAGTCAGCAGCAGTAAGTACGGAGTACGGAGTACGGCCCGAAGTAACTATAACCAAGTCCGAGAGAATTGTCAACGATCTCCGCCTTTACCGAGCGTGTCACGCGCAGATCACGTGGGCGGGCAGAAGCAGGTCACACCTCCGCATTACTTGTGCTTCGATGCGTCATTCACCGCCCCCAGTGATAAGTCCGTCTCCCCCCATCCGGTCGGTCTGGCAGTAGATCGCCATCTCCGACTTGGATCTCTCTGTTGCCTCTCCAGCATCCATCCCTGCATCCTTAGTTTCTTCTCCTCCCCAACGCCCGCATATCGCCATGAACAGTTCTCGAGGACGAGCAAGGAAACGATCCCTTTGGAACACCCAAATCTCGGATCTTTTCTGGCCTATAGCACTACTGCCAGGCCTTGTCTCCGCTTATCAGCCCGTATACTTCGGCTCCCGACAATCGTCGCCCTTTCTTCCCCCCCAGATCCCTTTGGCGGATTCCCCATCGCTTTCCGGGATCCATGAATTTGTAAGTCCGACAGATCCATGCTGCAGTTACTTTCCTTGTCGTACGGTCACTGATCAGGTAGACACTTCGCCACATATACCATCGAGGGACGTATCAAGACCCTGATCTCCACCTAAGGCTCGACATTCACCCAGAGACCCGTCTGCGGGCGGTCTCAGAGGATGGCCTTGAATCCGAACCTATCACTGTAACAACCCCGCTCGTTGCATCATCCGAACCACTTACCATTCAACGACTCGCAGACCGACGTCTTTCAGTAATCGATGATTACTTACTAGCCGCCCGGTCCTCGGGATCGGCAGTAGCTTTGTCACCCGATGCCTGGGTTATGGATACTTTGCCCGGTCCGAATGTAACAGACAAGAAAACCGTTATCACTATGGCAATGATGACTGCAAATGATTATATCGAGGAGCCAGGGACGGGTGACTGGCAGGATGTGCATGGTCGCTTTAACCATTCCGGAAGCTTTGGGTGGCAGGGTGACGGGCTCCGAGGGCATGTCTACGCCGATCAGACAAACAGTACTGTGGTAATCTCCATTAAAGGAACGTCACCAGCGGTCTTTGATGGAGAGGGCACCACCACGAACGATAAAATCAACGATAACCTCATGTTCAGCTGCTGCTGTGGCCAGGGAGGGTCATATCTGTGGCGTCAGGTGTGCGACTGCCAGACATCGTTGTATACGGCAAATCTCACCTGCATCGTCGAGGCAATGCAGGACGAAAATCGATACTACCGTGCCTCGCTGGATCTCTACTCGAATGTAATCGAAATGTACCCAGATGCCAATGTATGGCTAGCAGGTCATTCCTTAGGAGGTGCTGTGGCTAGCCTACTCGGTCTCACAGTAGGCGTACCAGCTGTGACTTTCGAGGCTGTTCCGGAGGCCCTTCCCGCCGCTCGCCTTGGTCTTCCCAGTCCTCCCGGCCATGACTCGAGGTTTCCCCAGTCGCGCAAGTTCACCGGATCTTATCATTTCGGGCACACGGCGGACCCTGTGTACATGGGTACCTGCAACGGCGTTAGTTCTGCCTGCACGTGGGGTGGCTATGCTATGGAGTCTGCATGCCATACCGGTCAGATGTGCGTGTATGATACCGTGGAAGACAAAGGTTGGCGCGTTGGTCTCAACAGACACCGAATCAACTTCATCATCTCCAATGTTCTCGATGGCTATGATGAGTTGCCGCCTTGTGCTCCCGAGGAAGAATGCTATGACTGCGAGCTATGGAAGTTCTTTAGCAGCAACGGCTCCGAGATTACCACGACGACAACTTCAGCCACATCTACGTCGACTTCTTTCTCCAGTACACGAACATCGACCTGTAAGACCCCAGGGTGGTGGGGCTGCTTGGATGAGACTACCACCACAGAGCCGACGTCCACGTCTACGTCAACATCCACATCAACTTGCAAAACCCCAGGATGGTTCGGCTGTAAAGACCCGACCACCACCTCGGACGCTACCAGCAAACCAACCATCACCACCACCGAACCTGCTGCGCCAACCACCACATGCAAGACTCCCGGCTGGTTCGGCTGTCGCGACCCCACCCCAACACATACTCTGACGTCCATACCCTCCAAGACCCCCCCTCCTGATACAACTTCGAAATGTGGAAAACCCGGCTTCTTCTGGGGATGCTGGGACGCTCCCACCCCTCACGAGCATCTAATCACACCAGCCCCCACCCTACCTTCCTAAAGCTTCCAGCATCGTTCTTCCTCACGAATATTAGTTCTGCGGCTCCATATTTCCACCGCAGAACCTCTCATCCAATTCTAGACCTCCGATCTGTTCGTTTGATTACCATCGCATCCACGACTCCAGCCTCCCATAGGCCGTCGAATTGTACTTCTGAGCGGGCGCAACATGTGCAATTAGTTTTTCAATTTCGGATTTCGTTCTTCAAGCATCTGGTGTCCTTTTCTTGGTTAACCTCACTCTTATGCTGGCAACATCTGCTCCCGTCTGGAGAAACGGCAGTTTTGTCTTGCTAGGCTACTACTTTGGCGCATTTTCACGTGCAAGTTTTGAGAGGATGATCCATGCCTATGTTCTTTTTGTGCGTACTAGGTTTTGTACTTCCCAGAACCGACAAGATTTGTACATTCTCTTCTTGTTCTGCAGGTTTTTCTTTGGGAATACACCACCTCAAATTCATTTATATACGTGCTTACACACGCTTATTATAGTGAGATTCTTGAATTGAAGAGATTGCAGAAAAATAGCATCTTAGCTCTCTTTGTGTTGAGGGGAAGAGGGTTTCTTGAACGTTGATTTCTCTACGGAATTGCTGTCTGTTCCGCTGCAGCCTATGAGCAGTGGAAAGCAGCGCTCAAGTCACCGGTGATTTTTCACTCTTTCTCAAAGAAAGAGACTCCAAAGGATCAAGTGCGATTACTGTTGGCAAACAGCTCTTCAGTGGATCCTTACGTACGGATCTCAAAAGTCTTATGTACGCTGGACACAAATACAAGGAATCGTCAAGAGGTATCATTTTAGAGCGAGGATACAGTACGTCATGAAAGTGTTTCTCACACTTCCAACAGGGAAGACAGAGTTTACAGACGAGCAGACTTGACGCCGGTGGCTTTGGCCTCGGTGGACTTCTCGATGCGAGCACCTAGGTCCGGGTTGACCTTCTTGAACATGGCGTAGGTGGCCTGGCGGACGCGCTCGTGGGCGGCCGAGAGGTGAGCAGCGACGTTATGGACGAAATTATCCTGCTGACCAGGCTGGCGGCCGAGGACCTGCCAGAGGCCGTTCGCCTGGACGTAATCGTCCGCGGTGATGGGGAGCTGCTCCGTGACGATGGAGCCAGCCCAGTGCTCATGCTCCTGGCTGGCCTTCACGGGCTGATAGCGGTAGGGACGGAAGGTGGAGGGGTAATTGGGGTTGGCGCCGTAGTTGCCGTTGACGTTCATGTATCCGTCGCGCTGCCAGGGGCTGAAGGCCCGGAGCGGGCAGTTGACGGGGATCTGCTCGTAGTTGCCACCCAGACGGTGGCGGTGGGTGTCGGGGTAGGAGAACAGACGGGATTGCAGGACGGGGTCGGCCGACGGCTCGACACCAGGGACCATGTGGGAGGGGGAGAAGGCGGCCTGCTCGACCTCGGCGAAGTAGTTCTCAGGGTTCTTGTTCAGGGTGAACTTGCCGAACCGGCGCAGGGGCACTTCACTCTGCGGCCAGACCTTGGTCAGGTCGAAGACGTTCCAGCGGAACGTCTCCGCCTGCTCGGGGCTGAGAGTCTGAACGTAGCAAGTCCAGGAAGGGTTCTCGCCGCGCTGGATGGCGTCGAAGAGGTCCTGGGTGTGCCAATCGGGGTTTTCGGCCGCCAGCTGGGTGGCCTGCTCGTTGTTGAAGGTCTTGTTGCCTTGGTCGGTCTTTAGGTGGATCTGGACGTAGTTGAAAGTGCCATCGGGCTTGATCCACTTGTAAGTGTGGCCGGAGTAGCCGTTCATGTGCCGGTAGGAGTAAGGGGTACCGCGATCGCTGAAGAGGTGCATGACTTGGTGAACGGCCTCATGGTGGGTGGACAGGTAGTCCCAGAACATCGTGGCATCCTTGAGATTGGTTTGAGGGTTGCGCTTCTGGGTGTGAATGAAGATGGGGAACTTGGCAGGATCGCGAAGGAAGAAGACCGGGGTGTTGTTGAAGACCCAGTCCCAGTTACCCTCATCGGTGTAGAATTTGATGGCAAAGCCACGGGGATCCCGCGCGCTGTCGGCGGAGCCCTTCTCGCCTCCGACGGTGGAAAAGCGAGTGAAGCACTTGGTCTTCTTGCCCACACCCTTGAGCATGTCAATAACCGTGATGTCGCTGATGTCGTCGGTGACCTCGAACTCTCCATAGGCGCCCGCACCCTTGGCGTGCACCACCCGCTCCGGAATGCGCTCTCGGTCGAAGTGGGAGAGGAGGTCGATCAAGTGGAAGTCTTGGAGGAGCAGCGGACCGTTGCGACCTACTCGCTGAGCGGCCTGGGGATCCATGACCTGATGATGAGAAGTTAGCCATGGCGAACTGTGCGGTGCAAGATTGACGAGCACTTAGGTGTGTGGTACGGACTGGACAGCCATTGGAGGTCGTGTAAATGGGGGTTTCATTGTAGCGGTAGGTCTCTGATGGTCAGGATTCGTGGGTCAGTCTCCTCCTAATCGCCTCAATTGATGTTGTGGAAGAGTTGGTGGACATACTAGGCTCGTTTTCTTTACCCATGATGGACGATTGTGTTGTGGCAGACGAAATTCTAGTATTGACCGAAATATGAATCTATGATCCTCAAAGAGGGGAAAGGCAGAACCACACGAAAACAGAATGAAGAGTAGTACGAGGTAGATGTAGCAGGCTGCGCAAGTAGACAGTCACTGGTAGTTATATATGCCTCTTTTCTAGATAAAATCAGCAAGAGAAAACAAATAGTTACAGGACTTGGCTGGAGGCTGGAGACCAATAAGACTGGGGGAGAAGGTCAACTGGATCAGGTCGAGAAACAGGGGGTTCCACCTGCCTCCATCTTTTCCGGCGCCGAGGTTAAAACAGAAGGTCTTTCCGCGGAGAGAGAGAGAGGCTAAGAGGTGGTGGGTTGGATTCTCAGTTCAATTGGTGAATAATGAGTATAATTCAGAGACGATTCAAGGTGACAAGATGCCGGGCTGCATCATGTTAGTAACTATTGTAAGTCATCGATAGCTTTCAAATCTCCAATAGTTATTTCTGTAGTTACAACCACTAGTTGCGTTTACCCCGCACGCAGCGTCTGGGTTGCTTTCCCCAACTTCTCCGATCTTCCATTCTGTCCCCCCTCTTTCCCCTCAACGCGGGGCCAATCACCACCCCTGGATATCAACCTCTACGATCTCTTTTTCCCGTACAAGCTTAACTCCTGTCTTCCTAATGGTACTAAGTTACCAGATTCTTTGAGGCATTGAATTCATTGTTGTTGGAGCTGCGGCTGCACTGAGAGAACTGCCAGGTCTCAGTCTCTTCCCAATGAGATGTGGAGATGCCAACCCGGACGGCCCAATGGCCATGGCATGACATGATGAAACGCCTGCAGGAGACGCATGGCGTTAGATGATGCGCCCAATTCTTAGTCAGTGGACCAGGCCAGACACTGCTCAGTCCATTAAGCTGCAGTTGACCAGGACCACTTTACTGAGAGACCAATCAAATTCCCGGAAGAAGAGCGCAAGACTTGCTCAGAAAGGTTAAGACGGCAGATGGGTATAGCTGCATGATGATGAGCGCCATGCTTGCCATGGCTCAACAGCGGGACGATCATCACGAATTTGCATCCATGTCCACGGTCTCTAATGCTGTTATCTAAATTGGCTGTTGCATGCGATCCAATAGCATCAGCAACACGCTTTTCAATGGTGAATGCACACCATAACTGCTCTATACAAAGCATCACGGCGGAAAGCATAACTTGTGAGGTTCAGGTATGGAGATATCGGAAACCCCCACCAGCAAACGGAACAAGTGCTTCCTCAGTCTGATCCGCTCGGAATCTTATCAAGTCATGATTGCACCCGGAACTGTTGCTCTGGATCTCAGCAGCTTGATATCCTAATGCTCTAAATTGCCGCAGGCCTCATCCAGTTCACCGCTCCACATTGAAACAATGGTCCTATTCATCCATTACAAAGCTACAGACTTATCTGAAAGAAGCTTACCCGACCCAGCTCATCTAATGGCAGCAGCTCAATCCAGCGGCGGTTTCCAGGCCTCTGGCGGCCAACCCCCTGCGGAAACCTCCGCCCTCCGAAGAGCGGAAAACCAGATGGACCGCACTCAATGGATTCCCAGTTCCGATCTCGGAATCTCTTCTGGACCGCATCTGTTTCCCGCTAATCATTGACGAGTCATACGACATTTATCGTGCACCTTATCTCAAAAATTAAACATTGCATGAATTGAGGTCTCTCATACTAATACAGTAGTCGACTTGCACGCACTCAAATTCGTCGAACGAAGCCGAAGTGGAAGAAAAACATATTCATCAGGTCATATATGTCATCCAGCACGAGCCGTTATTACCATCGCTGCGCATTGTCGCCGGACCGGTCGCCATTGATACTGCTCAGAATGTCACCGGTCGACTGCCCGACACCCTTGGTCGTGTTGCCCACTCCCTCACTGGCACCGCCGACCGTCTTGCCGAGGCCCTCGCCCACGCCGCCCACGGTCTTCCCCAGACCCTGAGTAGCGCCGCCAACCGTCTGGCCCAAGCCGCCGACAGCACCACCAACCGTTTCTGTGAGGCCTCCGACCGTCTTGCCAAGGGTGTCTGTGAGCCCTTGCAAAAGGTTGACTAGTTAGCCAATATTAGCAACCGGTGGGCGGCATCTTTGCCACAAATGAGATCCAGAGGAAGCATATCACTATAGAGAGGTGGGTAGGGCGAAGCCGTTTCGGTGAGGAATAGGTGGGGGATGGATATACGTACCGTTGTTGTTGTTGTCTCCAGACATGATGATTGTGAGGTGAAAGGGATGTGTGTGTGTGTGTGGTTTGATCCAAAAAGTGTGATTGTTTCAACAGGTTTGAAAGATCCTGACTGCAGTTCTGGACAGAGAAGTGGATTGTTGGGGAAGCTATTTGACAGGGCTCCGAGGCATACTTTTATAGAGCATCGTGGTGGGCAGCATCCCGGTACTCTTGCCACGGGCCGCGTATATGCATCGATGATATCATCGTTCGTCTGGAACAAGGAGCACTGGTTCAGTAGCATCCTTGTCACCCGCTTTACGCCGTAGATTACAGAGGGATCGTGAGCCAGCCAGACCCAGATGTACGAGAGGAAGGATGATGAAATAGGCTTTGGGGTATTATGACAGTGGCGTGTTGATCGGCAGACCTGGAGACATGATTGGACAAGCCGCAGTGTCACGTATATTGATCTTGCGGTACGGAGGGTAGAGGCCCAGTGGGAATCGACATGCATCTGCCATGACTGTGTGAATTTGGCGCATGCATGGGAGTTGTTTTTCATGGCACCTGGACCCCAGACGGTGAGATAGCGACCGCACTTTTACGTCATGGTTGAGAATCTGCACGTCTGCATCTGCCATATTGCTTCTTGGGGAAGGATAACAAGCCAGCCGAAAGGAAACGAGAACCGAGAGCGTGTTCAGGCGACAAAAGAACAATCGGACCCTGTCAACCATGGGTTGGTTCGAGAGTAAACTCTGAAATTGGCCAGTACTGATACCTGCGCTATAATCTACTTGGTGCGTAATGTAAAAGTGCACTGGCAGCTGGACATGTCCTTAGCAGGACACGAGAGGTGTGACAATCCACAGACAGTAGCTCCACCCACTTTTCAGTATATGTGGCTTGGGTGCGATACTATACCAATACTAGGTTGATAACATCTCTCTGTCGAGTGACTAATAGACAGATCCCTGGTCCAGATCACGGGAACGATATGCTCCTGATGAAGAAAGAAATGGCAAGATCAAATGGTCACGTGCCCGCAAGCCACGAGGAGGAAGACACGAAGGATTGATTGGACTGATCTGCAATCTACATACTCCGGACTCCGGAGTATCATAAGGTAGTATTCAACCTCAATCCCTGATTCAAACAGCGAAAAGGCTTGGCTACATATGTCAGCTGCGCATTCCTGTCAGGATGGATTTACATATTGGACTCAAACAGTTTCTACCCCACAAACTCTGCTTGCATGCCGCTGCTGTCAATTGGTTCTGCAGCCATTAGCCCCTCTAACTACCCCTCCAGACTACTACATTTTTCTCCTGAGGCTATTTCAACATCTTATCACCCTTTTCCCGACATGAACCTTGGAAACATGTATACAAATTTATTTGCCGACTGCCGATGAATGAATCCACGGCCTGATGAATGGCGTGGTTGGAAGTGTGGACACACACTTGGAGAATCCTACATAGTCTGTACAATTTTCAATTTTTTTGCCCAGTTCCTGTCCCGAGCCCCGCCGCCGGTGGGCATAAAAATCTAACCCAACAAACGTCCCACTTTCCACCCATTGCCAATCCGGCCGGGTGCGGAACGTCCCTGATTTTCTTCCACTCGTGTCTTTCCCCATCTGCAACTTGTTCTCCGTCCCCCCCTCCCTATTAATCTTGCACCTCTTCTTTCCTCCTCCCTCCTACCCCTCCCCTATACGCACAACTTCTCTCCGCCTCCCTCCCCCCTTCCACCCCCCCCCTCCAAGGGCGTTGCAATTGCTCTTCCAGCATGGCTTCCAACAAAGGTCCGGATGCCATTGCTCCGGTAGAGCATCCGCCCTCGCTCTCCGACGGCTCGACGGGCTCCGCCGCCAGGATCGTCCATAATGCCAAAGCGGCCACCGATAAGGAGCGGAAGATGACCCTGTGGCAGGGCATCAAGCTCTACCCTAAGGCTGTTGCATGGAGTGTTCTCATCTCTACCTGTATTGTCATGGAAGGCTACGATATCAGTTTGGTCAACAATTTCTATGCCTTTCCTCAATTTAATCGAAAATACGGCGAGATGACGGCGGACGGCTCATATCAGGTTCCAGCCAGGGTAAGTACATCTCAATTAACTTGATGTGGCTCCTGCGGAATATTTGCTAACATCAACCTTCCTGTTTAGTGGCAATCCGGTCTCAGCAACGGTGCATATGTTGGAGAAATCATCGGTCTCTTCATCAACGGCTGGGCGTCCGAGCGATTTGGTTATCGGTACACGATCATGGCATGTCTCGTTCTCATCACCGCCTGGACTGCCATCTTCTTCACTGCGCCCAATGTCCAAGCCCTGCTCGCTGCGGAAATCTTGGCCGGAATTCCTTGGGGCGTCTTTCAAACGCTGACCATCACCTATGCTTCTGAGGTCTGCCCTGTTGCGTTGCGAGGATATTTGACGACCTATGTCAACTTCTGCTGGGGGGTGGGACAACTGATCGGTATCGGAGTGATCAAGGCTATGATTAATCGGGAGGATGAATGGGCGTACCGGATTCCTTATGGTCTTCAGTGGATGTGGCCTTTGCCATTGTTCATCGGTATTTCGCTCGCCCCGGAGTCTCCGTGGTGGCTCGTCCGCAGGGGCAAGATCCAGCAAGCCAAGCAAGCTCTACTGCGCCTGACCAGCCTCAATCGCGAAACTGAATTTGACGCCGACGAGACCATTTCCATGATGGTTCATACTACAGCACTGGAGGAAAAGATCACCAAAGGCGCCAGTTACTTGGATTGCTTCAAGGGCACCGATCGTCGCCGGACAGAAATTGTCTGCATGGTGTGGGCCATTCAGAACCTGAGTGGCAATTCCTTCTCCAATTACTCGACGTATTTCTTGGAGCAGGCTGGGCTGAGTACTTCTGACTCGTATGCTTTCGCCATGGGTCAGTACGGAATCAACATGGTGGGCGTCTTTGGCGCCTGGTTCCTTATGTCCATTGGTCTCGGCCGTCGATCTCTTTACTTGTACGGTCTCTGCGGATTGTGTGTCATGCTTCTCGTCATGGGCTTCCTTGGGCTCATTCCTGAATCGCACAAAACCCAAGGAGCACTGGCGACGGGCAGCATCATGATTGTCTGGGCTCTCTTCTACCAACTGACTGTTGGAACCGTGGCGTACTCTCTTGTGGCCGAGCTCTCAACCCGTCGTCTGCAGATCAAGACCGTTGTGCTTGGCCGCACACTCTACAACATTGTCGCAATTATTTGCGGCGTCCTGACCCCGTACATGCTGAACCCCAGCGCCTGGAATTGGAGCAACTACGCTGGCTTCTTCTGGGGCGGCATCTGCTTCCTATGCATAGTCTACGCGTTCTTCCGGGTGCCGGAGCCCAGCGGCCGTTCGTTTGCCGAACTGGACATTCTTTTTGAGCGGAGAGTGAGCGCACGGAAGTTCCACCTGACTCCGGTTGATGTGTTCGACGAGACAGGGGTGGTGGAGCACTACCAGACGGAGAAGACAGTCGCGGCTGATGGGGCTCAGGCCGAGAAGGCGACTTCGTGAAACGGCCCATGAACATTTTTGTTTTGTAATACCTTAATAATATTGGATGTACATAGATACATATTCGATCATGAATACGACACGATTAATGATTCAATTCGGTTGCTACTGTCACTCATTTGATGATAGGGACTATCTCACCAAGACAGATACCTGCCACGCTGCCTCACCTTCGAATTCCAAGCAGCTATTATGCATTACTCGTCTCCGGGATTCAATTTCCACCCTTTATTCATTCGACCACTCCGGCTTCTTCTTCTCGGCAAAAGCCTTCATGCCTGCATACGCACAAAAACTCTAGTCAGCTCTCAATGTGTTTACTTGACCCCCATTCCGGGGGGGAATGCAACTCACCGATCTTCTGATCCTGACTCCCAAACAATCCGTGGAACAATCTCCGCTCATACTCAACCCCTTCCCTCAACGACAGCTCCTGACTCTTGTTGACGACTTCCTTCCCAGCCACCACGGCCACCCTCGAGTAGCCCGCGATCGTCTCCGCCGTCTTCACCGCTTCCTCCAGCAGCTCGTCCAACCCGCCCTCGACCACCTTGGCGGCCATCCCCCATTGGCCGGCCTCCTTCCCGCTGAAGTTCTTGCCCGTAAGGATCAGCTCCATGGCCTTGCTCTTCCCGACGGCGCGGGTGAGGCGCTGCGAGCCCCCCGCGCCCGGCACCACGCCGAGCTTGATCTCGGGCTGCCCGAAGGTCGCCGTCGCGGTGCAGTAGATGATATCGCACATCAGAGCCAGCTCGCACCCGCCGCCGAGAGCGTAGCCGGAGACAGCGGCGATGACGGGCTTGCGGATCCCGGTGGCCAGGTGCGACCATGAAGCGATGAAGTTGTTCGTGTAGGCGGCGGAAAAGGTCAGTGGGGCCATTTCTTTGATGTCGGCGCCGGCTGGAATTGGAAGGATCGTTGGGATTAGTCTGGGTAAGTATGTATATAGTGATTCGTGGGGGAAGGAAGGGGGAAGTAAGAAGAAGAAGGTTCGTTTGTGGCCGACGTACCAGCAAAGGCTTTCTCGCTACCCGTGATAATGATCGCGCCAATGTCCGTGTCTTCGTCGAATTTGGTGAGGGCATCGTTGAGTTCGCGGAAGAGAGGGCTGGAGAGGGCGTTCAGGGCTTTCGGACGGTTGAGGGTAACTGTAATCCGGAACGTCAGTGATTCCCAATTCAATCATCGGAAGCTGATGCCTGGCGGGGGGGGGAGGTGTTGATAGCATACTCAGTCCCACCCCAGGCTTAGGAGTCGCGGTGAGGATGTGCTCGTATGCCGAGGCTGCGGAGGTGTATGTTCGCAGATGGGCGGACAGCGGCCGGGCAGTCCGGGAGGCGACGAGACGGGAGCAGTAACGGGCAAACATTATGATTGAAGGGGTCGATTCACAGGTGATTATACGGAGTAGAAACAAATCCTCTAGGAGATGAGACAGGTTTATAAGTTTGTGGGATGTTGCAAGACGACAAGCTATCCAGGTACTATCCCCGCAGAACAGCTTCGGCCGCGGCCCGCCAATAGCCGGCCGGTCCAAGGGACATCAGTTAAGTTCCATGTTTGATCGGTTTGACAGCAGCCTAGCACGTGATGGCTGAGTCAGGATTGAGGCGCAAGTGGCTATGCCGGGAGGCCGAAAGCGGGATAGAGGGAGCCGGAGACAGCACCAGCCAGCAGTGGACACTTTTCTGATTATCTTCTTTGCCTCCAGGCTGTATCTGCTACGAGCCGCACTGCTGCGAAACTGACTGACTACTCACTGCGCTGCTGTTTCCGTCACCCCCATCGCATGCGCTGACCGCGAAATAATTTCTCCTCTTGTTCAGTCCGCAGTCCCTCTGCTCCCTCCTTCTCTTCCCTTCTATCTTCCTGGTTCCCGGAAGGATTTGGTATCCTTCTCCTCTCTAGCGCTTTCGCCATGGACGTGCCCGAGCCCGAGCAGACTCCATTCACAGCCGTCACGGCACAGACTTCCAAACTCGCACGGGTGAGTTCTATTCTGCTGTTTCTATGCATCTCCGAGGAATCATGGCCAGTTCGACGCCGTTCAGGTTGCACGATCATCGGGCTTTTGTACCCCGGAGCGCGATGCCGGCGGAGTAGAGCGAGGAACAAACATGCTCACCTCCATGCAAACGATTCTATGAGCTGACTCCATTTCTCCACAACAGCAATACCAAACTTTACTCGATGCCTCAACTCCTTTCACAGCCTACCGCTGGACCGGCACTGTTGTTCTGCTGCTCGTCTTCTTCCTGCGAATTGTCCTCGCCCAAGGATGGTACATTGGTACGCCGGCCCCCAGAAACCCCAGACAAACGCAAAAGAAAAAGGTCCCGCCACCATGTCACAGAGCTAACTTCTAAAAATAGTCGCATACACCCTGGGAATCTACCTGCTGAACCTCTTCCTGCTTTTCCTGCAACCCAAGTTCGATCCCTCCCTGACCCAGGACGAGGGTCTGGAGGACGGTGATGCCGGCGCCCCCAGCCTCCCCACCAAGCAGGACGACGAGTTCCGGCCCTTCATCCGCCGGCTCCCTGAGTTCAAGTTCTGGCATGCCGCGACCCGTGCCATCACCATTGGCTTTGTTTGCTCGTGGTTCTCGGTCTTTGATATCCCGGTCTTCTGGCCTGTTCTTGTTGTGTACTGGATCATGCTGTTCATCTTGACGAGTATGTTTACCTTCCTCACCCGCTGTTCGACCCGGCTCATTTCCCCCCACTACTTGCTCAGCTTCAACGAACTGACTTCATGATTTACTCAGTGCGCCGCCAAATTCAGCACATGATCAAGTATCGCTACGTGCCTTTCTCCTTTGGAAAGACTAGATACGGCCGCTCATGATTAGCCTTCATCTATTTCGAAAGAATGATCTTGAAAGTACGGCTAGTGCCAGCCCATCAGACAGATACTCTAGTGGGAATGTCTGCTGCTAGCTGGTGCCTGTGTATGATATGATCAACGTTGATGAATTCATTATCATCATCACCCTTCATGTCTTTTGTTTCTTTTCCCTCTTTTTCTTGTTCTTACCTTTGTATGTTCGTTTTCAATAGCGAACATACTCGATGACCCTCAATACGCCTAACTCTTGTCATGTCGTTATGCATTTTTCTCTCTGGATTGCTTTACGTCTTCCTGTCGCCTGTGCCGTGCTGCAGACCTGCCTCGTTGCAGCTCATACACCAGCGGGATTATCGTCTCTCTGTCTGAGTCCACCAAGGAGGACAGATGAAATCACGGGCATAGCGGAGGGAGCGAAGGACAAGCTCAGAGGGATGATCCCACAAACCCTCCTAATAATCGAAACCTGATTGAATTGAACTGATCCCTGATGATGAATACGTGATGTGACGTGATGTGGCCTAGAACCTGAGCATGATTTGAATTCACGAGCTCGAGGGAAATGGAAGGAAGGTGGATGTGGGAGCCTGTCACAGGAAGGATGCGAAGATTGCTACTATTCTTTCCTCGGCTATTGTACAGAGATATCATTGTTCTTTTCTTCGCAGGACTCTCCTCATATATTCTTTTGATTCCTTGGTTTGAAATTGTTAGCCTAGTCGGCCTGCTGTTGCACGCTGTGTTGTGCTAATATACATAGAGTTTGTCTTGACAGAGAAGGCTTTCTGTATTGCCCGCTCACAAGGACCAAGTGGGCCGGTTATGAGGAAGTCGGTTTCAAAGTAGCCTGCAGGGCTATTGGCCGGTCGGAATATGATTGTTCCAGGTCTGCTACAACTACTTAACCGAGCCTCTTGGCAGACGGAGCTGCTACAGAGTCAGTATATCAATTATACCTTATGGACATGGATCAGAACTCTTGTGAGGCTTGACTAGTCGCCTGCACCTACCGATTAGGCCTTGTACAAGCGAAGAGGCTGGAATTCCTGAATCCCCTCTTGAGTGAGGTGGCTAAACCCCACTTCAGTCGCTTGAGATCCTGCCCATCCGAAAATGCCTTTGTAGCTCCTCAAGCTACGTCTTGTCCATCAGCCTGCCCGGAATGCCAACCTGGCGAGATCCGCGGCGGGACGTCGACCGGGAGCAAGTAGGTGCGGTATATGACTCGTGTGAGGAGTTACGAAATCCGGTAAGCTTTGTGCCTTGCAGTGCCCTAGTATGCTCTGTGGAGCCACATACTAAATAACCAAAGACTCTCCCCATAGATTCTAGTAGCTGTTCTGGCGTTTCCATCCCATCGGTTCACTGCTACACACAACAATGTTTCCACTCTCGTGATTAATCGAGCTGGGGAACAAGATCGGGATGTGAGACTTCAGGTTTCCAACATAAATACTGATTTCTTTATGGCGAGTTCCCCTTTACTATTCCGGCTGTAGTCGGCTGAGAGCATGTTAGGTTCCATAAAGGGCTCTGATATATCGTTTTAGTAGATCAGCTAGACCCCCAGAATAAGCTCCGTTGCCGCTTCCGCCACTGCATACAGAGTTGCCTGCGGATGCCCCCCAATGCTCACGGGCAAGATGCTCGCATCGATGACCCGCAGGTTCTGGACCCCGTACACGCGCAGGCTCGGGTCAACGACCTTGCCCGCCGCCGCTGTACCCGCCGGATGGTGGTGGGCCTGGCCTCCGGCACTGATCCGGGCGTTGATCTCGCGGTCAGACGATGCTGACGATAGGGCTGCCATCCCCGGCGGTGGAACCTCGGCTTCGATGTAGTCTCTCGTCGCGGTGGTGTCCAGCAGCGCCTGCATCGACCGCCGGCTGCCATGGATCAGCGAAACCCGGTCGATCTCCGTGTCGAAGTAGTTGGCGTGAATCACCGGCAGTCGGCGGAGGCGGATGCGATGGTGACGTATCCGCGAGGTCGAGCAGAGTCGCATTACGGAGGTCATGATGTACTCGCCGTTGAAGGGGATGTGGGGCAGACCCGCGGGTGCATAGGCCACCAGCGATTCCACCAGCGGTCGTCCGGGCTGGAACAGCGATGCATCGTCCGCCAGCACCGGGGCGGGCACGTCGAGGTTAGCCGCCCAGTCAATGGGGAATCCCTTCATGTACGCCGGGTCGGTGAGGTTGGGGCTGCCCAGCGCGAGGCCCCGCTCCGGATTGCGCAGCTTGTAGATCTGGTAGTTGGCTAAATGGTTGTGGAAGTTCCGGTCCACCTCGGGTACATCCCTGGCCACGGGGATGGCGTGCTGGGTCAAGGTCGCGGCTGGTCCGATGCCGGACAGCATCAGGAGCTGCGGGGTGCGCAGCGCACCGGCGGCCAGGATGACCTCTTTGTGCGCAGCGTAGCGGCGGCTGTCCGTGAGGACCACTCTGGACGCCGTTCGCTTTTTGTTGTTGTTGTCGGCCGCAAACTCCACCCGCTGCACCGTCGCGCCCACGAGGACCTGCACATTCTCCAGGCTGTAGGCTTGGTAGGCTGCTTGCCGCTGGCCCCGATGCCACGTCTCGAGGAATTCAGAGACCCCGGCCAATTGGCCCGCACCGCCGTTGGGATTGTGCGGGAGCCCCGATCTCCGCCCAGGCCTTCTTGATGGGCTCGCGCAGCGGAAATTGCTTCTCTGCATCGCGTCCGCCCGATGCGGTGACGTGAATGGACCCGTCAAAGCGAAGCCGTGCTGCTCCGGGTCCGCCTGGTGATCGAACCACGACTCGGCCCGGCGCAGGTAGGGGAGCGAGCCGGCATTGCTCCATCGCTTGTCTCCCACGATGGCTCCCCGTTGGTCGTAGTCGGCGGCATTTCCGCGATGCCAACCCCCGAAGTTCCATGATCACACTGCCTCCTCGAGGGCCCTGCCAGCATGGACGGTGTGGAATCTGCTATCGGTGTTGGGCTCGGGGACGGTCGGGTAAGCCCAGTCCAGCGGGGAGTCCAGCAGTAAGAAGAGCCCGCGGAAGGTCTTGGTGTTGGCGTTGAGTTTCGAGAAGGAGGATCTCCAGGGCTGCGTTGCGTTGCTTGAGGCGCGAGGCAACCGCGCATCCCGTGATGCCCCCTCCTACAATGATGTAGTCAAAGTCGAGCAGCTCCATTTTTGGGGAGAGGCGGCATACAGTCAAGGTCAGGAGAAAGAAGAATTCTGTAGCGTTGCGTCGGTAAGGGGACTAAGATTCTCGCTTGGGGGAGCAATATATGCGATCCTCACATCTTAAGACCGGCGTTAGGGAGGAGTAGCATTGGCTGTCGAAACATCTAACGGCTTAGTTACTGCGATGGCAGCTGCACTGCATAAGCGATGGGGGGAAGAGCGACAGGCAGGCACTTTAGTTCTGATTGCTCTGGCCTCCCCTCCTCCCGCCAACTTTTGGCCTCTTCTGCCCCCAATCCAAAGTGACTGGGCCATAAGGTACTAACAATCCCTGTCGTTCAAAACTGGAATGTGTTGACTTCGTAGTAGGCCTCGGTTCCAGTCAAGAGAGCATAGCACAGCCTGCCATGATAATATGATATTCTTCTGCATGACATGATGTAGTATATCGCTCTAGTAGTATGGATATCTATACCAAGATACCCTGCCTGCCTTACTCGGTGTTCCCTGTCTCTTTGTCTCACTCCATTTCACTTCTCTGTTCGTTTTCGCCGCTGCGGATCCCGCAGTCCCTCTGCGAGCAAGATGGTCATCGACAACTATTCGAGAGGCGAAATGATCGCGCTGGGGTTCACATTATTGTTCATTCCATGCATATTCGTTGGGTTGAGATTCTGGGCCAAGTGGCTTCAGCGGCGAGCGCTGCAATGGGATGATCTTCTCATCTCGTTAGCCTTGGTAAGAACCACAGATCCATACATACTTTCATATTCGAGTACCCGATTTGAACCCATCCCAGGCGTTTTCCAACGGGTGCGCCGTCATTCAACTGATCGGTATGAAGCAAGGAACCCCCCTGTTCATCATGATGGAACTGCAGCGCTGATGGTGTATGCTTCAATCCAGCTGCAATCGATGGCCTGCTTGGCCGGTACCAGAAACTGGACGCTGAGGGAAACCCCAATTTCGAGGATCCTCTCTTTTTTATCTACAAAAAGGTGAGTTGGGCCGCTTTCCGGCACTTATACCTACTTAATTAAGCCTTAAGCTAGTACAGAGTAAGTTTAACCAGCTACTCACTATTCTCGGACTAGAAATAATTAAACTATTTCTACCAAGTCTCTTTTATAGGTTCTTCTCAGTCTTTAATGATATCTCTGTCTGACTACAATAATCTATATAGGAGTGTGGACGGTGACCTTCTTCTTTACTATCCTGTTTATGTGTATCCCGGTAAACAGGCTGATTAAACCATTCTATGGGAGTAAATGCATCGACCCCACGCCCATGTGGTACACCTCCTGCATCAGTCATTGTCTTTTCTTACTCTATAAATTACCATCAAAACAATCAGCTCACGCCGAGAAATGAACCTGGGAGGGGATCAGGTTGAGTACTTGAACTTAGACTAAGCGCTAACCAAACCTGCCCGTTCCCTACCAATACTACTTTGTAGGGCTTTGTCCACCCAGCGGGCGGTGATTGTTTTTAATTGTCGAATTATTCCCCACCCTCCCGGTCTTAAGGTAGGTAGACACGACTTTTCCCTCCCTCATGTACTCCAACTGGTCGACGTTCCGAGGAACCTAATCATCAGCCACGGGAAGATCCGGGTCTCTCGTGGCTGGATGAAATAAGGGAGGGGGGATCTTGGTGGGTGAAATCGGACTCGCAGTTTAGACGAAGCATCAGATCTCCGTGTCCGTATCCCTGGTCTGACAGGGGAAGAGGGGTCCAGTCCACTTGCGAATCTTGTGGGTCTAAATCTTTAGGTGTAGTCTACGGGATTACTCCGGAGTATATCAAATAACTAAGTAAGTTAGATTATACCTCTAGTGCTCACCTCAGCACCAACGGTTGGACATACTCCGTATATCCATTTACTCTACTCCGTATCTAGTCTAGTACGTACCCGGATCTATTTCCGTCTCTTCCGTCCATGTGGCTGGCAGGGCACGGATACCGATTGGGCCCTGCTTCCACGGCCCGGCCCGCAGAGGTGAGGCACAACAGTCGGCAGCGGGACGATTAGCTGGAAACTGAAGATGCATGAACCAAAAGCTGGAGGGGTAGATTCGGTAAACCTGCTTCTTCTGCAATTGAACCTCCTCTGCTCTCCCCCCGTCTATGTATCCGGCCAAGGTGCTGCTACAGACAGAGCACAATCAATACTGTCGAGCCTTCTTCTCTTTGATTTCTCTTGTTTCTTATTTTTTTTTTTTATTTTTATTTTTTTTTTGTTTCGTTGGTAGGTTTTCCCAGCCTGCCAGTTACTGTAGCTACTCCGTAGTTGCTAACTACTAAATACTCCTCCCTCTTGGACGCCAGCACCAGCACCGCAGGCCACGTAAACGCCCACCGAGCCTCGACACCCCGCTGCAACCCCTCCTCCAGCGCCTCCGCAAAGGGGGAGATAAGCTCGACGAAGGCGCGGAGCTGCGCGACCGACCGTCCACTCCTTCCGCCACAGCTGGCAGTCCTCCACCTTCACCACCCGCTCGTGCCGCCCTGCCCGACTGGCCGCCGGCTCGACGGGGAACCCGACCCCGCAGGAGGTGCGCGAGATAAAACCCATGTCCGCCCAGCCCGCGCGGTCCGCCGCGATCACCACCCCAGAGTGGTGTTCGACAATCGCGTCCAGCAGCCGCTGACAGCGCGCCGCTGCCGGGTCCGCAAAGTGCACCCGCCCGTAGAACCAGATCGCCAGCATCGCCCCGGGCTTTAGGAGGTGGTGAATGCTCTGCAGCGCGGCCTGGGTGTCCAGGAGTGGGGACACCAGCGTGCACACCACCAGGTTGGCGGACGCGGCGGGGTACTGGGCGCTGAGGTCTTCGCCTCTGCTGACGGTGAAGCTGAAGCGGGAGGAGGGCCCGGTGGGCGGTTTGGCGGCGGCCACCAGAAAATACGGTGGTGGCTATTGTAGGATAGTTTCGGGCTACACAACCCTGATTTTTCGACGGGCTGATCTGTAACCACTCACGTCCAACAGAGGAAGACCCTGATTGACAGCCACCCGGGCCGGCAGAGCTACTCGGGGACAATCGGAATCGAATGCACTATCCAACCTCTATAGAATCAATCTTGCCACTGACAAATCTAGTTGCTGACATGTTTTCCAAATGTCCTAATTTAGCCTTCCCTCTAACCATAGTGTTAATTTCATAGCAAACAGGCACGTAATGCTTGGCATCTCCAGCTCGCGCATCGACCTAAAAGTCCACATTCCCGTCCTCAAAAACATTGTAAGATATTGGCATTCTAGTAAAATCTCACTGCAGTCGCTGCTGGACATGTAGTCAACCTGAACTCCATAGGCATCGCGAATAATAAGGTGGGCTAGATTCTCAAAGGGTGTAGTCTTCAATGGCCCTGTAGTAGAGTCTTCGTTGTCGTGACTACCATCCGGGTAGACAACAGAGGCGCTTACTTTTAGGGTTGCATTAATAAGACCCTCGTCGGGAAGCACCAGCTCCTTCTTAGACTCGGATAAACAACCGCGTAGGTAGACGAAGAAGAAACGGTCACTTTATCCAGCTGTCGATATCGAGAAAAAAGAAAAAAGGTGGGGGAGCATCTCACGCGATAATAGGAGTCGTGGCGATCTCAAGGAACTCGATCTTGAATATCTGGTCATTTTCAGGCACGGTGTCGTAGGTGGCGTCGTTGTGGCCGGGGACTCGGTTGTCCAGTTGGGCCATTGTATACTGTGTGGGGTCGCAGAGTAGCGAGTGCAGCGGTGTAAGTACAGAGAGACAAGATTTGTAGGAGACTTGATTTCATCGTGTCGTGGCGTTGAGACAGCCTAGGATGAAAGACCAACGAGGGAGGAGAGGAGGGATGGCTTTAACGTAATCGGACACCGAACAGGCGCGACACCGAACCGTCGTTTTCCTATATAAGTACCACTATAAAAATGGCAACTTTATGATATTTTCAACTACTAGATATTAGCAAAAGTGATATAGTAGATTGTGATATATAAAGCTAGATAAGGTATATTACAAAGAGGATTTCAGCTAGATTAATTTAGAATACAGTATGCGAACCCTTCTGAACTGGTGAAAGAGGACCAAAAAGTAGAGATGGGACTGGTTCAACCTGGGCTGGGTATGCCGTGGAACTATCTATCCTAATTATGTCAGCAGGGTATCTGTGAAACGATACATGTCATTGAGAATCTAATCAGAATGTCTCCCACGAGCTAGAAAGCCACTTGAAGCGAACTGTCATGGCGCCCGAAAATGCGTTCTGATGATAATGTTGACCATTGAAAACTCTGGATCGTCACCTTCCCCTGTATTCGAGCGTTGAGCTGGATTCAACCTGGCCAACAATTTCGACAGCCCGTGTGCTGCACCTCGATGAGAAGCCTCGGTGATTTTGGACAGCAAGAAAGGTGAAAAGGAAGTAGGTTTATTTGTGACGATGATTTTCACAATGTCTTCGCAGTACCCTTGTTTTCTCAGGTGCTCGGGGACGTACATTTTCCAACGAATCCGTGGCTTTGGTGCCTCGGGTTTCAAGCTGCAGCGGGGCAAGACGGTATAGTATCCTGCAGCCCCGTCGTTTCTGGTCAGACATGAGATACCCCATGAAGGATTCATGTCCAATACTGTCATATATAGCGGAGTTCCTTGGCTAAGATTCTCAAACTCCAGCGTGACAATTGTTGCATCGTCGACGTCCAAAGTCCCCGTAAAATCATACGGGCTGTTCAGCTGGTCTAGAAGTGTATATCGAAACATCGCTTCGAATTGGGGGTTTGGATTGCGATTGTCGAGCCCTTCAATGAACTTGAACGTTGCCATATGCTCCAGGGCGCGGAGTACTTCGTCGGACACCCCGCTGTCTTCTGCCGGGTGGAAGGGAAAGCCGAGAATTGCATCCCCCGACGAATCCAAAATCCGGTAGGTCTCGTTCTGAGGGCTTTCGAGGTAGAACTGACATGATCTTCCCTGACTCTCCTCGGCGTGAAATTCGAGAAAGTGGCTTCCCCTCGCCGCGGCTTCCCACTGGGATGGATTGCCGATGGAATCAAGCAGACCTGCTTTAATCTTGTGTGGAGAGATACTCGTGAGAGCTTTCGCCTTCCATCCGCTTTCATTGCTCATGGCCGTATCCCGGGGCTCGAGGACGTCCAGATCCGATGTGATCGCGTCGACAGAGCTAACTCGGGCCCTAAAAGACTTGCCGGGCGGCAAGTTGGTCGAATTCTCGGAAGCATCAAATGGATAGAGGGCATATTCATCGCCCTCGTATATCCCATGTGCACGTCCCGCCTGCAACACAAGCTTTTGACGATTTTCCTCCACCAAAACGAATTTGTGGTTCGCTTTCACCTGGAGGTCGCTAAAAAAGCAGAAGTCCGTTCGTCCATAACACATTGGTGTCTGCGAGGGCCACACCGAGTGCATTCTAGCCACAAGATGGTTGTGCAGCGATTGTTGCGAGACGATGCCTCCAGCATGCTGAAGCCTCATCAGGGACTCGTGCAGAAACCACGTTAGTGCGCCGTGGGTTTGGCCGGCGACGTCGACCTCCCGCGCGACTTCGTGGGGGCCACAGGCGGTCAGAATCGTGTAGCCGGCGGGCTTTAGAAGCCAATCCTCTGGGGATACTTCTGCATTCCTCATATAAGGAGCCCTGGACAGGTCTGATGTGGGATAACTGCTGGAGCTGGTAGGCTGGGCGCGGCCGGACGTCCGAATTATGGCTCCCGGCACTTTCGAGTGACGATACACATGGCCGGAGTAACAGCAATCGAGAACCAATGTGACTTTGAGGCCTTTGTCGACCAGCCATTTCAGCCTGATTGCAAGGAACCGGCCGTTGAGATCTTCTTCCCGGCGGCCGTCGTCACCGAGGACAATTAGGGTGGCATCCCCAGTATCTTTGTGGCCGTGTTTGATTTTGGGATTGGTGAGCAGCGTGCGAGTACCATGACCGGAGAAATGGATATAGACAAAGTCCCCTTCTTGTGCGTTGTCCTTGATTCGCTCAATACTAGATTCGATGTTCGATACGGTTGGCCATTGTGCTGGATTCTCGGGCGGGTGAGGTTGGTCCACTGCGGTTGACGACGCTTTCAGCACTTGGATGTCGACCTTTCGCTTGTCACGTCGGAAATATTCTTGCATGAGTTCGACATCATTGACGGGGCCTTTGAGGGGGACCTCTTCCACGTAGAAATTGATTCCGATAAGGAGGGCCCAGTGATGGGGCTTCTGGCCTCTGTGAATCATGGTTGTGTTGCAGGCTTGGAGATATCGGAAGGTAGGTATGACAGAACTGAAGATGTCACCTTCACCACCGGGTATCCTGCTATCAAAGGTCCATGTCCGTTGGGCAATGAAGTGGATTGGGCCGATAATCGATGTCTCCGAGTTGTGGCAAGGCTGTATAGAATGCTTCCACTACGAGGCAAGGCTGTCCGGACACTGCAGTCAACGGAGGCGCAACGCGTCATACTGCAGATATCATTGGCCCACGTCTCACGTCACAAGATGGCGAAGAGACTCGTTCTATTTATGTATAAGACGCGTGGAAGTCTCTTGTCGCATCAAAATAGTAATCCTTCTACCCGCCTCTTACCCCTGGTGGGCTGTGCATAATTAATTGAAAATGCGAAATGGTGGGGGAATTCTTCCCTGCTGGGGCGACTACGAAAAGCAGACGCCGCCAGACAATGCGGATAATCCGCCGGTTGGTGTCCATCCCATCCAACGACCTCAACGCCAGATCGAAGATTTTCAGCCTGGGTATCCTCAACTTTCAACTTTAGTCGGCGCCCATGATACTTTTCAAATATATCGCCGATTTGCTAACCTGCGTTCTCGCTTACTCCTCTACAAACAAGATTCATTGTCCGTGCTTGAAAAGAGACTCAATGAGGTCGACGATAACGAAGCTTCTCCACTATTCCTTGGAAGTCGAAGAAGAGATCGAAATGAGACTCGCCAACAAGTGCTTGCTAGAATTGATACTGAGTTGGCCGAATATGGTAAGTCACCACGATGCAGTAACACTTGAATAGATCCCATGATGTCCCGACCCAAGTTCTAACACTGCATCGCTACTGCAAGACAATCTGATAGAAAGAACTGCCCGAATCAATGCTTTCTGTCCAGCCCCGGGACGGGACACAACAAGCCTACAAAATTGGATCAACGGAACCGGCAGTATCGCACGAGCAGAGAGCCGATATCTTGCGGAGAATGATCTATTCACTTTAAAATCATCGGATGACGGGCCATTGTTGCGACTGGAAGAGCATCTTGAATCTCTTTTCACCAAACTATTCAGAGGATTCTTCAGGGTGTGTCAACGTATCGCTGTAATCATTATAGGCACTTCTCTTACCTCTCAAATCAGAAATACACGGCCTTCGAAGTATCCCGAGATCACCAAGTCTTCATTCCTACAGGTCTGTTGGTGAAAAGGATCGCTCGAGCCGTGATGGCTGCCGTCACCACTATCCTGATTCTACTACCCATGCTGATGTGTAATTACCTGCAAAATCCGACAACGCGGATTATCATCATTGCTGTGTCCGTTCTTATCTTTATTGCGATTCTCTCGGGCATAAGCAAGGCAAAAAGCATGGAAGTATTTGTTGCCAGTGCAACGTAGGTGTATGTCCTCAATTCTGGTGGGAAAAAGTCTGCTGATTTCTCGATCACCCAGCTACGCGACAGTTGTGATGGTATTTATCTCAAATGGTTCAGGGAATTGAACAATTTCCGGCTTTCTTCGACCTTGCGGTCCTAAATACGACGGTAGGTACATCGGTTGGTATCGAGTCCACCTTTACTCTAGGATAGTATGGGCATTCAGCCGTCTCTCAATCGACAAGTGTCAGCTCCATCTCGGTGAAGTCTTTTCGACCATTTATCTGACATGGGTCACCATCCTCAGCACATAGCGTGTAGGTTCCAGAGGCAGTGACCCTCTCGACCATGTACTCGCCGTGAGCGGTAGTCGAGCCGTCCGGATTGCGGATATTCACTTGCACGGAATCCCCCGGGCGAAACTTCCTAGACTTCAGGGTAAAAGGTTCAGAAACCATGATCTGCGCTAGGAAGCTTTCTTCTTTCTTACATGAGGATATTTTGCAATGCTTGGGCGGCCAGCTCCGTCGGCGGGGACGATCGTGGGATTATTCCAGCTGCAAATCAGACATCAGATACGATCCTGCGTGGTTGGGAAAGGAAACGAACACCCTACCTCTGAGGCTCAGCCATGGTGGGATGTAGCGGACGCGGGCCTAGAGTTGATCAAAGCCTTGGGATGTGGTGAAGGTCGATTCGAATGAGAGGTGTTTACGCGGTCGGGAATTGCAATAATTGAAGTCTCAATTGTTCAGCCGTCGGTTCCTGCTGAAGCTTATATATTGCTTGTATGCTGGCCCAAGCAATGCGCAGCTCTCCATTGACAGTTCAAAGATACCTGTCAAAGCCATCGGAACTGACGGGGATATTGGAACCGACCTGTCAGCCTGAGATAAATGCTCGTAGCCCAAAATTGGTTTAACGTGGAAGCCATTGATAGGATCGTCTCAAAGACTTTCACCCACCTTCGCCTTGGCGCCTAAACTCACGTACCAAATGCAGCAAGACAAGGCTGTCTACCAGAGCGCCAGAATGCCCGTCGACTTCTCGCTGGCAAGTTTCAGTGGCTTGCCAGCTAGATACACCAAAAGAGTTGGTGGCGCGTAGAATCCAATCGCGACTGTGGTGCAGCTGCTGCGCCCCAGTTATGAAACGTGTTTCAAGTTGGGCACCGAAAGCCTAGTATGTAGTGCCAAAGATGAGGCGATGCCAGAAGTGACATTGGATGCGAGTCTCAGCTGTTGTATACGGCGCGAATCATCAATCACCTTGCCTGGCTATCCCTCTGGTGGCGCATCAAAGGCGCCTGGGATAGCAGTGTTGCTCGCGAGGCCTGGCTTGACCTCACAGCCTCGTTGAACATGTATTAATATGGTGACCATCTCTGCCATCGAGCAGACTCTGGCTATTTCGAGGTTCTATAGCGAACTATACGATATTATCACCTGATACTTCCCCTGACCCTCTTCCCTAGACCTTCTAAGCCATATTGCAACCTTTAGCAATGCCTACCATCGAGGTAGAGGGTTTGCATCTGTTTCGTGTCGACGACGAAATCTTTTCCCTCTTCCAAGACATGAGCGACGATGAGCTACAATCCTTCATTCAGATGCATGCAGAATCTACCAGCGATGAACAGATTGAGCTTTACATATGCACCTGCTTATTTGGATTCACAAGATCGCAATCTTCATCGCGAGCCAGAGAGTACATTGAGCAAGCCCTTGAGCAAGCCGAACTTTGGGTTGCAGTAAGTGCTGCTGACGGTTCAGAATACGCTCGTCGAGCTCAGATCCTGGATGTCTTGAGCGCCGTCAGATCAGATTATGAACAGTCGAAAGGTTCACATTTGCACGAGCCGTAAGAATATTGTCGGATTTCTGTTGCAAAATTACGCTGCTGACATTTCCCAATCGCCAGGAACCTTAGTCTTTCGACAGGGGAGGTAATTTCCCTTCGAAAGGACCTGGCTGCACAAGCCCTTGATTTATATCATATGTTTAACCGCACTGGAGATCTCGAGGTTTTGAACAATGCGATTGAGCTTCAAGAACAAGCTACCCAGATTACCCAAGACGAGGACGTACCAATCTTGCATATGTTGGAATTTCTTGGCGCCATGTTTGCTTCTCGTTTCCAGAGAACTGGATCGATTGGAGATCTCAACCGTGCCATAGAGCTCACTCGTCTGAAAGTCGACTCGGACCTGGGTTCCTCGACGACATTGCTGGGTAACTTTGGAGCCATGTTAGGCGAGCGCTTCTCACGAACCGGCTCCGCTGATGACCTTGGCTCTGCCTTGACGTATCTCACTGAGGCAAGCAAAAAGGAATTCCAAATTGGCCAGATTGATATTTCGACGTTGATAAATCTCGGAATGAATCTCGGCAGACGGTTTGAACAGACAGGTTCCAGGGAGGATCTTGACCGTGCTATCGGGGCCTTCAGCTCGGCAGTAGACCTCTTCCCTGAGGATCGTTCTGAGCGACCTCTTGCTCAAGCAAGCCTTGGGACTTGGCTCTGCACACGGTACGAGTCGACCGGCTCGATGGAGGATCTCAACCGGTCGATTGAGCTTCTCAGTTCGGCCGTCGACGCTGGGCCTCAAGCATCCTATCAAGTGGACGTAGGGGGGAGGGCGCACCTTGGGAATGCCCTTGGCAGACGATTTGAAAGAACCGGTTCCTTGAGTGATCTCGACCGTGCCATCGAGGTCTTTCAGCAGGCGCTGGATTACCTGCCCCTGGAAGACCCATCAAGGCGCGCTGCTTGCCTTGGAGATCTTGCAACATGGCTCGGTAGACGGTCCGAGAGAAATGCCTCAATCCATGACCTGAGTCGAGCGATCGACTCTTATCGCTCAGCACTGAACCTCACTTCCCAGAGCGATCCTTTAGCGCAAGGACTGAGTCGCCATTTGCGATCCCACCAATTCAGCGGCTTAGCAGCCTTGCTGGGTCGGCGGCATGAAAGAACAGGTTCTATTGATGATCTGAATCTTGCTATCGAGAAGCTCACTCTAGCTGTGAAAACGATCACCCCAGGAGATCCTGACGAGAATGCCAATTACGCCAATTTGGGAACCTGGCTCACGAAACGATTTCAGGTGGTCGGCTCAATCGATGATCTTAACCGAGCCATCGATTATTTCGGCCTCGCAGTGCAGAAGATACCTCGCCAGCATCTCCATTATTGTCAATTGTCGTTCGAATTTGGACGGGCTCTTCTCCTTCGATACAGAGTGACAGAATCAGCGGTTGATCACGACCGCGCGCTGAACTCCTTTCAAAATGGCTGGATGTGTCGGAACGCATCCCCATACAATCGACTTTTATCGGCCCATTGCGCCCGTCAAATCCTCACTGCGTCAGAGAAATGGCAAGAAGCAAGTGAGTTGATGCAGGGGGCGATGGAGTTACTCCCCAACATAAGCCCACGTACATTGCAGCACTCGGACAAACAATATCGACTTGCCGAATTTTCCGGCTCTGCTTCTACAGCGGCGGCGATCTGCCTCCACGCGGGAAAAGAGCCATATCACGCTTTGAAGCTCCTGGATCTTGGTCGGGACATTATTGCCGGCCTTCTGATGGAGATGCGCGGTGATATCTCCGACCTTGAGCAACAACACCCCACTCTGGCCCGGGATTTCCTTTCCCTTCGAGACATACTGGACTCGCCGAGGGGACGGATTGGTGATTTCCCTTCGGTCCGCGGGGTGCAAAACCTAGAATCAGAAGCAAGACATCTTCGTGAAGCAGACGAGAGAATGAAGACTCTGATTGAAACGATCCGTGCGCAGCCACAGTTCCACAATTTTCTTCTTCCACCCACTGCAGGCGAAATGATAGCCGCAGCAGACCCTGACCCCATGGTGGTGATCAATGTGAGCGGGCGCTGCGATGCCTTCCTCATCGATCGCAACCAAATTCGAGTTCTGAATCTACCGCTTTTGCGACAAGGTGAGGTGTCCGAGTGGGTCGTACGACTGAGATCCTCCCCTTCCTCGATAGCGCCATTGCTCGAGTGGCTGTGGGATACCATTGCTCACCCAGTCCTCGAGGCTCTGGGGTTCACTGACCCCGTTTCTGACGGTCACTGGCCGCGTGTATGGTGGATTCCCACCGGGCTACTTGGTAGCCTCCCTCTCCATGCAGCAGGGTATCACCAGAAACGATCGGGGGAGACCGTCCTAGACCGAGTCATGTCATCGTACGCCTCTTCTGTCAAGGCGTTGATCTATTCGCGGCAACGGCATCGCTCCCTGCCATCCGGGCATCTATCTGACCATGCTGTTCTTGCTGCTATGCGACAGACCCCAGGGCTACCCGTCAATGGCGTTTTACCGTTCGCCGCACACGAGGTTGAGATGCTCGAGAATCTCTGCCCATCACTTCACCTCGCCCCGGTCCGACCGACTCTGCGAAAGGCCGATGTTCTCGCCAGCCTGAAGCAGTGTAAACTCTTCCATTTCGCAGGACACGGGCATTCCGACCCCGTTGACCCATCCCGGAGCCACCTCCTCCTCACTGACTGGGACACCGATCCGCTGACCGTGGGCGACCTGCGCGATAGCAAGCTTCAAGAGAATCCTCCCTTCCTGGCATATCTCTCCGCCTGCTCGACAGGGATGAACAGAGTGAACCAGCTTACCGATGAGGGAATCCACCTCATCAGTGCTTTCCAGCTGGCGGGCTTCCGACATGTGGTTGGCACCTTGTGGGAGGTATCGGACCAACACTGTGTGTCGGTGGCAAAGGTTCTCTACGAAACCCTTCGTGACGAGGGAATGACAGACATTGCGGTAGTCAGAGGGCTCCATAATGCAGTGAAAGCTCTCCGTGATGCAGACCTTGGGCCAGTGCGAGACTCGCGAGATGCAGAACCGCTGGATGAGGATGGGGGACCGAAACAGGAAAATAACTTTGCAACTTACTACTGGGTCCCTTACATACACTTTGGTATCTAGGAGGAAAAGGGATTTGAGTTGAGATGATAATGATGAAGGACCAATGGAATTTTCGTCACAGATCTAAAGTCTACATCATTTACTTTCCACTCCACAAGGTATATGTATATCCTCTCCTCAACACAACCCCAAGTTTACTGTTTTTGACATCAGGCTGAAGTACCCTCTCCTTCAACCAACCATTTTCACAACATGAATGCTTTAATCTTGACGCATGATCCTTTAGAATCACAAATCAAAAGCAGCCTGTTGCGTGGGGGCCGAGCTGAGCTAGGGTGAATTTCTACTCTATTTTACAGCTTTAAGCCCCGTGGTATTCCCCGGTGAAATTAGTCTGCATGGTAGGTAACCCTAATGGCGATCACAGGGGAAATCCACTGATTTTTTTTCCTTTCTTCCATCAGGAAAATACACCTTCGATTCCCTCATAATTCTTCATTGTAGAATGGAGTTGAGGTCAATGATAAGTACCGGTCTTCAGCAATGGATGTTCAACACCCTTGAGCTACCTCTTAGCAACCTACTGATTACCCCCTTGCTATCTCTGGTCATGAATTTGGTTTCTCTCCCTCTCTCCATACATGTTCAACATAGCCGTGTTTGTTCTAAGTGGCTGACTTCGTGGAGTGCAGTGTTACACCCCCTCTGCTTGCGGGGCTTTGTCGGTTCTGTATGCGGCGGGGATATTGACAGTATATACATCAATCAGTAAACGGGTTGCTGAATGCCTACGGCTTGGCGGGCCCTATCCTACAACGCACGAAATCTGGTCTCAAGCTCGTCTTTACTGAGCACAAGTATCAATCACAACTCTCACCATGTCTATTTTATGCTCGAACATTGAGGTGTCGTTTGCCCATCGGAGAAAATGGTTGTTTCGAAGTATATCGAGTCGGATGTCGGGCGCTTTCCCTTTTCTGATAATCTCCCCCCGTCGTCTTTTCAGGTAACGTTAACGATCACCAAGAGCCTGACTGAGTCTACTGATCCCGCAACAGAACATCTGTCACCGTTGAGACCGAGATGAGTATAGAAGAAGATCTTCTTCTTAGCCATAGTATCTAGGAATAAGAGTAGCTTAATAAGGGGATTAGTAGTATAGCAGTAGGTATTTAGAGAGACTACAAGTAAGTAAATTATCTAGAACCTAAAAAAGATTCTATAGTTTATATGGAATATAGTTTATATAGAAGAAGTACAGGGGCCTAAACTAGTTCTAATTATAAAGATAATAGTCTAGTTCTTTTTATCTCTTCAGTAATTTATAGACTATACTCGAAGCTGTAGGTAATCTAGACTATCTATCAGAGCAGTTTACATATAGAAGATCTATAAATAGGCCTACTAATTAATAAGCTCTATACAGCTTTACTGATAGTCTAAAGTATATTAGGATATCCGGAAATAAGAGGATAATGTTTGTGGGATGCGTTGCTTCATGTTTTTGAGGGTTTGGCGTACTGGGCAGTTCTTGGGCTTCTAGGAAGCACCTTCATAGCTAGCCGCGATAGGCGGGCTCACGGGGGTCCCAGGGCCCCCCGAGGTTAATTGAAGTGAATTGCACAGTTTCGACTGGAACCGGGCGATGCTTCTCGCCTCCTTCTTTATGTCACTGCGCCGGTGAGGTAAACACCTTCGGCGCCAATGATCGATGAACGCTGAAATAGCTGCATCAGTTTCTCCATAACTGCCAAAGGATTGTTGTCGGATGATAATAGCTCACAACGTCAATGAACCCGCCATGACGAGAATTGATCGAATGGGCCGAGATCGATCGTAGAACAACTGAAGGCCAGCTGGATTGAAGAACAGGACTGCGACATCTAAGTAGAACCAGGTGGTCGAACATAATGCGACCTCATTTACAGATAGAAATATGTAGACATGAACAGTATGAAGCGGAAGGCAAAAGCCATACATAAACCTTTTGTAAAGCCTGACGCCAGGAATGCCACCACCAAGAAAAGAAAAACCAACCATCCAGAACTAAAGTGAGACAAGACACATCCAGGAACTAGTGCATAGTGCAGTGCTTTACAGGTACAGGGACTGGGCGGCGACGATGTCTCTGCGCACCTTGGTCAGGGAGGTTTCGAAAGTCCGCTCGAGTTCTTCGCTTCCCATGACCTTGGCTGCCTGTGCCATCTGGCGCATACACTCCTCGAGTCGGCGGAAGACACGGATCAAGCTGCCTTCGTAGACGTCGGTCATTTGGCTGCACGGAAATAAGTTAGCAATTCAAGCCGACTCAAAGATCTTAGATAGGACCTCGACTTACCAAATCTCGGAGAAGGACTTTCCGTTCGCCCACTCGTACATGACCTCCATCAGTTCCCAATGGAAACTGTTCACGTACTCTTCCTCATTAACGGCCAGCTTGGACTCCTGCGACACCTTGGCCACAATCCGAGCCTGCGCCTGTATCTCCTTGAGCGGCTTGGCCAGCTCGTCCCGTGTCAGGGCAGGAGTGTCCTTGGTCTTTTCCTCAAACACAAACACGCTCAGGACGGCGGCCACTTGCTCCGGCGTGAGCTTGTTGAAGAAACCATTGAAAAGGAGTTCACTAAGCATGAGCTCGTCACCCGTACTGATTTCGCAGGCAACTCGGGCTTTCAGCTGCACGACCTCGGCTTCATTGATGAAGCCAAAACGACGCAGAACCCGCTTGCGGCATTTCAGCTCATCGAGCTGCATGATGGACATGGCGTCGGAGATCTTCTTCTTCGTGTCCTTGATCTTGTTTCCGAGCTCCACCTTCTCCGAATATTGATCGTATAGTTCCGCCAGGCGGGGGGAGTTGTGCAATGGGTTGGTAAATAACCGGGATTCCAGGACTTCGACTTTCTGTCAAACCGTTAGCGATAAACTCTTGCTTGGAGAATTAGTTCACTGACCCTAAGAGTCTTCTTAAAGCTGTCATCTTTAATCTGCATGTCTTCAAGTGGGTCCATAAGGGCGATGCCATCCGGGAACCGCTTGTGAATCTCGGCAAGAGTTTTCTTCATGGAATTCCGCGAGTCCTTGGACTTCAAGTCTTTGGGAAGAAAGACACGGGGTTTTCCAATGGAGTGAATGCAACTGAGCACAATCGGGACCACCTCCATGGATGACCTCTCGCCGTCCTTCGGCGGCCGCACCCCGGATGGCATGTCTTCAAAAGACTTAGTACCAACGGAGTTACCATCGGCCAGTTCGAGCAAGACATCGACAACGTGTGACTGATGAGGAGTGTATTCTTCGCTTGAGCCCTTCGGCGCCTTGCGCTGTTTGCTGTTGACCACGATACCCCAGCCAAAGTCCTGGTCCTTGTATTTCACGTGGAGCAAGCGACCAGGTTGTATGAATGGCAGACAGTAGTCGGGATACGTAACGACGGTTTGAATCTCATCGTTGAACTTCTGAAGCTGTTTCCGTAAGTCGTAGTATTCGCGAATAGTGCCTTCGTCTTCAATTTTCATGTTTGCGCGCTTTTGCTCGAACTCCGCCAGATCTGTGACAGTGGTTAGCATGACAACAAGAAGCTCGGAATGTCGTGACCGTACTTTTCTCAAGCTCGGCAACACCGGCCGTGTTCTGGAACTGATGGAAACACCTCTCGAGCATAAACTCGGGCGAGATACCCTCAACACGCATAAGATTGAGGATCATGTTATAACCCAAGTGGAAAGCCGAGTTTAGTCGATCCTGCTCACCGCGTACAATCTCCTTTGCAACCGCGGGATCCATCTCTTCACCAACCATCATAATCACGATACCACGGTCATCCAGACCTCTTCGACCAGCGCGACCAGACATCTGGATAAATTCTGATGGGGTGACCCAGCGTTGACTGAAGCCGTCAAATTTCCGCACGCTTGTGAAGACAACAGTCTTCGCGGGCATGTTCAGGCCGATAGAGAAGGTCTCAGTAGCAAACAAAGCCTTGATAAGACCTTCCTGGAACAGAATCTCGATGGTTTCCTTGAGAATGGGAAGAAGCCCCGAATGATGGACACCAATGCCTCGGCGTAGAAGTGGTAGGAGATTTTGGATCTGAGGCAAATTCCGATCTTCCTCTGAAAGCATCTTAAGGGCATTGTCAAAAACCGTTTGCACCATCTCCTTCTCCGAGGGGTCGTTGAATGACAAATTCTTCATCTGAAGAGCACCGTGCTCGCACTCGCGTTTGCTGAAACTGAAGACGATGACAGGGTTGAGGTTGCGAAGCATGATCATCTTGACAATCTTATACATATCGCTTTTTTCGTCATTTTGGCCGCCCTTGTTCAATCGCTTGTCCTTGCCCCTTCCTTTCCTCTTGGCCATGGCATCCGAAGGGTCATCGCCTTTCTTGTCAGAAATGCTGCTCATCGCTTTCTGGAAGTTGTCCTCGCGGAAGACACCCTTCTCGTCAACGATCAAGTGCAAGCCTTCAGAGCCAACTGGGTAGAAATAGTGCTGCAACGGCGTCGGCCGGAAGTCGGTGTAAACAACATGGCAAGGTTGGTTGTGCATCTTCACGATCCATTCCGCGAATTGCATTGCATTTGGAATCGTCGCAGACAAGAAAACATAGCGAACCTTATCGGGAAGAAGGATGATAGTTTCCTCCCAGACCACACCTCGGGCTGCAGAGTTGTTAGCCATATGCTCGGTCAAGGCATGCATCGGGTTTGTAGGACTTACTAGCGTCGCGCATGTAGTGAACTTCGTCAAAAATAACCCAAGCAACTTCACGCATAATCTCCGAACCACGGTAAAGCATCGAACGTAGAATCTGGAGGGAGTCAATTAGTGCGCCTGTCGCAATCCCTTCCCCGCCAAGAAACACTCACCTCAGTAGTCATGACCAAGCATGTAGCTGTAGGGTTGATGGTGACATCTCCTGTCATCAAGCCACAGTCGCCGAACTCTTGCTGGAATTCACGGAACTTCTGATTGCTCAGCGCCTTGATTGGACTAGTATAAATGACTCTCTGGTTGTTCTTCAAGCTCTGCGCAATAGCATATTCGGCAACAACGGTCTTTCCAGCACTAGTATGGGCAGATACAAGCACACTCTCCTCTCTCTGAATGGATGCGACAGCAACTTGCTGGAAAGGATCGAGAGTGAATGGCCACACGCGGGCAGGGTTCTCCGGAGGCTTGTGTTGGGAGATGGGCACGTAGGGATAGTTCGGCGGAATGGCGACTTGGTGTCGGACCTGGTGGGATAACTTCAACGATGCGGAATCGGCTGAAGCCTGCAATCCGGTGGCTCCAGCAACTTCGCGCTCCTGCTCTGTCTCGAAAGAATCAACCAAGACAGGCTCAGCTTCCGTTGTCGCGAGGCGCGGCCGTTTCGCATCAGGTTGTTCATTAGGGTCGGCGACAGGACTAGCTTCCTTCTCTTCTAATTCGGGTTCTTTCTCGTCGACGAGGGTTTTGGAAGCGTCGGGGATGTCTATATCCTCCGTGGCGGCGGGTGCGGCGGCGGGTGCTTTCACATCACCATTGACCTGCCGCTTCTTGCTCTTGTCTTTCTTTGATCTTCTGGGTGCTCCCTCAGCTGGCTTGACAGCCTGAGGTTGATCGTCGAAGACGTCAAAAAGCTCATCCATGGTGGCCGACCAACGAGAGCAATACCGAAGACTGGCCTGGACAGTTGCGACGCTTCTTTCTTCCGAAATGAAGAGTTGAAGAATAGGCGATCGGCCCCAAATTTTTTGAATGGATTAACACTAACTACGGATAATTACTTAGTGATGGATGCCGCGGGCGGGCAGTTCCTGCTCTCCGCCGGATAAACTTGCCCTTTTTGACTCAATATCACGTGATTCTACTTCCGGACGAGCGCCGCGAGGATCGTTCCACTCATCCAGCTCTTCCTCCGCCCACTGTAAGACTGCCTCGACACTCGTGCTTGCTATCTCCCTCTCACAGTACGTAATTGCACACAAATACCCTTCAACTCCTTGCCAATTGACTCTGACACCCTGCAAGATGTACGCTGCCTCCGCTCTCCGGGCCAGAATGGCCACCTCTTTCGTTGCCCGTCGTGGCTTTTCCACCACCCGTGCCCAGCTCAGCAGCCCCTACCACTACGCTGAGGGTCCTCGTTCCAACCTTCCCTTCAACCCCCTCACCAAGTACTTCTTCTGGAGATACTGGGCTTTCATGGGTTCGTTTCCCTTGCTGTAAGATGACTCTGGCTGTGCAATCTTCTCACTAACTTTCACACACCAGTCACCGGCTTCGGTCTTCCCTTCGGTATCGCTGGTATGTCATCGATCCCACCGCCAACTAGTCTGCGCAGCAGCCTTCTAACATCAAGCGACTACAGTCTGGCAGACCTACAAGACCCGCTAAATACCTTCATTTTCTGTGGACCGCTCGCGCGCAACGGAGGAATTAGGTGGGACTCGGGGTTTCGGTCGAATGTGTATCCTAGATCGGATGTTTTCGGAAATTTGTATAAAGCTGAGGAATTGAGCCCAATTTTGATTCAAACCCGTAACTCGACTCAATTGCATTGAAGCCTTCCTTGAATTGTAGTTCTCCGAGGTTAAGAGAAGCATCGATGGTTGTTCGTGCGGTGCGGGTTGTCTGATGCCTTATTAGAATATGGATGAAGTCATTGGTCGAATCCCGTCCAGGAAAGGAAAATTAAAATATCCTCAAGACTCAATTGGTGTGTCGCCCGTTCCGCCCAAGCGCAACTGGAACAGAACATCTCTCTCTCTCCCTCTCTCTCTTCACCAGTCTAGTCTAAAACTAGATTCTATGAAGGACTCTTGATCCCTTCATTCTTTTAATATCACCCCTATTTATTTCCGTTGTTCTCACAAATATCTTCGAGCAGTCGTCGATTGATGGCCGCGGGGTAGAAGATTTGCTATTCCGAAGATGCGCAATCTTAAAACCGTGCGCCTCGCTGAGGTGCAACTTCAGACTGAGCTCCCTTTAACTGCTACGGCTTGGGACACTGCTTCAGATGCTGTCATTTGTACCTTTGGTCCGACAGCGACCGCCGCAGTTATCGAGCTGCGAAGAAAGCGTCACGACGCCTATTTCTCAGAGCCTGTAGGAGCCGATGTATTCGAGTGCATCGCATCCTGGGATGCGCCATGCCCGCTTCCCGAGCTGGAGTGCGATCGCGTACTTTCCCTGCACTATTTCGCGGATAACCTGACTGCCTGCCTGGTGTTGGAAGGCGGCGATATCATTATTGTCCGCGAAGAGCCTCTCCCCGGCGAGGATAAGATCGAGATAGTGGGCTCGGTCGATGTTGGTATCACAGCTGCCGCTTGGTCGCCTGACGAGGAGCTTCTGGCCTTGACTACTCGGGCCAACACATTTCTGTACATGACAAGAGAGTTCGAAAATGTTGCCGAGATCACCTTCACCCCAGAAGACCTCAAGGCTTCCCAGCATGTCTCCGTGGGCTGGGGCAAGCGCGAGACTCAATTCCAAGGTAAACGGGCCAAGGCTCTCCGTGACCCTACCGTTCCTGAACATGTTGACGAGGGCAAACTAAGCGCCAACGATGATGGAAGAACCACTATCACATGGCGTGGAGATGGTGCCTATGTCGCTGTGAACAGTGTTGAGGCCGGCGTCCGCCGCGCCATTCGAGTTTACTCACGTGAAGGAACTTTAGATAGTATCAGTGAACCAGTTGATGGCCTGGAAGGTGCCCTTAGCTGGAGACCCTTCGGTAACCTAATTGCCGGCATTCAGCGACGCGAGGATAGGATAGACGTCGTCTTCTTTGAAAGGAATGGCCTGCGCCATGGCGAGTTTACCCTCCGTCTAACAGAAGAAGAGCGCTTGACATGGGCTGCCGATATCTCATTGAGTTGGAATGTCGATTCCACTGTTCTTGCCGTTCAACTCAAAGACCGGGTTCAATTCTGGACCATGGGCAATTACCACTACTATTTGAAGCAGGAAATCCCCGTTGTTGTAAACTCCCACTCTGCCAATCCCTACACTTTCAAGTGGCATCAAGAGAAGGCCCTGCGGTTCTTCACTGGCGCTGCTGGTATGAAATCCTTTCGATGTATGGGCATACATATGCTGATTGCCTTCTAGAGTCGATGTTGGATGTGGAATTCGTCTTTGACGTTGCTAATGGGTCTACTGCAAGCCCGGGTGATGTTGGTGCAGTTGGTGTTGTGGACGGGAGTAAGTGCTTGCCTGCATTTATATCCTCAAGCTGCTGACTGACATATGGTAGAAATTTTGAAGTTGACCCCATTGAGACTGGCGGGTGTTCCGCCCCCTATGGCCCATAATGAGTTGGCGCTTGATTCAAATATCATTGACGTGGCATTCAGCAAGTCAGGAACGCGAATCGCTATCCTCGAGAATGATCGTTTCTCCGTCTACCTCTGGAACCTTAAGGCTAGACCAGTCCCCATGCCCATCCTTGAATCTAGCTATCCACTCTCGGATGCTCCGGACAGTCGGCCTCGTCAAATTGCCTTTATACATGAGACTGAAGTCTACGTCCTCAAAAGCAATGGACCCAGCAGCACCTGCATAGAGCGGACTACGCTTGAGACTCGCGAGACCAGGGTTGCCTACCAAGCAGCCGACTCAGAGCAGATTATCTCGATGTTCGCATCTCTTGGACATGAGTCGCTGTGGTTTTCTCACAGTCTAGGAACAAACCAACCAATTACATACTCTTACATCTCAATCCCGTCTCCAGATCAGTTTGACGCCATTCCATGGAGCCAGAGCCCTCCTGTTGATACGTACTGGGCCGAAGCTGTGCAAATCTCCGAAGATGAGGTATTTCATCGTCTAAGTGTCTTTGCAGCCCTCCGCTAAAATCTTGCCAGACTCTTCTTGTCTCCATGACCAAGTCGGGCGCTCTTTACGCGAATAACACTCTTCTTGCTAAGAACTGCACCTCCTTCATGATCACACAAGCTCATATCGTTTTCACCACCTCCCTACATCTCATCAAATTCGTGCACCTCACGAGGGCGGAAGGTTTGATTAACCGTTTCGATGCCCACCGTACATTTACTGATGTCAGCGTTATAGAGTTGGATGTACCTCCAGATACCCCGGAAACCGATGAACGCTGCAGAAGCATTGAGCGCGGAGGACGCCTGGTCACAGTAATGCCTTCGACATTTGCTGTCATCTTGCAGATGCCCCGCGGCAACCTCGAGACCATCTATCCCAGAGCTCTTATTTTGGCTGGCATCCGCTCATTTATTGACCGCAAGAATTACCGCGCTGCGTTCCTGACCTGCCGTAGTCAAATGGTGGACATGAATATTATCCATGATTATGCACCTGAGCAGTTCATGGAGAACATCCAACTTTTCATTGATCAGGTCAAAAGAATTGACTTCATTGATGAATTTATCTCTCGTTTGAGGTACAAACGCCCACTTTCACTTAGTAAGACATACATACTAAACACCGTTTAGTGAGGAGGATGTGTCGCAGACATTGTACAAAGATACACTCAAAAAGAAGGCCGAAGCGCCCGCCGTTGCTGCTATACCCGCACCTTCCAGCAAGAGCAGTAAAGTCAACCGGATCTGCGATGCCTTCCTGACCACTCTCGAGAAGCGTCTGGATACCAACCTTCACAATCTGATAACTGCTCACGTCTGCAAGTCCCCGCCTGACCTAGAGGCCGGTCTTCAGCTGGTCGCACGCTTGAGGGGTATGGACACTGTTCACTTCACCTTCAGAAGCATATACTGACTATACAACAGAGCAAAGTTCCGAGCAAGCCGACGACGCCGTAGAGCATATGTGCTTCCTGACTGATGCCAACCGCTTGTACGACAATGCACTCGGTTTATATGACCTCGAGCTTACTTTGCTTGTCGCGCAGCAAGCCCAGAGAGTCAGTGCCTCGAATTCCCTTTGCCTAGACTCAGACTGACAGCACGCAGGACCCCCGCGAGTATCTCCCATTCTTGAGAAAGCTACAGCAGATGCCCGAGCTTCGTCGCCAGTTCGAGATCGATAATTACCTTGGACGCACCTCAAAGGCGCTGAAACACCTCCATGCGCTGAACGCGCACGAGGAGCTCCGAGCTTATGCCATCAAGCACACGCTATACAAGGACGCCATCGATCTGTACAGATACCAGCCCGAGCAACTACGTGATATCAGTCACCTCTATGCGGACCACCTTTCCGACCGATCCAAGTACAAGGAAGCAGGCATTGGTACGTGATTGGTCTCTCATCCCAACCTCAAAACTTGTAATGGACTAATGAAAGCTTCTCACCAGCCTACGAATCCCTCTCCCTCTACACCGACGCCTACAAATGCTACCACCTCGCCCACCTCTGGCGCGAATCGATCTACTGCGCCACGATGGTGCCCCTGTCCGCCGAGGAACTCGCCACGCACGCCAGCACCCTGGCGGCCACGCTCACTGAAGAGACAAAGGACTACATCTCCGCCGCCCAGATCCACGCAGACCACCTGCGCGACATCCCCACTGCCGCCCGCCTCCTCTGCCGCGGGTCCAAGTTCTCCGAGGCGACGCGCCTCCTCGCACTCCACGGACAGGCCTCACTGATCCCGGAGATCGTCGACGGCGGTCTCTCAGACGCCATGGGCGCCATGACCGACCTCCTCGCGGACTTCCGCAACCAGCTCAACGCCCAGGTCCCGCGGATCCGCGAGCTGCGCGTGCGACGCGCCACAGACCCGCTGGCCTACTTCGGCGGCGACCCCACGCTCGGTGGTGGCGCTGGCGACGGCAACATCGACATCCCCGATAACGTGTCGCTAGCGCCCACCGACGCGTCCACGCTGGCCGGCCGCTCCATGTTCACCCGCTACACGGGCAACACCGGCAAGACCGGCAAGACGACCTCGTCGCGCCACACCTCCAAGACCCGCCGTAAGGAGGAGCGCAAGCGCGCCCGCGGCAAGAAGGGCACCGTCTACGAGGAGGAGTATCTCGTCAACAGTGTGCGGCGCCTCCTGGAGCGCGCCAACGCCACCGTCGCCGAGGTGGAGGTGCTCGTCGATGCGTTGCTGCGTCGGGCTATGCGCGAGCGCGCCGCCGCTATCGAGAAGGCCATGCAGGAGGTGCTGAAGCTGTGCACGGAGAGTCGGGAGGAGGTGTTCGGCGCTCTGGTCGTGGATGGCAACGGGGCCAAGGATGCGCCCGCGGATGGGGCTGGGGCTGAGGTCGACATTGCGGAGTTCGGTGCGGGCTTTGGCGGAGAACAGATGCCAGGGATGGGCGGAGGCGGAGGCGGGAGGAGCGTATTCTGGGACAGCGTCACCGCCACGGCTAACGTCGGCAAGGGCAAGGAGGTGCCGGCCGTCAAGGAGTTGAAGCTGTCGGCTTTGCTGAACTGATGACATCTTGCAACTGTGGCGCAACTTCGGAATCCATTGGGCGGAATCAGTAAAGCAGTTGCATGGTTCACCCTGTCTGTCTTTCTTCTCTGCTGTCTTTCGTCTTCTCTGTCTACGGTTTGGGAAAGGGTATATATAAAAAAGGATAGAATCTTTGGTTGGTGAACCAGCGAATCAAATGTCAGATGATATTATTAATGCTACTATATGATGTAAATTGAGACTGTAGGCTCCATGGAAATACGATCGAGTTCCCCCAGTGTCAGATATCAGAGGGCTCGGTATGGGTATCTTTTCATCTCAAGGCGACTCGTGGCACGATTGGTGATGCCCGGCAGCGCTTGAATCTGGCATGAATAGCTCCTTAAGCAGAGAGGACCTCGCCTTTCTCGCTAACAAGGTGATCGTTCACACTCACGGGTCCTTCACCGACACCGGTGAGGATCACGCGGCTAACGCCATCCTTAAGGACATCGACAGCTCTCGCGTCCACCTTATCCAGGGCAACGCCGGGGGCACTCAGGTCCTTCATACTCTCGTAGAAAGGCCCCTCCCAGCCCTCGGCCTTGTCCCCGAGGATGGCCTTGATAGTACCGGCCACGAGCTCGGTCTCCTTCTCAAGGTAGTAGATGACGGCGTTCGGACCGGCATCGAATGTGTAAGCACAGACCGTGCGGCCGACGGCCCGGTTGATGTCGTGGACAAGACGGACAGCAGCCCGCGAGACGTCGTTCATGTAGAAGATCGGGGGCCAGGAGTCCAGACAGGTGGCGTGGAACCCGTTGGAGTCACGCATGGTGATCTCAGCAAAGGCGGGGAAGTCCCGGTTCTGGATCGCGGTCTCGATCGCAGCCATGCGCTCGGGGACTACGGTGTTCGCCCGGGTCGCGAACAGGTTCGACGTGGCGACGGTCGTCTGCATACCCTCCGTGCTGGGGACGTCCTTCTTCTCAGCGCTAACGACAAGGACAATGGCGCGCATCTCAGGCCAGTGCGCCGCGGAAGCGACCTCCTCGGCCAGACTGTCGCTGCCGTCCTCGAGGGAGCCGGCGCGCCAGGCGACGTAGCCGCCCATCAGAGACCGACAAGCGGAGCCAGAGCCTTGACGGGCAATGCGACTGAGGTCACGGGGGGATTGGGGGAGCTGGTAGAGGTCGGCCACAGCCCGAACGAGGGCTGCGAAACCGGCAGCCGAACTGGCGAGGCCGGCAGCGGTGGGGAAGTTGTTCTCGGAGACGATGCGGAGGGGGAGGGCAGAGAGCTTTGGAAGAGAGGAATCGGCAGCTTCGACCTCCTTCCGGTGAGCGCGGAGGCTGGAAAGACAGGCAAGGGTACGCTTCGAGGACTGAATGTCCTGCGGCTTGCCGTTAAGGATCAGCTCGTCCTGATTAGGATAGATGGCGGAGCAGGAGGCAGTGGTAAGGGTGCGCAGCGAGCGTTGGGAGAGCGTCACGGAGAGGGAGGAGTTGGTGGGCAGGTTGAGAACGGCATCACGCTTGCCCCAGTATCTTTCCAGCATTGTGTCAGTTTCTCAGCTCTGCCATCTTACTCGTGGTAAATCATGGCAAGGGGGTGGGGTGGGGATGCAGCATACTTGATGACAGCGATGTTGACGGGGGCCGTCGTGGTGGCTCGATAGACGGGGCTTTCGGAAGCAGCAGCCATGATCACGGTCCAGCAGATTGCTCTGGAGTCAATTGAGATGGTCAATGAAAGGCAGAAGAAGAAGAAAGTTGAAAGACGGGGGGTGATAGACGAAGGGGTGGGGGGGAGAGAGAGGGGTATAAATGGATTTCCCAGTTGGGCAAAGAGAGGGGCTACTATTTTGTTGTCAGGCTTCCAAGGCGGTGAGCAGCCATTTTTTTCTCCGCCTTTTCGGAGTTGTCGGAGTTGGCCGTTTTCCACGGCTTGCATCCTCGATTTCTATCTTCATACTTCTCATTCGCCAGACACTTTCATCCCAGCGTACTCCCTACTTCCAAGTCTATTCCCTCACACTAGTACTAATTCTATACCTATGGGTGCCGGTGCCAGTACACCCTCCCCTGAGCCTGCAGCAGCAGCAGCAGCGGCCGGAGTATGCCCTGTTGATCACAAAACTCGCGAGGCATGGCTACAACAACACAAAGCGTCCGGAGGCGCTCCTCCTCACCCGATGCCTGCAGAAGATACCCAACAGAAGGCAATGATGCAACGTCCACTTTCCACCGACCGTGAGGTTAGCAGCATACCGCGAGCAATTGATACACAGTCCCAGCCGTCATCGCCCGCATCAACCAACGCTGCACCAGCATCCCCATACTCCTTGCCGACTCCCTCTCATGGTGCACCCTCAAATGACGAAGCCGAAACAGGCCATGACCCCAATACTGGGAACTGGATTTATCCGTCGGAGCGGCAGTTCTTCGAGGCGCTTATGCGCAAGGGCAACACCCCTTCCTCTACAGAATCCGCCTCTGAATTGGCTACCACTGTCGCATCCATCATTCCGATCCATAATGCGGTCAATGAACGTGCTTGGCAGCAGATTCTGGAATGGGAGAGTCGGGCACCAAGCAGTGATCCTGGCAGCAAGAAGTGCGGAGGCCCCAAGTTGTATTCATTTCGGGGTCTCGGCGTGGACCCTCAGTTCTTGAGTCCCCGGGCGCGAATGAACAACCTCATGGGTTACCAGTTGCCCTTCGATCGACATGACTGGGTTGTGGAAAGATGTGGCGGCGATCGTGTCGAATACGTTATCGACTTCTACCAGGGCAAGACTTCGGGAGGGGCTAGTGGCGCCGGATTGGCCGCCAATGCTGGCCCTGGCAAGTTGAGCTTCTATTTGGATGTTCGACCTAAGATGAATAGTTGGGAGGGCTGCCGTATGCGGTTCAGCCGCTTCATGGGTCTTTGAGCGGTTTGAAGTATTTCTCTCGTCAATTTATGGTGGCACATGTACAGGCGAACACAAGGAGTTCTGGGTACGGGTCTTGGATATATTCATTCCAGTGTACAATCCATGTATAACAGAAGTTATGTATGATATAAGGCATAGAAAGGCAACACGACCATTGTGGATCGATAAAACATCCTCTGCTCCATATGCGCCGGTCATCATTAAAGAAGTCATGGGTGAAGACGACAAGGTGCCTGCAAAACGGGTGGAAGCATACGCAGGTCATATGAATCGTACATCAAAGGATATCGTCAAAACAGGGAAACATTGCGGCCGAAGTTGGATCAACCAACAATAGATATCGCAGTTCATAGATAAGCGACGGGAACCAGCAAGATTCACCCCAGCACTGCGGCAAGTACTATGATCAACAAGATCACTGCTAGGATGACCAGAAGACAGCAGGCTTTGTTTCGCGCATTCTTCTGGTATCGGCTTGCGCTGCGTAGCTCAACATTCGCACCACGAGTGTCATCCCCGACTCTCTCCACATTTTCACTGATGATATCGAGCTGACCTCCTTGTTCATGGACAATATGGGCCACATCGCGGAAGAGCTCATTCAGCTCGCCAACGCTTTGCTCAATATTGCGAATTTCCGCCTCCCGCTCGATGATCAAAGACTCTTGGAAGTCCACTTCATCTTGATTCGCCAGACGAGGCTGTTCCTCAAGGAGCTGCTCTTGCTGTTGTTGAACGCCATCCTCGGTCGCATGCTCGCCGTCTTCCACGGCTGTACGGGCGGCCACGGCGGATGCTCGCTGCTTTTCCAGCGCACGGCGTTGAACGGTTTGGAATTCCTCCAATGTAGCTCTGAATTCGGAGGAGAGCTTCTGTTGCGTCCATTTCTGGGAAGGCTGTTGCATAGAAGTTAGCGATTTTTTTTATAGACTGCGCTCAGCAAAAGCGCCGATATCGCAAATGGCACACAACATACATTGACGTCTTCCCAGGTGGTCACTTTCTTGATCCCCTCCCCTACATCCTTGAAGCCTACACGAGTCTGTTCCAAGAGATTGTGGACTCGTTCACGCACACGCTCAGTATCCCGTCGTGTACCCAGAAGAGCAATCTGATCTGATAAGCGGGTGATGTTTGAGGTCAGGGTAAAGAGGCGGTTGGAGAGACTCTCGGTCAGGCGGTCAAACTCAGGGTCATCACGATAATGCGGATCATCAGAGCGGCGCAACGTTGTAGGCTGCGATTCTAATGAGTCTAAGCGATCGAAAGACATGGCTGGGCAAAGATGCGTCTGTCGGTGGGTAAATTGATGAAAGAAAGAAGGATTGAAGAAGTAGGAATGGGTCTAAAGGACGGCTGATGCAAGCGGGCACATGTGCAGCAACCTAGAGACTAACCTGTAACTACATACGTCGGTTGACACCTGGCTTTGCAGGCCGCCATCACCTGACGCACGGACTCGGGTTGCTCGGTCACCTGATTCATCGGCTGTGGCTGGTGTGTTTTGGTGCTTTTGTTCGAAAAGCTTCAGTTTGTCGTCGCATCCGCTGCCCGCTTTTTCTTGACTGAGCTCCGTTTAAGTCGCTTGGAGCTTCAATCATATTGACTCCACTTGCTACCCACCCCGCAGCTTCCTGATCATGCGGTGAACCTTTCTCATCTTTCTCTACCCAGAGATCATCTTTCTACACATCCACTCCCAATCCTCATCATGGCTGCTGCACGGCCTCGCCCTTATCGGCGCATATTGACTTCGGCGCTGCACAGAAGATTTGTTCATGCTTCTGCGCTGGCGCTGTTAGTCTGCTACATAGTGGCGTTTGCTATGGGGGAGAAATCTTCATGTAAGTAAGAAGGCATTGGATGGAGCAAGTCTGAAGGCACGAACAGACGGCGATCGCTAACCACTTGCGACATACTACTAGGGCTATGGTCATGGTTCCCAATTGGAGCATGTGGCATCCGAGCAGTTCTTCTTTCTCTCTGCAGCCTTGTCATCTTTGTTTTGCGTGTTGGTCAGATGCACCTTGGCGCCAGGACGACCGTCTCGTCGATTAGTACCTTCAAGCAACTTATCCCCTTTGAAGCCTTTCAAACTTTCGGATGGTACATTTTCTCCGCATGGTGGTTCAATGAAATTTACAGATGGTCTTCACCGCTGAGCGCCCGCTTGGAATGGGTGAATCGAGCTAGGTATGTGCTTTGCTGAAGGCCATATTCTAGCAATTGATGAAAGAATCCTGGCTAAGATATACAGACCCCATGAACGTGCAAGTCTGAACGAGCGAGCAATTTACCTTTATACCTATCACCTTACACTAGCAGTTACGCAGTCACTTGCTCATCTGTGGCATGACTATGACCGAGTCCACGTTTCCCTTGTGAAACGGTCTGACAATCACACGAACGTTGAAACTTTTCTCAAACGCATTCAGACCGCACTCACAAAGGCTCTTATTCGCGGAGTCAAGAGGAGTTTCATCGTTGCCTTGATCTGCCCCTTGGCATACTCTATAGTCCTCCGTCGATTCGCGTGGAGTACCACCTTATATTTCGCCAAGCTCTTCTGGGACTTTCCCAGGTCCGCCGCTCACCCTCCGGGCTTTCTTCCACCAATCAGTCCAGGAATTATGTTAAGATCCATAGTCTCAGGAGCACTTCTAATGACATGCTGGGAGAGTGCCAGTGTCTTCTTTACCAATTTTCTGGGCAAAGAGCCTCTGAAGCGCGGCCAGCCCTTGACAGCCGACGCCAAAGACCCCAACGGCAGCTTGCTTACCGGTCTAACAGCGAAAAAGGAGATGGTTCGAGCATTTGCTTTCTGGGAACTACTCCTAATCAGCCAGCAGTTTCCTGATCGTCGCAAGGCCATTTTCAACGACATTGACCGTGAAGAAGGAGCAGCCTGGTCTCAGATTTTATCCGCAGCTACAGCCGTGATCAAGGCCGTTTCGAGCCGGATCAAAGTGAAAGCCGCCGAGAAGAATTATCTGGACAAAAGAGATGGGGAAAAGAGCACTTCTGGGAACGAAATCGACGACCAGTTTCAGAAAGGGCCTGTGCTTCGCACTCTCCCACGACTGACCGATCCGCTCAAGGACCCGGGTGAAGTCGATATCTTCGTGTCTGCGTCCAAGCCCCACTCTCGCCAGGAGCGACTCAGTGAAGCCGTCAAATCGTTTGGCAACAATCCCGACTGGACTCCTGCCGCGCGCGCAAAAGCTCGGAATGTCTTAGATCGGGCTACTGCCATGATTAGCCCCGAGGAGGTAAACCTGCTCACCCGCCCGTTGTTCACCAAAAAGCCGGAAGATTTGCACCCTCTCGTCGCCACAGTCTTGCGCACCCCGATCGGCCGCCTTTTCCAACAGACCTATGCCCGTCGCTTGTCCGGTATCGTCCTCGGCACACCGCACTCTGATATATGCTCCATCAACCACTCGATCAACTCGATCACCTGCCTCGCCATCAAGAGTCTCGAAGAGGATTCGTACGGCAAAGTCCAAGCCGACGTACCTGCCATCATCCGCCTGTTCACCGAGACTATTGAGACCTTAGAACCGTTTGTCAATGGTGGATTGGATGCGCACTGGACGGACGTAGATTTCCCGCCGTCAAGCGATCCGGAGGCTCAGGCCCAGGCTCGTCGGGTTCCAGACGTGGAACTGGTCCTCACGACGCTCAAACTATCTCTGACGGATATCCTGTCCGCATTCAACAAGTATTTTACAGTGATTGGTCTGGAGGCTAAAGACCTGCGCTTGGCCAAGGAAGCTGCTGGCTTGGCTGATTAGGGTCTGTAAACTATCACTGTTCAGCAGGGGGGACTCTCCTCTGTGAACCTTCTTTGAGAGAGGAAAATGTGTTGTCATCTTTTTCTCCGCTTCATTCTTCCCCACCCGGGGGAGTTGTTATCATGTTTTATCCAGTTACGACTTAGACCTCAGGTCAGTTTTAGCTGTTATGTATGCATTGTTCTGGCGTTAGATGGACAGGTAGTTTTATCGGTGAAACAATGTATTCTAGTGTTCGATAGATCGAGATATTGTAGCTACTTTATGTACTTACTTTGCATCTGTCACATGACATCATTGACAGTGGACTATTTTCTCCGCACCCACACCATTTCCACATCTCCTTATCCCCGCGCGAAGCAGACCCCGCGCGCATCCGGATGCAGACAACTTGCACGAATCCTTGTAAGCCTGCTTTTTTGTACTTGGGTATCGCTCTGCGCTCACAGAGATAATGGCCTCCCCGTTCCCAAATACTTACCACCTCCGTCGCGTAGCCGACACCTCAGCCAAATCATGCTACATCTGCTACAAACCCTCTACTTCGGTCCTAATTACTCCTGACAACAAGGTTAGTAACATGTTGCACTTCCAGAGATGACGAAGATGAATAATTTGGATCAACCACGCATCTTGCATATTGTTCCTTCGCTAATGTAAGAACCCCCTCTGCGCAGGATTTTTTCTACATCTGCCCCTCCCACCTGACCGACCGAAACTTTTGCTCCCCTATCATTGATGCCGCAGAGGCTGAAGCGAAAGCAAAACGTGATGCTATGGCCAGGGAGATTGAGAAGGTGAAGAAGGAGTACGAAGAGAGACAGGCGAGGAAAGCCAAGAAGAACGGGGACAAGGAGAAGGAGAAGGAGAAGGAGAAGGAGAAGGAGAAGGAGAAGGATAAAGAGAAGGACAAGAGCTCTAAAGATAAGGATGGCGAGGACAAGGACGATCAGGCCGCAGAGAAGGAACGCGACAATAAGGTATGTTAGTCCGTATGGGATGGATGGGGAAGAACAGCACCAGATGGACGATCTCGCTGACTGGAAATCGCCTGGCAGATTGATGCGCTCAAGAAGTCCGCGAATACGACAGGCTCGACAATGGGGAGCACGGATGATTCACCGCGGGTCTTCGCGCTGCATAAGTACGACTTTCTCTGGTTTGTCTCTTGTGCGCGTGGTTGATGCTGACTTGATGCTGGATAGGAACTTCTATCAGATGCGCATTGACAGGGTGCGCAATGCGGAAGTCGCAAGGCGCAACCGGCAACGACTGCAGGATCCCTCGTTCTTCCCATCTGTCCCGTCCGGTGGTCTCTGAACTCGTGTCGAGTAGCATGCATCAGCCTTTGCTCGGGATGCCTTGATCATCCTGGTGACAGACACCGCACATGACGCTTTCTAGCGAGACTGGTCAGCGTGGTGTCTACTTTCAACTGTCTTACTCGTAGTAGTGATCAGCAAAGCCCAGTGCAATGGTCTGAACCGGGACAGCTTCGTGTTCATGCGGCTATGTCTGTTGAGATGACAGCACTGGTAAATTCCATGGATGGGCTATTATTCAACACGTGAAGGAAGTTCTCCACGTAAGTACGGTCATCATTGAAGGCAACACCTATTCCGGAAGGCTATGCAGACAGCAAACGAGGATAGCACAGCCCGGGACTCTATGTCCGTCAGCGACTTCTCGGTTGGTCTTCCAAAATGACCACCAGGATTCCCTGTCATGAATGCAAAGATGGAAAGCGAATCCTTGAGTGTTCATCTGCCGCAGAAGCAAGTCAAAGCAAGTGTTACTGTGACTAATATTACATGCAGTGCATTTCGCCTGCATGACCCACAGCCTGATGCGGAAGCTCTTCGACTGAGCTCAATGTAGCTACGGAGCAACAGAACCACATCTCAGCCTTAGGCGGCTTCTAGAATTAGATACGGCACTCTTCCTGCCATAAGGCAAAAGGCATAAGGCAGAGAATGACAATTGACCACAATCCCGCCGCCGGCATTTCCTGCCCAACACACCACCACCTACCAGCCTTACGCAAAGATCCATCGTACACAGACTGCAATTGGGGTGTGCAACACACGTTCCATCTAATGGGCCACGCAGACTTGCCGGTGGTATATTGCGTAGATTGAAAAGAGCGGGGAATCGACCCATCCAGTGGCAATTAATCTACAGTGTCTCTGTGTATGGGTGAAAAAAATTGTTACCGTCTCCATTCATCCATGACAGTCTTTCGCACGTTGCAACAGGAACTCGTCTGATCTTCTCTTGAGTGCTCGTACCTCTGTCGGGGTATAAGAAAATTAATCCTTCTTCCAGAGAGCCGTTGTCAATCCTCTCCCCCTATCCAGGATCGGTGAAGGAAGTATAAGTCCGGCTTGTAACTCCCGTCTCCTCACTTCCTTTTCCTCCTTTTCAAACGGGCCCTAATCCGCACGTTTGCGGAGACTAATCAGTTCAGAGCCAGGGGCAAGAAATCCAACCCCAATTTTCCAGCAGTCAATGTCCCATAATCGACAGAAAATCTTAACCCGGAGATAAAAGTCATATCCGTCCGTCAAGATGACAGTGGAGGGAAGGCCTTTTTTGAGGCATACGTAAAAACCGATGGCCGAGAGGAATGCAAAGGGGGGTGGGTCTCACGTTGAGGCAGTGCTGCTTAGTTCCCTCGCTCTAGTAGCGGGTTGGGCTTAGTGCTGCGGAGTCGTCGCTGGTAGTTGGCCCCGCCAGGCTCAAATTCTTCTGCGTCTTCTCTTCACTTCAATTCTTGTTGGCGTTGCTTGCAAAGGAGGGGGGTTTGTGGTTGATATTTGTGGGGATGACATCATGTATGCAGCGCGATCTGATGGAGAACCTACATGAGTAATGTACTCTGTGTGTCACAGTAGGAGAAGTATATAAAGAGTCAAGCAGAGATACTATGCGGACGGTACTACAAAGTAGGGTTAGTAGGTTGTGCTCCCCCGATACGAGACACGGGACTGTCTGGATCGGGCCATAGATCCATGATCCAAATGGAAGGACCTTGAGGGAATCGAATGGTTGTAACAGTACTATGACTGGTACTACTCGCCCTCATAGTCTCACAAGAGTTGTACTTTAGCCTAGTAGCAGTCTGTATGCCTCTCAGGTTGGACTTTTTTTTGCCTGACTACAGTGTTGTGCTATGTAGACTGAAACATCCGATGCCTTAACTCATACTCAGTGGTATGCCCCGTGACGTGAAATCGACTCGAGATTCTCTATACTACGGCTGGTCAAACGGTCGAGGAAAAGCCAACGTCTCCGTGCTTCCTAACTACTCGAAATTATAACTACCTCTCTATGGAACGCTGAGTAAGTGACTGACTCAAGTAGTCTCTTGCACGCGTGAAAGGGGCATGAATGCCTAACATTACGAGAGCTAGAATCTCTGGATTCTTACTGGGTGGTAAGTACAGTAACTACAAGAGATGCCTATACTAGGCTGCAATGGTACATCATTCAATGGTACTAGTTAGTAGGAAGGTCATGGGGGAAAAAGCATATCCTCCACCATTCGACGTGATGGACTCTATCATACTTTAGTAGCCTAGATGACCTTGGCTCTTCAGCTTCTGAGCAGCCTGGGGACCATCGACACACCAGCCTGGAGAAAGTATGTGTATGACTATGCACAGATACATGCAGAGTGCCCAAGGCAAGTACGTTTTACTGTGCTCAGACAAAGAATGAAGTACCGTAGACCATCGACTTGATTCTAGAAATGTTCTGGGCTTTCGATGATAGTGTTCTGTTCTGCCTTCCACGTTTTTCTCCTTGCCACCCACACGTCCACCACCACATAGGGCGGTCTGCCCTACGGCCATCGTCACCTCCATACTAACCTCCGGAATGTGAGGGTTGGTGACAAACTGCAAAATACGCAACAGTCTGTAAGGTAACTTTCATACCGTCCCTTACGTGTCATCCCAGAACCATGGCTAGCGTGCCCCAGTTTGCGTAAGAGAGCTTTTGCACAGCCCCCGTGCCGGCGCTAGTGATCCAGCCTAGACCTTACCAGGCGCATCCCCCCCTCTTCTGTGAGGTCTCCCTTTTTCCCTACGACTACTACCTTTAACCAATCTAGTTCTTCCGCACTGTTTGAGCATGAGCATCGCGAGAATGCATCCAAGCCACCAACCATTTACTTCAGTTGGTTGACAAGGCTTCCGGTCGATTAGTAATTGGATAGCCGCCAGGAACTTGCGCACCTCTGCTGCAAGGTGGTCTGGTCTTTTCCAGTTTCTGCCCCTCTTCTCCCGATCGACCACTGGCTGCAGATCATTGGTGGATGTCCGTTAGATTGTGCCAAGTAGACGGACGGGCCCTGGAGCTGAGTTTTGTGGGGCTCGTCTCAAATGGGTTTAGAAGAGCTGGAGTTGAAGAACAGTCTCGTGGGGTTTTTGTCGCAGGATGTGGGGTCTTATCCCTGAGCCGACCCTGATATACACAACTTTATGTGTCCCTGCCAATGTAGAAGATTGGAGGTCATCGCATGACGGCTCTGCTTTGGCGCTGACTGTAAGGTGGTCAAAATAATTCGGCAACATTCCGATAGTAAGGTTGAGACTCTTAGACGCCGGATCATTTGGATAAACAGCGGTGGTTGGCTGGTAAATAAAAAGCTAAAAAAGGTGAGGTCATCTCGGCGCGAGCACAACTGTCTCGCAGCTCTTCCCCCCCAGCTGGAGGATCGGCATCAGGGTCTTTCGTGAGTTTGGACCCCCGACATTTTGAACCACTAACAATCGAGCCTAGACTCTCTAGCTCTATCATATCTCGTATGCGCGTGCGTAACCTGCGCATGTCCTTTCCTATTTTCTTTGCCTGGGCCCCCGCGGCTCTGTCCGCGCAAAGAGCCTACGTACAATACATGTCCTGCTGCAACCCGCGAATCATAGCATGCGATCATTTGCCTGCCACGTTTGTTTTGTTGTGTTTTCATTCTGCCATTATCCATGCATGCACCTGCAGGGACTCACGGACGCATTGGCACGCTAAGCACGGCGTGGCGTTGCTGCTTGCGACTCCTTTACGGTCGATCTTACTTCCATTCCACGTGAAGCCCAAGATGTTTACCATGATGTGGTCGGATTAGCCCCAAGGTGTCAGCAACGATCGTGCTAGTCTGTTGGACTCCGGTTGCTGCCTTGTCGTCCTCATTGAGAGCTTAGAGGTTTCCGCGCCCCGTAGCGTCGTCGGTGAGACTAGCTCTCATTCCAGGCGGCAGGCGAATGCCAAAGGCTGCCTGGGCTGGGCCCCGAGCTGTATTCACCTGCTCTGAGATGTCGACACGAGCTTTCGCCAGGCCGATGGCGGGGACTACCCATTCATTACAACTGCATCGCATACCCTGCCAGGCAAACTTTCCGATATTGGCGCCGCAAGAGTTGTTGGGACAGGTCAAGCGACCTGATAGCGGAGCATCCGCTGGCGGTGATCCCAGAGGTGCCTCGGAGTCGCCGGATCCGCTGTCAGGAAAGAGACTTGGCCGCATCCACGTCAATGGATGAAGGAAGATGTGTGCACACTCTGTATTCGCGAGCGATACGCCAGGTTTCTGAGGTCCATGCGGCACAACAAACGGCGTGGTCGCCAATTTCCGTCTAGCCATTTGATCAGCAAAGCTTTGGAAACGATATTGCCATCGAGATAGGAGTCATCAGGACACAAGAGAGACGTTGAGGACAACTAACCGGCATTTGCGACACTTAATCTCCGTCATACGGCCTAGAGTTTCCTGTGGCCTGTGCGGTTGTTCGTCCTCGAATAATACGTTGTTCATTTCGGGTGCCCGTCCGCAGGCTACACTTTCTTCGACTTCCCGACGGTAGAGCCACCTGCTATACAGAGGATGGCTCGTGACATCTTCAGGACAGCCCATCTGGTGATAGAGTGAAAGCTGTTCCATGAAACCATCATTAGGTTCACACAGAGGCCGGCTTTCTCTGATAATGGCAAGCGCGGATTGAGGTGTCAGCGCACTACGCTGCTGATGAAGCATGTAGGCAATGCAGACAGTCGCCGACCGGGATTTCCCCATAGCACTACCTGGGTTTTAGCAATTTAGACAGCCTAGGGGATATGAGATCTTATGAGTAAATAACTTACCAATGCACCAGCACAGCGCCGCCGCTGTCAAGTCCTGACTGAATAAACTTGACAGCGGCGGGGAAATGCTCTAGCAAATTTTCGTCATCCACATCGTCGACTTCTATGCAGTGACGTGTGTAAGATGCCAAAAGTTCATCTGCTTGCTGCAGACGCAGCACAGACACTATGTGCGTGATATTTGCTCTAGTCAAAGCCGCGTTGTTTTTGAGAGAGAGAACCCTGGGGAATCAGTTAGCAGGCGGACCTTTACTAGGTTGATTAGTGGGAGTATGTCCAAAAAGGAAGGTAGTAAAGAGGGGTGCAATGAAAGTAGATAAAAGAAGAAACACCCACCCTCCAACATATATATTGTGGCCGGGAATTTTGTTCATAGCCATGATGCGGATATACGAAGATCTTTACACCGTGATAAAAGACTACGGCATATGATAAAAGTCAATAGCTGGAGAGGAGATGGGTTGATTACGATGATGCAGAGCGTTCAGCCGTGTCGGCGCCCAGATACAGAATGGGCAGAATCTCGCAAAACAGAAAGCGGTCAGAATGTCACCCTATCTAGGGTACAGGGCTAGGGCAATGGTAAGAGCCTGAGGCACAACCCCCTGGCCGAGTCCCCACCGATACCGGTCGGTCGGTCCACTTTGATATCGACCCCATCCAAGCCAAGAACTTATCGCCGCGATAACGCTGAACACAATCGATCACCACTTCGGCCACAAAACAACCTCCCCCTCTCGTGTGATCATCATTTTGTCGGTGGCACATTGAGGATGGATCTTCCACTCTTTTCTTCTACTTCGAGATGTGACAATACCTCAGACGCGCGAATAAGAGCAACTTGCTCAGCCTCCCTACCCTCGCACCGGGGAAGCAGTCCCATATCCGATGCACTCGTGTAGACTACGACCACACCAAGGCATGGCTACACAAGCGGCCATTCATAAGTCTTTATGTTCGACAGTAGCACTTAGCAAGTATCGAGTCCAACAGCCCTCCCCTTAGCATCTCAGACGGATCAATTCTTCGTTCAATCCATCCATGCCTTCCAGAGTCCATCCCGCTATCTCCGTCATCGCCGACCACAATTGGCCGCGCGCCACCGCCAAGGCTTCCAAAGCAGGACTCGAGATCAGTGGATTCGTTCTCTCTCCAGCTGGTGGGAGGTTGTGTTGCCAATGATGAGGGTCATGGAGCTTCAGCATGAATGGCATCACTGTTGCTCCGGCATGTTGAGCTCTCACAGCATGAATAAGCAGGGATGAAAGAGGTTCCCTTGTTTCCAGCTCAACATCCGTCCAAGAGTGCCCAGACATAGTCCCAGTCTTGGAGGTACCTATTTGACAGGGCGAAGAAGGGACCGGGCTTCTTGGTCTCTGCACCTCTATCTCACTATCCCGAGGCAAACAATGCTTGATGTCGTTTAGCAATCCCAGCCAATGAAGACGAAGTCATTGCGGGAGACGAATTCTCAAGCAAATAGCGCAGGACGAGCCTGCGGCCCAGTTCTACTGGTCACTAGTTCTTTAGTGTGGCCAAACCAGCTAGACCTCCCCACATGTGCCTTCTGGCTCCATGATCTGAATGCTAGCAATCAGACATGCAGCATCATAACGACAGCAGTGGCAGCACGCTACGTGGGATCCTAGCATTTGTTCTTCACGCACAGCAGTATTCCAGACTAGTGAATCTTCTTTTCGAGATATAAACAGCTGAATCTGGAGCTATAGCATCATGCACATGAGTCTTGCTCCTCTTCTGCTTCTGACTCGGCTACAATTCAACCCTGCAGAACTGAGGGCGTTCCCGTACATTGTGTAACGATGCAATCCCACTAGCCTGAAAATGTCGCCTTCTTATCATCGCGTTGTTACATTGCCCTCCGTACAAGGGCCCAGAAAAAACCCTGGATCCTTTTATACATGTTACAACCAATTTCAACGCCCCCGCGCGCCTGTGCGCAACCGGGTTGAAGAGTAGTCTGCAGCCCTTAAAGGCTTAAGGCTGACGGCGTTTTCATTGTTTGTCCGTTGTTATTGGAGGTTTTCCCACCCATCTTTAGTCAATGTTACTGTTTCTGGTAGGTATTCATGTACACCCATGGCCACGGTCAAAATCTTGGTTTTATGACCGTTGAACCCGGTCATGCCGTATTCTCTTCACCCACCATCCTCTCTTGCGCCTATCAGTCCCAAGATGCAGTATTTCCCAGTCCGTGCACTATTTCCCTAGGAATGAACAGATGACTTGCTGGTTAGGTCCGGCCGACTATATATAGGCATGGAGACTGGGTTGGTATGGAATAAGGTGAAAATGTTTAAATGCCTGACCCAAGGACGGCCGACAGGACTGGTGATGTGCCAGGTCATCTGTTTAACAGTTGCTCAGGCTGTCCTCACAAATCAACGACCAATAGCACACTGCAATGGGTTTTGAGACTTCTGTTCCTGCAAGTGTGTCGACGGAATATCCTCCTCTACGGAGTACACTTGGGATATGATCTCCCTTCGTCCCCTCTTGTTGAATGAAGCGGGTCAAGGTCTTATCGAATCAGCCCCTCCTGGCTAATTTGCCACTACGTACCGTCGACCTGTCAAGAGACACGGCGCGTAAGACTCCTTAGGTGGTGCCGGGGATGGGCTGTCATTAAAGCGCAGCCTCATTCTTCACTTCCATCTCTGGTAGCAAGAAGAACCCAGATCTGAAGATCCCAGGACTGTTTCATGGAACCAGGAAAGACTTGGAGCCGTACGGGGTATGGCTATATGGAAGCAAGTAGCAAGACATGAAAGATTCATGCAATCAAGTACAAAGATCGATCTCATTGCAGATCTGTCTATAGTAGTGGTGCGTGGTAGGTAGCGAGACATAAGATGTGTCGTAAGTTGCCGTGTCACTTTTCATGTCGTTTGCCTCCGTCTCCTGCTTCGAGCTCCTCACTCGTCGCTTGTTATATCCGATTTGATGTGAGGCGGACAATATGATCACAAACACAAGCGAGCACCAACTACGGAGTAGTATGTCTGCCAGAGGAGAAGTCAGGGGTCGGAGACAAGAGCCATCGAAAGTTCCACCAGCAGTGCGCAAAACAAGATGAGTGATGCTCGGCAGGAGTTTTTGTGTTTTTGTGATTTATTTGATTTGATTGTTTTTTTTCTTCTTTTTCTTTTTTTTTTCCTTTTCTTTTTGCCTTCCGGGGCTCCATGTCTCTATTTGATTGGAGATTCTCGATTCTCACCAGAGCTCATACCACCACCTCCCAACTCGAAACAGTCTGCAGAGAGGTCTTAGACATGGCATCCTTAATCCCCCTTAAGTATTACCTATGCTCTTTCGGCTTTGGGTCACTTGCACCCTTCTTCCTCCAATGGAACAGCACCCGCGCATCTTCCAGTCAGGTTTCCAGATTTTCTGAGCAGGGTGAACCTCGGATGGCAAAAGGTGCGATGGGGAAGTGCCAAATGACAGCACTGTGGCAGTGCATGTATCTAAAGCAAATGATGGGGCGCACTAACCTTTTCGGGTAGTGGAGCTACCCCGAATAGGGCCACTTACAATTGTTGTTGCTGGTCCGCAACAAACGCACGGTGGAGCCCACCCTGTGCATGCTATGCAACTCGGTACCCGACTCTTGTCAAGCCAGCCCGGTAAGGTCGTCATCTAGATTAACAGTCCCCCAGCAGTCAGAGGATGGGCTTGACCCCTCCCAAGGGTATCCAATGAGTGACGCTTTGAAGGGAGGATCTCTTTTCCTTTTTTTTTTTTTTCTTTCGAGGGGGTAAAAGGAAAGGATAATAATCACAAGAAGAAAGTGACGGTACCGGGGTATGTTGTTTTTTTGCAGAATCCAAGTAGGAATGCATGTACAGATGATTTCCATTCTGGCACCATAGCGAAAAACATAGACTGCACAGTGAGAAAGAGGTACTACCGAGGTGTTGTGCAGTCTGCCAACCATTAAAATTCCTAGCCCGTATCCATCTCACTCACTGCAATATTCCAGATATCTTGCTCCTGCCGCCATGTTTGCACTGGCCAGATGACACCCATTCTGGAAAACGACCTTGCTTTCACCACCAGTCCTAAGTTAAAAGGGAGTGTGGATAATCAATCCACCAAACAAGCAGACCAACCTTGCTTCCATGGTTCCAGTTCACCCAGACACAAACGCGCACACACACACATTTCCCACCCAGGGCGGCTCTATCCGGCACCTCGACTGTTTTTGACCCCTTCCATTTCCCCTCCGTGGAGATCGTTCCAACCGAAAAGCCAGCTGGGATTTTGAGGAGAACCAAGCCCGAGCCCGCCAGCACTGCCTCATTCCATCTCCGGTTGTCCTTGCACTGTCACCACCAATCCGGTTAGCCTGTTTGCCTCACCGCTTAGGATTCCAGAATCAGTCATGGCTTGATTCGCTTGGGCCCATGCTGCCCGGTTCTCATGGACCTAGAATGAATGAATGGAATCAGCCCTCAGCATAAGCCGTAGTTAGTGGTGTAGTAGTTGCCAGCTGGGTTCGCAAATGCTTGATGGCTTGTTGGTTGGAGCATTTGAGGATTTCAAACACGTGGAGTCGTTCGTCAATGCAGGATCCAAAAGCCCGATAAGGCTTTTGGTTGTAAAGAAACAGACGTTCCATGCCAACGTCATTCAGCTAAGAGTCGAGACTCGAGAGCCTGTCCATCATATTCACGCCAGAAAAGAGTCAACCCCCTGGGCCTGTCCCCCTTTTTTTTTTTTATTTATGGGGTTGTATCAACTTGCTTGGAGCCAATGCCGGAGGTGCAGAGAGTAAGATACGGTCTGCATTGTGACTCAATTACTGAATTAAATTATTATACTAAGTTGTCTAATTGATACACTGTAGTTAACTACATTTTCCATAAGGCGGATCAATTAGACTTTTCCTGGCAAGGCAAGCCCCGGAAGAGACACCGCTGACGACATCCTCCCTGCCTGCACTTTTTGCCTCTGAATCCATGCTGTAGAGTAGACACTGTACACTGTACAAGAATGGTCTTTGTCCGAATAAGTAGATATTAGCGACCTAGCACTTATGACATTTTAAAGTGTCGACTAGGACTCCACCTGCTCCATCCCTATAAGCCGGTCGGTCCGTTGACCTAGATCATACAATGAACATTGACCGGATGATGAATTGATTCCTTCGGAACACTGGATGAACGAGTTAAAACTTCAAATTGATTTCATGACCTCGAGAAGGCGAAAGTCCTCCAGTCAGTGGGTATATCTTAACTGAATAGTAGGGTGTCAAAGAGTGGTAAGGTTGCGGCAAAGTGCGTAATTTGAAGTTGCTCAGTACCGCCCGAGTAACGCTGGTATCTATCTGACTTAACCTGAGCTGACCCAGCGATGTTCAATTCCATATTGACTGAGTAGTTATTGCTGCTGGAGACAATCAAGCAGAAGCCAACAGCAATGATCCTTTCCTTCTGCTCTATCCTCCTCTTCCTCCCTTTCAATCTGGTTGTAAGTCCGTGACAATTGTTGGTCGAGCTAGAACTGGAAAGAGTCCACCCGGACCAGACTGCAGGGTGAAACGAAGATTCAAATACCAGTCAATTATGTCTGGTATCAGTTCTGGGGGAAACGATACCTTCATATCGTTCTGGGTTTTCTGTCCTTTTTTATTTCATGCAATTATTCTTTGGATGTTCAATCCATCATTCCTCTTTCTCTTGTCTCCTCTCCTTCTGTGATCAATTCTCTTTCTCCTGCGTCCATTCCAACATCGTTTTTACTGGGCGCTTACACCGCGGGAGACGAGTTGTAAGACCCAAGGGGGAAAAAACAGGGAAACTGGATTTGAATTTAAACCTTGGGCTTGACAGACAGACAGAGAGACAGACAGAAGACAGTCAGTCAGTCAGTGAATTTTTGGATTCCCTCCCACGAGTCCTTGAGCCTTGAGCCTTGAGCCTTGTAGGGAGAGCAACAGACCACCAATAAGACTGCGCTGTGCACCACCCATTCATTACCACCATTCATTTCTCTGTCGCCCACTTCAACATTCATCTCCTCCATCCATCCATCCATCCCCATCCCTTTTGCACTCACCTCATCTATACCTTTTTGTCTCTTCCTTTTTCCCGCGCGTAAACTGCCGTGCAGTACAGAACCCTGGCGTATTCTTTCTTCCACTTCTCTATCTCACTTGCGCCTCCCACCTCCCGACCTTAAACCCCGTTCTCTCTTCCGAACTTAACCCGTCGCGGAGAGCAGCTGCATGTGACATTTGACTCTTCGCTCTTTTCGCCTCCCTTCGCCATTCATTTTACCATTCGGCTTTCTCACGCTTGCTACTGCTTGAACTCTTCCAACCTCACGGCTACTTTACCTTCTTCTCGGGCAGGCTTGGTTCTAGGCAAGGTGGCAACCGAACAGAACTGACCCTCTTTTGTAAGCACTTGGGGATCTCGCATGTGGAATTGTCTCCGGTTTCTTCTTCTTCTTGTCCTCGATCAGACTGCAATCTTCTACCCATCGATTTCATCTCCCTATTAAGCTTCTCAGTATGCTCGGCCGCGTCTGGACCGTTTCCTGTCGATAATTTGCCGCTGCTGGCGATTGATGGCAGAACCAATTCAGTGGAGTGATGCGCGACTGTGACAGAAATCCATTGCCACTAAAGATCTTAAAACATTTCTCTCTTCTTTTGACTTGGAAAGTCATTCAGATACCTCTTGATTGAGGTAAGGGGTACTTACTTACCTTTTGTTGTATGAGGTCATATTAACCTTACTCAGCAACCACCGACAACTTCTTCAACTTTCAGCTGCAGTTCCTGCTAAAGACTAGCTTGCTCAGTCAAATCAACGACCGCCTCGTCAATCAGTTCGCGCGACTACCGCCTAGCCTTTGACGTAGTCGCTGGTATCTGGGTGTCCAAGGAGGCTTGTCTTGCTACAAGCGTGCTTTAACAGACCCGAAGCCCGCAAAACCTGTTCCAAGTCCAGGCTGCGCATTGCTGACGCTCTTCGGCTCACCTGTACCTTTCTTTCCCGGTTGGTCGATGAGCGGCTGTTGGTGGTGGTTCGTGTACGATGGACTTGCCTCGAATCTCACTTCCTTCGATTAATATATATGACTTCAAGGATAGTGAGCTTCGAAATTCGACTCCGACTCCCAAACCGGTAGGAATGATGCCTGGAGGCTCGTATCCATCACATGGGCCGTGGCCTATACCCAACAATCCGACGACGAATTTTGCCCCTCCGCCACTGCCGCCGCCGCCCCGCATTAGTGACCTCGAGGACGGTTACGACGCTGGCTGGCTGCACGCGAATGCCAGAGGGACGACAAAACTCGCCCCCATCAATCCGAGCTCAAGCCTGTTTGGTGGCCACCGCCGCCCTGTCCCCGTGTCACTCAGTGATCGAATGGCACTTGACGACCTAGACGGCCGACAGAGCGGCCCCCCCATTTCCCGGAGTCCCGAAGCGCATATTCGAATCGAACCGCCGCCGCCCATGGACGAGGGATTCCGAAATGCAATCTCTATCAAAAGCCCCAGCCCGATCTTGAAAGGGGAGCGGGACTTTTCGCGACGAAGTGTCAAAGATTCATCAGACGCGTATGACCAGCACCTGTTGTCGAAAATTGGAAAACCACTCTCCCCACGCCAGTCGATTAGCGGTGGAAGCGAATCTCGAGGCACTCTGTCAACACTCACCATTCCCACGCGGAACTATGGCGGCCTCCCTTCTCCAGGCGGCTCGGATAGCTCGAATCTCGATGTAAGATGGGGCAGTTATCAATCGGGCGGCGTGTCGCCAGGTACTAAGGCAGGGTGGAGGGATTACATTGGGGGCCGAAGCCCCAGTGTTGAGAGTAGCGCTCCGTCATCCGCGGTGGATTTGGATCATTCAGGCTACCTACGGGAGGTATACCGCCGGCGCGGTGGAACGACGCCTCAATACGACGAGACTATCAGTCTTCCCAGCCGCTCGCATCGCGGCAGTTACGATCATGGCGTCTTCTCAGATATCGAAGGTGATTTTCCCACCGACGAATCGCTACCGTCTCGCATGGTTTATTTGCGCGAAGCCACGCCGCCCTACTCAGACGCGAAGTCTTCAGGCCTGAAGAGAAGAGCATCGTCCCCTCCTCGCGAGCAGCCGACGGGCGACGATCGACACCGCCTCCATATCATCACCAGCAACGGGGATCTCACCCAACGGAGAACCAGTGGTCAGCCATACACGAACAACCTAACAATCAACCCTAATTATGCTGCCAGTCACGGGAGCCATTCAGCGGCTTCATCATTGAGCCTTCGGACCACTGGATCTTACTCGTCGGCCGGACTCTCTGTGGGAGGAAGTAGTATCACCAGCTACGATCGCCCGTCACCTGGAGGGCTTTCACCCAACTCTGACCTCGATACCTTTCACGATAAGTCGATCTTGAACTCAACCTCTCCCGCTCAAATGGTCGCCCCGCCAGTCGCACGAGTAATGCAGGCACCTAGCATAATTGAACCGTCGAGCGTCGAAACGGCGCGCAAGATGTCTCTGCAAACCACGACCCCGAAGCCTACAGGGCCTAAGCTTGGTGGATTGTACATATGCGATTGCTGTCCCAAAAAACCAAAGAAATTCGACAGCCCCGACGAGCTCCGGTAAGCTGATCCGTGTTGAACTCACTGGTAGCCGCATTCTGACTCTGCTTTCTGGAACAGTGCACATGAGATGGAGAAACAATATTCCTGCCTCTATTGCAATAATAGGTTCAAGAACAAGAACGAGGCCGAACGCCATCAGAACTCGCTCCATTTGCGACGGCATTCTTGGTCGTGCGCTGCGTTATCGAGTTATCAAGCGGCATTCCATCCTTCGTCGAGCTCGGGGCCAACCGGCGCCGGCTCCTCCCATGACACCTGCGGTTATTGCGGTGAGGAGTTCCCCAATCATCCTCAGCCGGATTGGGACCGTAGATTCGAGCATCTCACTGTCGTACATAAATTTGGCGAATGCAACAATGCGAAGAAGTTCTTCCGTGCGGACCACTTCCGCCAGCACCTGAAGCACAGTCATGCCGGTACGAGTGGCAAGTGGACCAATATTTTGGAAAATGCATGCATGAAGGAGGAAGCCCCGCCCGAGCCGAAGAACGGAGGTATATCGCTTGCCTCGAATAAGATCAACGAGGTTCTCAGCGGTTGCTGACATGGAGTCTGCGCGGCTGGGTGGAGTCCGGAACTACTTTACTCGATGGGCTGCGGACATATCTTCGATGTATGCCGAGGCTGACATCCGCCTTGCTCATCCTAAGGGTACCACGATGGTATCATGGGGGCGGGGCACGCTTACGAGGCTTTCTCCTCTTGGCACAAGGCTGCCTCCACCTTTGACAGGAACTGAGTGAATAATTCATTCTTCGGTGACCTTGAGGAAACCCCAGCAGGTGCAGGATCAATGAGACTCACATCTGTGGATCGCGGGTATTCTTCCTACAGCCGGAGCCGCTGGATTGGTGGTTTTATGACATGACGATATCTTTTTCTTCCTTTTTTTTTTTTTTTTTCTCAACAATCATCCTTCCTCACATCCCATGCATCGGTTTTGGGCAAAAACAAACGGAGTCTGGACATTAGGTGGGGGTGGGTTTTCTGGATGTATCTATGTGGGCGATAGGGCTGTGAATGTGTGTGGGTGATCACCCGGTCAGATATGGTCCGGATTTTGGGTTTTAGCATGGAAGAAACCCAGGGTGTCAATTGTGTTTTGTTTTCGAGCTCAGCACTTGGTTTGACTTTTTTCTTATTGCCTTTCCTTCCCAGCCAGCCCTTGTCTTTGGGGGCGGATATTGTGGGGCTTCTTCTTGTATAGGCCAGGAGCATTAGGAAGGGATTGTGACTTAGTTGGTGTTGGTTGGGTGTACATATGAGAGTCGGGGAAACGTTATCACAAGGTCCGACAAGTGGAAGAATGAATAAACACGATGACTACCAATTGCAGCAGACAATCCGTTCTCTAGCTGTTTTTCCCATGGAGCAGATCCACTCCTACTACCGAGTCAACTACATACCTTAGTTAAGTTACCCAGGTTTACTCATCTGTGGTCCAGGTTGTCCCTCCATGAGAGCCAGAAAACAATCACTGCCAGACCAGGCACATACTATGGAATAAGTAGTTGATACGATACTCAGAGAAGGGGGAATCTCACTACTACCGGAATATATGATACAGTTCATCCACCAAAAGCACCAAGCACCAAACCTACTCCGTCACACTATCCTTCAACCCCCGCAACGCACTCGGCTCCTTCACCCCCCCGGCCGCCGCCGCCATCGCCGCTGCATTCTCCGAGCGCCGGCGCGCATCCGTCCACACCATAAACTCCCCATACGTCTGCGGCATCACCTGAACATCCCCCTCCACGAGGAAGGTGTAGTTGAACATCCCGGCGGGTTTTTTAGTCCCGTGCTCGACGTCCCGAACCTGCGTGTCGACGCGCACGCGGACTTTGGTGTATGAGGTGCTGCCACTGCCCCCACTGCCACTGCCACCATCCGAACCACCCTCAGAATACGGCTCCGTAAACGCAACGGTAGCCCGCAAATACAACACACTTCCCACCGGCACGGAATTCTCAAACGTGCTCGGATCAAGGGAGATGAAGTTGGGACGGCTGTGGCTGAAGGAGGCGGCGCAACAGAAGGCCAGCTCGAAGGTTTCTTTCAGCAAAAAGCCGCCGAAGATCATGAAGTTGTGGCGGTTTCGGTCTTGGGGTTGCATAATCATGGCGGATTTTAGGACGGAGGAGGCCATGGCGATGGTGTTCGGGGGGCGTTGGGCGGGGGATTCGGGGTCTGTGAGGGTTTTATTTTTAGTTGGGAGGGTTTGCAATATCACATATGATATTGCCAAGGGGGGGGGAGGGGGTGGAGGGGACAACGTCCTATACACTGGAAAAGTCGGGGGGCAACTCACTCGAATAAGACATCCCCTTGGTCCACATCGAATGAATCAAGTCACTCTCGCGCTCGTTGGGAGCTTTCTCCAGAAGACTGCGTGTCCGCAGGGCTTTCTTGGCGCGGTAATTCTCCTCGCCTTTCTGGAAGAGTAGGCGCTCTTCGGGCGTTTCGACGAGGAGGGGGGCGATGGCTACCGGTCTGGTTCATGGACTTTGGTTTAGCAGGTCTTTCTTACAGGGGCAGCCGGGGGCACAGCCCAGGTACTATACTTCTTCGTGGCCGGATCCAGCGAGACCATCGTGAACGCGCACGTAATCAACACATCCTCCGGCTTCGCCGCCTCGCCCGCAGCGGGCGCTTTGGCAACCTGCAACGAGACCTCCATGCTCGACCGTCCCGTCGCGTAGGTCACCTGCCCGCTCAGCTCCAGGTCGCAGATCTCCATCAGCGGGTGCTCGATGGTGATGCGGTCGAGGGCCGCCGTCACCGTGGTGACGTGGTCGCCAGTGTGGCGGCCGGCGATGACGCCTGCTAGGGCGTCTAGGTCCATCAAAAGGGATCCTAGTCTGGGGGGTTTGTCAGTGGTCTGGTAACTACTTGCTCCCTTGCTCCTCGCTAAGCACAGCCACGGGGGGGTTCTCCCATCTTGAATCAGTGATTCACTTACCGAATATGCCCCGAAGCGTTCAGATAAGTATCCAGCAACCACTTATCCTGCGCCAGCGGCAGAATCTACGCCATCAAAGAGAAAATCAGCTCCGAGTCATAGTATGACTTGACTCCCGCCCACAGAACTGGGCTATCTGCCAGCTGATGATACGTACAGCCTTGAAATGACTATCCGCCATCCTCCTCGGCGTCAGATCCGGTTGCACCGCCGCGGCGGGCGCATCACCGTGCTTCTGCTGCGCCGCCTCGCGACTCTGGGTCAAGGCGTCGATCCACGGGGTCTTGACGCGCTTGGGCATCCAGGTGGGACTGAAGGCTGCATTGCGGCGACTGGCGTGGAAGTCTCGATATGCGAGTAAGGATTGGGCGGGAGGCGGTGTTGTTGTGCGGTTGAGGAGAGTGGTGGTGCTGGAGAGGTGTTTGGAGCGGGCGACGGCGGACCGTCTGGTGCTTAGACTAAACATGGTGGTGTGTTTGCGAGTATTTACCGTAGGAAAACGAGTCAAGGTGGGCAAGTGACTTCTACATGTATGACTTGGAATACGCGTGACGATGCCTCGGGCTCGGCAGACGCAGGCCGGCTTCGGCTTCTGGCACCGGGGCAAGTCGGGTTCCCCTTCGGAGCCATCCGTTGGGCTGGGACCCTGCAGGTCTTTCTCCGCAATGGTAGTATAGTTAGTGTATGTATAGTGACTGTATGTGTTGAGTGTTCTATACTTAGTGTAATATACTATACTTAGTGTATATACTTTGGTGTTTAGTCTGAATGTAGTGATGTATAATGAAGATTAGTAACATCTAACTTACGTTAGTTATAGATCTGGATGACATCATCACTCGGCCGATGTCTTCCTCGCCGACACCAGCATTCAATCGTCCGAGAATAACATCCAGCTTCGATGGCCTGTTGTTCATTTTTAGATCTAGGGAGATGGAGATGATTGACTCGACATCTGGTGGCACATGATATCCAGCTCTTCCGCCCCAGATCCAGCCATCAATCCTTAATCCTCTCGCCCGAGAAAGTGCGTCAATGTGAAGTCATTTCTCCCCAGCTCCAGAATCAATCAACACAATTGAACCTCGATAAATACCCAGCGACATGCCAAGAAATTGGCCTCTTTCCTAACTTTCAAATCCTCATATACATCTCCGGACTCTATACTAATATTGTAATCATCACCATGAGTGACCCGACCAACCCCAACATCAAGAACCGCACCACCCCCCAATGGGCATTATACCAACGAGAGAACTTCTGGAAGGCCAATGAGGGTCAAACGCCTCCCTTCAACACTGGTATGCGCTTGCCTTAGTATGCGCGGAAGCTCGATACTAAAGCCCCCACAGATCCCACCAAGCTGGAAGAAGAGGCCATGCGCAAACTCAGCCAAGGCGGATGGTATACTACCTCTAAACCATCAACCCCCCCCAGGCAGCAGACACTGAACGCTCGACAGGTACTATGCCTCCTCCAATGCAGGCCTTTCGACCACCCACCTCGCCAACCGACAAGCCTTCTATCGCCACCGCATCATCCCCAACCAGCTAGTCGACACCAACCTGCGCGACACCACCACCACCATCTTCGGCCACCGCGTGTCCGCGCCCATCGGCTTCGCCCCGATCGGCATCAACAAGATCTACCACCCGACCGCCGAGCTGGCCGTGGCCAAGGTGGCCGGCGAGCTCAACCTGCCCTACTGCCTCTCGACGGCGGGCAGCACGCCCATTGAGCAAGTCGGCGAGGCCAACGGCGCCGGCCGCCCGCGCTTCTACCAGCTGTACATGCCGCACGACGACGAGCTGACGCTCTCCCTCCTACGGCGCGCCTGGACCGCGGGCTTTGATGTGCTGATGCTCACCACCGACACCTGGCAGCTGGGCTGGCGGCACGACGACGTCGCCAACTCCAACTACGCCTTCTACCGCGGCATCGGCGCCGACCTGGGGCTGTCGGACCCCGTGTTCCGACGCCGCTGCCGCGAGCAGGGCATTGACCCGGACGTCGACAAAATCGCCGCCTCCGCCAAGTGGATCGACTCCGTCTGGCACGGGCGCGCCTGGTCGTGGGAGAAAATCCCCTGGCTGATCGCCCGCTGGAAGGAAATCTCCGGCGGCCGCCCCGTGGTCATCAAGGGCATCCAGTCGGTGAAGGATGCGCGGAAATGCGTCGAGCACGGCGTCGATGGCATCGTCGTGAGCAACCACGCCGGCCGCCAGGTCGACGGGGCCATCGCCAGCTTGGATGCCCTGGAGAATATTGTGAATGCCGTCGGCGACCAAATCTACGTCATGTTTGACTCCGGCGTACGGGGCGCGAGTGATGTCGTCAAGGCCTTGGCGCTGGGCGCCCGCTTTGTCTTCGTCGGTCGGCTATGGGTATGGGGCCTCAGTATCATGGGCGAGGAGGGCGTGCGCCACGTCATGAAGTCGCTGTTGGCCGACCTGGATATCCTCATGGCTGTGGCAGGGTTTAATAGCGTGGACGAGTTTGATCGCTCCATTCTAGGTAGGTAGCCCCTTCAGCCCTGCTAGGGCGTGTGGTTCTGGGCTGGGAAGCAATCGCTGACGGTCGCAACAGAGTCGTACCCAAAGTCGTACACATTGATACCCGACAGGGTCCTATAGGTGGCACGGCCGTCTAGCCAAGAGCCCACCCTTCGCCACTAGGTTTGGAGCACAACGCTGCGAGGGAGGGTCTGAAAACATGAAACGATAGCTCAAGATTTAAGGTTTGGTCATGAAGAACAGCTATATTTGTAGGCTAATAATCGACTACCATATATGGGTTATCCTCGGAAATGCGTGTGTAGCAGCGCTATCTACCCATGTAGATAAGAATCGAATTTTTTTTGAACATGTGCAAGAAAGCCATAGTCAGCCGGAGGATCGATGCAGTTTATAGCAGAACGGCGCAGAAGACGACCACTATAGCCGACAGGTAGAATTTGGACGCCTGTTGCGACGACGTGCCTGAACTAGCTAGAACGCCGGTTGAGTTGGTTGAGCTGGATGAGGCAGTGGCACTGGCCGAGCTGCCAGAGGATGAACTGCTTGTCTTACTCGAGCTTGAAGATGTGGTGTTCTTGTTATAGGCGCGGACGGCCAGACCGACCCGTTCCTGGTCAAAGTCGAACACGGTATAGACATTCTTCAAGAAGACATCGCCCAGCAGCCAGATGTCATCTCCAAACAGATCGTAGCTCACAATCGTGGAGATACAGCTAGTGTTATACTCGGAGCCAATATAGTCTTCTGGCGAAATGGTATAATTGACCCCGGAGAAGGCCACTTGAACCTTGGCAGTGGAGTTGCACGGTATGAGGAAATAGTCACCCGACGCAGTAGAGCCGGGAATGAGCGCGTGCAGCGCCTTTGCGTCGTGGGATGGAAGCATCGCGTACGACGTTCCTGTGTCGATGATTGCAGATTTATTGGTGAAGTCGCAGGCGTCCCCATTCACATAAACATCGTCGACTGGAATTCGCCAGTAGTTCCCCGATCCAGTCACGGTATTGGTGTACGAGATGTCACCGTTGAACTTGTCACTGTCAATGCCCCCAATGGTGACGGTGCCGTCTTTCTCGCCACTCTTGGCACGGGAGAGAGCAAAGCCGACGACGTTTGAGTCAAAGTTCTTTTGCTCGGCCACGGCATCCATAAACGTGGGAGTGTTGTATGAGGTGTCGTTAGAGCGGCCGAAGCCGAGAATACCGTCCATAGCATACGATTCGAAGTTGGTGGAGGCATTGGTGGCCAGTCCAAATGTGAACTGCACTTCCACACCTGCGATTGTCACGTTGTCGGTCGCAAGTACGCCGCTCGCAGACCCCGAGCCGTATCCGACACTCCACCCGGTTGTGGTCACGTTGATACTTGAAGAGGTCGTTGCGTCAAAAGTGTCGTGCATGCTGCAAGCTTTGGTAGTGCAGTTGGAGCTGAAGACCCACGAATTGGTGCCCCCGGTATCCAGCATCAAATAGAATTCCTGCTGTTCGGACCCAATCTTCACCACTGCGAAATAAGTCAGGTCATTGCCGTCTTGGTCGAGGGCGGCGGTGTTGGGCCAGGAGGGTGTTTTAGACAGGACAATATCGAAATCATTGTTGCGACGGATAGGGGCCCTCTTGACGTCAAGCGTTATAGACTCGCCAGATTTGGCAGAGGCTGGACTTTTGGCCAGGGCCTCACTCAAGGACTCCCATGGCAAAAAGCGACGCGATGGAGTGTGTTTGGTGGTCAAAGAGTCGAGATTGATTTCGTAGGGAATGAAGGCGAAAACAGCAGTCCAGATACAAGCAGCGATAAGCAGACAGCCGGCCAAATGCATGATGCGAGCACTTTCAGGTTCTCTGAGAATTGATCTCGAGACTCATTTGTGAAAAGGCTCGAGGATGGTCAACGCACACTCTCTGATGTACTCGGAAAGTTACAAGAGTGATATAATCGCAGAATATGTCCCTAGAGGCAACTAAGGAAACAGTGATAGACTTGTGGATTTCTAAAGTCCAGAAGCGAAAAAAGACCGACGGGCAGTTTGCGGAGAAACACACAATTAAGCGAACGACAGGCTAAAGAGCAGGCAGGGCGCAGATGCTTAATGAAAGTATGCAGCAGCACCAGCAGCGAAAAGAGAGCAAAAAGAATGTACAGAAAAGAGGAAAGGGATTGAGGCAAGCAAATATGAAAAGTGAAGAAGAAAGGTGAATTGAAGGTGGAGGAAGAGGAGGTACAGTTGATTTCTGAGTTAGTTTAGTGTAGTTTAGTTTATGCTCATATCCACTCGGCAGGTTTTCACAGCGGGAGGACGGGTTGCCAGTGGCTGCCGCTCCGGGATCCAGACCCTCCTCGTGCATTTCCCCCTGAAGCCAGCCCAGTCTAGCCAAGCCCGTAGCCACTTTCTTTCTGCACACTGCATAATTGGGGATGCAAGATGCTCAGCGCACAAGCTGCACGTCGGTCACAATATCCATGATGTCTCAATATCAGAGATATGGCACAATGCCTCAATACTTCAATACTTCAACAAGCAGCCTATGCTTCGTCTATTTCAGAGTTACTGCTCCGTACTCCGTACTCGGAGTAGTACATTCGTCAATCACGTCCCACTCATGAAGACGACGACTTGTTTATGCCTTATGATGCTTGCCACTGAGGGGTTCTGCACACTGTCTGCAGTCGACCGTTCAGTCAGTCTGGGATGCTTCCCTTGGCAGCAGCAGTGGATCCTCTCCGACGTTGCTGGAGAGCATTGTTCTCATGCACTGAGATCGGGGTGCTATACCTCGTGGAAGGCTGAGGCAGGCTGCTGACATGTCAACGAACGATTAGCATTTTGTCCATCTACGTTGCAACCACGAATTCACGAGCACGCAGATCTCCTCAAGGTCCACTGAAATCGCCGGTCCATGGCGGGCCGGTGGTGTTGACGGACGAAAGAAACCTAAACCCTCCCACGGCCCTGACGTTGACATCAAACCCACCCTGCTAAATACAGCTGTCTACCTGTGCGAGGGTGTTCGTCTCCCAGCCCATCTGAAACAGTACACACACACACACAGCGATCGTTTTCGGAGGTTGATTGATCTGAAACTCCACCGTTTGCAAGTCGCACACGCACGTACGCACCCTTATTCAGTGTCTCCACGCAGCCAAATGAACGGACTATATCAATCAATGGGAAGAGCAAGCCTAGTGACCAAAATCTTACACAGTAGAATTGGCGGGCGCAATCTGAAAAGGGAAACAAAGGGAGGGCAGGATGTTCCCTAAATAACCATACGGTCTCATTTATTTCTGAGGTGGTAGCCGAGGTAGCCTGAACCTACACGCTAGTCCTATTCAAGATACGGCCAATGCATGCATCTGTTTACTCGTTGACCAAATACTCGCAGTTATCCCTTGGCCATGCTCATGAAGAAAGACACAATGCATACTCCAGCTTCCAGAGTCAGGCATTACCTCTCAATCGCAGAATGAAATGTCTCCCCTGCTGGAACCTTCAATTACTCCTCTCCTCACAAAGTGACCGCAGACCTCCTCAAGAACAAGAATCGACTGACTAATTCCGACAAATCCCACTAACTAGGTAGGTAGTTAACCAGTAACCACTAACCACATGTTGTGTCACACCCCGGAAAGCGATCAGACAATCGAGCGCCCTCGCTACGGTACTCAACCTCGCTCCTCCGGAGCACCCTGCTCCACGGTTCCCTTTGCCCTTCACCTCTGTGTGAAGGAACATCACGAGTTGATCTGGGATGGATAAACACAATTCCATCCAGCAGATGGGAACCATCGGAAGATATCGGGGAATCCTGATGCTGGGGGTCATTCCCTCTGGCCGAACTGATGGAGCTGCACCCGAGATCGATTCCATCTGGAGTAACCACACACACAGGCACGCGCGTGGCTATGCCACGGTTAAGGTTTATTCTTTTGCCCGTATCATGGCCGAGGGTAGCTTCTTTATTTTTCCCCACGTAGCTTGTATATCGTGGACCCTAGGTTGAGTTGGGGATATCATGGGGCTGGAGCCGTGGTCGGACTTAGCTGGTACTTCCCCGGCGCTGACTCATTGCTCTGGGGTAACTAAGTTAACTCACTAAATGGCACTGCGCTAACTATGTCGGCAAGAAGGAGTGGTCCGGTCTGTTGGATTCTTTGGTCATGATTTGACTGTACTTCCACAATTTGTACCTCGATGATGAATCACTACGGTTGCTGAGGTGGATATGGGTTCTGATGTATACACATCACATGTTGCTGATCCAATTTGTAGATGTTGATCTGTCACTTAACAATTCCAAGTTCCATCAACATGAATAAGACCACTGACTATCCAAGAGAGTACAACAAACATCACGCATCGCTAAAGACAATCAAGAACAATTGAACTGTAAATCCACGAGGCCTCATTTACTTCCTGACAACAGCCGGTTGCCGGCCTAAGATATCATCCATGACACCGGTCCACAACTCCCTAAACAACCCAGGCTCTTTCGAGCCCTGTTTGGTCGAGTCCGCTCCGGAGCGGGACTTACCCACCGCCTCCGTCAGCGAGAATGGATCGATATCCACCGAGTGGTTGTCGACCACCTCCGTCATCGGACTGGCGGAGACGTCAGCATCCCCTCCGGAGACGGTATAGATCTGGGGCTTCATGGGGGAGTCCGCCTGGGCCGAGCTGTGGTGGGAGTAGAAGTCGGGGACAATCGGGAACTGCGGATCGGCACGCGCAGCCGGGGCATCGAGCTCCGCCAGCGAGGGCATGTAGGCGAAGTCGACGGTGGATGAGTCACCCACGGCCTTCATGGACCGAGAAGTGTTGAATTGACGGCTGTGGTTCTCCCTATTGCACGCGACGCAGGCCGCCTAATGTCAGTTCCGAGGAACCGTTTAACCGAGGAAGTGGAGGGCTTGAACATACTCTGCAATGGAGTTGCCGCTGATGCGGCGCATGGCAATGCTGAAGGCACGGGATTGAAGGAAATCATGGTTTTGAAGACGCTCAACGAGCTGGAATGAGAATCAAGATCGGTCAGTGTATATGGCCTTACGGCAATATGTGCAGCAGGAGCATAGCACTTACCTCGGCTTGAGTACCGCTGCTTCTCAAGGAGCGCTTCTGACACTCATTCTTGAGATCAGCCACGGTGCGGCTGGAGTACAAAGAGGCGCGGTCTGAGACATTTGCCGGTTGCGCCGAGTGGACGCCTGTGATGTGCAGGCCCCGGCGAACGCTGGGGAGAACAGACTGTTGCTGCGACAGCAGACGAAGGGCACGGAGAGAATTTGAGCGAGCAGCTGTCATTGTGGATTGTTTGGGATAACTGGGTTGGTCCTGATTGAATGACGGGTGGGGATGGTAAGTGATATAAGAAAATCCTCCGAAATGGTTGAGTCGAAGAATGTAGGGTTATCAGATCAGGTGGTGCCAAAATGCAGTCAACAGAAGAGGTAGTGTAAACTTGGGAGAAACAAGGATGAGGATGAGTATAGATTTATACACAAGCAGTTGAGGTAGAATGAACTAGATCAGAGAGGAGAAGAATAAATGGATAGTTGGAGAGGGTGTAGGAGAGAAGGAGGAGAAGAAGAAGAAGAAGAAGAAGAGAAGGTGGGAGGAAGCCCAAGTTTAAATTCCTGGGGAAGCTGGCTGTCCAGTACAGACAATACTTTGTACTTTGAAAACCGACCGTTTTGTTTGCAGGAACGCGTTGGGGAGGGGGAGGGAGAAGAGAATACCTGTTTGAGTGAAAGAGCTACATAACTAACTACACCTTGCCTGACTTTACAGTACTACTTTGTTCAAGCTGCTGCTTTTTACCGACCCGCCCGGTGGACACACTGGGGACACTGGGGGGGGCGGGCGGTCTAGCCAAGTCTAATAGTGGGAAGCGACTAAGGCTAAATATGTAGTAGGATGGGACCACCTCTCAGCCCGACTGACTATGGAGTAACTACTAGTAGTCCTACTAACTAATCAGAAGATCGGCTGGTGTACTCCATAGTCATGCTTTCAATAAACAAAGAAGGAAGTCAGAATGCTTGGAATGACTATTCTGGATGATGCTATATCGATTCTCGTCTGCTCATCCAGGGGTTTCAGATCTTAGGACTCAGTCTGGGACCCTGGGGAGATCACCAAAGGTAACCAAATTGTCCCAGAAATGGGCAATGACAGGTCATAAGAGGGATCAACCGTGGTAAGCTACACAGATTGACTTGAAGACTTCATCATCTAGGTTGTTTTGTCTTTCTGCCTATTTCTTTACATTACCAACCACACACCACCCCCGCCACGGGACACGTCCTCTGCCAATCTGCATACTCACACCCTTTGAATTTACTTGCCGCCGCTACAGAATATGGAGTATGTATGGTACACTGCACGATTATGTAGGGAAGACCCAATCACCTTCCTGTGCGGATCATTCATTGACTTTCCGGTACACCGGAGCAGATAAATTGCTCTACTTCACTCTCACTTGAATGGCCGGCTACCTTCAGGGATGTGCTTGTTTCTCGAGGCAGATACGGATAGATTGGCTCCCCTCTTGCATCCCCTCCCCACCTGCGGTATCAGCGGTACTGCCAGTGGACGTGCTCTGCATATCAGCCAGACCAGATACCGCCAGCTGATCCTTTCTCTACTTACACAGGATATCATGGTGTCATGGACTTGTTCACTGTTACCCCTCCCAATGATTTTCAGATCATCAGGAGTCCTGAAACCACCTCTCTCCGCATCTTCCTACCAGGGCCGGTTGGCGGAAGCACTCCGTATCATAGCTCCCTTTTTTAGTATCGGTTGCAAACGAGGCTCTGAACAAACGCGACACTGCAGCTTGCTCAATGAAAGGTAGGAAAGGAGGGTGATACAGGAATCTCGACTTGATCAAGCTTGATTGTGTGTGGTAGTATACTCCGTTTGACTATCACTCCGTACTCCGTGATAAAATCCAGAAGAGGTGGGGAAAGGACCGTGACGCAATGCAGGATCAGCCAACAACATTCGAGAAGCCAGCTAGACGATTCAACAATATTGGTTACTGTAGAGGTAATACCGGGGATTCGTGTCCAGACAACTCGATGATGTTTTGCTCCATGATGATTGGCCAGGTCTGCAAGCGATCACCGCGATGGTCGCAAATGCCACGCTCCTTGCGGGATGGTACGAGAACAGTACGAGTAAACTGTTGAGAGGGATGGGGCACGTGAGGTCGATCTGGATTGCCCGCCCGCCGCCGACTTCCCCGGTGGATCCTCCCAGAAAAGCCCACCTAAAATAAGGTACTCTGATATACGCTGTACACCCCATACTCTACGGGGGTCCCTTTAGTTTCAGCCCCCTTGATCCTGCGGAATCCAACAACGATACGGAGAGATTGACCTGAGTCAGGCAGAATGCTTTCTGCCTTAGTACTGAGTGTACACTGTACAGTAGGTACTACTTGCTTCGGCCATAACATTCCATGTCCGAATTCCCGAGACTAGGGACCGGATTTCCCTGCGACTTTCCATTCTCGGCTATCGGAGAGCCCTGGTCTTATCGCAGCTGGCTTCAGACATTCTTTCAGGCACTGATTATACACTGCCATTGAAGGATCCCGGAGTGATCCAAGTCGCTCATCTAGCCATTTCGGGTCGGAACAAGACATCGTGGACGGCGAAGATTGTCTGATTGACGAGTGCTCAGTACGCGGCATGACTTGGCAAACCTGAGTCGCAATGCGTATCAATGCATGAATGATTGTTCATAGCTTCTGTGATCTACATGGATTCAGCTGTATCTATATCACCGTGCATCCTACAGATGATAGTTATTTAACATGTGGATAGCTTGATTTATAGTTCGGGGCTGCTGCAATTCAACGGAATGGTCGACAATGCATTTAGGCACGTACAGCGCATATGTCGGACCATTGATCTGTTGGTTATGATGACTTCACTTGGTTGCATGAATTTCTTTAGTGGAGTAGCTCTGCTACCACTAAAAGTTTATTCGAACAAGGAAGTACCTGCTGAACGTCACTGATGGTTCGTCTAAAGTACTATTCATGTTAACATAGTACAGTACATTGACTGCTCTCAAGCGCAATCGGATTGAACACATACAAGTTACAAGACTGCTATATGGATCATCTATCCGCCTGTGCGGGGTACCCATGCTCTCTATCTTATCGTCTCGAATGCTTTTTCTCGAGATACGCAGATGCACCATAAAGGCTCGGCCACTGCGGGTTAACCTTTCACTTCCTCCGTCTCGCTACCCGCACTGATCTGTAGCAGTATGTTCTACTAAAATAATCAAGCCTCAAAGGGATGGTTTTTCATCTCAGATAGGTCTATGAAATCATTTTTAGCCAATGCTGCCTACTGCAGGTCATCACTGGTGCCTTCCGCTTATACGTCTCCGACAGTTCGGGAATGGCAGCACATTTCCACTGCGGGCATTTCTCTATCACGTGCGCATGATCCAACAGTTCCCGGACGAGTTTCGTTTGTCCATACTGCATAGCCTTTACTATCTGCTTCTCTGCGCTATCCTGTAAAGGTATGCCTCTCCGAACAAGAGAAACCGCAACGTCTTCCCTTCCAAGCGCCAGAGCCATGTCGAGCGCAGATCGCCCATGGTGACGGGCAGTCAAAATCTTCGGTGCCAAATCAAAGAGGCAATCCAACATCTCCATACTTGCGAGTCTATACGCAGCCTGCAGTCTGGGATACCAATCAGTAGTCTCCGGCAAGATCTCCGTCCCATTCTTGACTGCCAGTCGGAAAAACGCCGTCCCCCAAGTTTGGGTACAGCAAATACTGAAGGTAAAGTCGTGGATAAATCTGGCCCCGGCATTGAGGAGCAGCTCAAGAAGCTGAGTAGGCGGAACATTGGGCCCACCGACCGCGTAGTCCAACGCCATCTGCCCTGTCGTGGCGCAAACAACATTTGAGTCGGCACCGTACTGTAGCAACAGCTCCGTGACGTGATATTGGCACTCTCTGATAGAGAGATGCAGCATTGGAACTGCGTCCAGATTGATTGAGTTGGCACTTACCCTGGCTTCTAGGAAGAATCTGACAATCTCGTATTGGCCGGTGCAAACAGCTTCTGCAAGCGGTTCACGGAAGAATTTCCTCCAGTCAGCCTCTGGGCGACTAATCTCTCTCAGCGACATTCGCCTGTCATACATTTCCTGAGACGGGAGGGCTTCTATTTTGGCTCTGTTTTGAATCTCGTTGTGAATCAAGTCATGCCCTTTTCCCAGTGCAAGGCCCAGATGCACAAGTGAAGTCACATCCAAGAGTTCCAATATCTGGAGATGAAGCTCTGGCGGTATGCTAAGGAACACTGTGCGTTTGGGAGTCGCCCCATTAGACGCCATTCGCTCAGCCATACTGGGTCGTTGTCGATGTAACAGCAACGATTACTTACAAGGCGGGTATATATACCAAGCTTTCGAATCGAAATGCTATATAATTATCTGGCGAGTGCTTACTATGCGTGCATTATATAGAGAAAGCCAGACTACAATGCCACCCCTTCACAAAGAAAGCAACAATGAGATTGTGTCGGGTACGCGGAATGAGTCGATTCTTGCTTCAAGTTTGAGCTTTGAGATACTCAAAAGAGACTCATGGTCGAAGTCTACCTTGCTATCTTGATGAACCAGAGTAAGTATAGTCATATGTTGAATCTTTCGATGGTACCTTGAGCCAGGTCTTATCGATGGTGAAAATCTCCGATAATCTCCTTGCTACTACATTGGTAGCGTTCGGGAGCCTTGTCCGGCTTCATTGTGGTCCCCTTTGTGGTTGGATGAAGTGAGCTCGGCGGACCTTGAGGACATTGCTTGGTCGTACGCAAGATCAAGTGTTGTTCGCAAGATTTTAGTCAGGTTGGAAAAAGAGACGGGCAAAGGGTAACTAGGATTAGTTCTCGGGTAAGTCAATGACGAGGGGCAAACAACTTCGGTCCTGTGAAAGCATTGCCACTCAGAAACCCGGTGCCTCCATCTCATCGACACCGTTCTTGAGCCGTCTTGACCATGGACTCCACCGGAGATTGCAGTAGGTTTGCAACATCACCCTCAATGAAACACGAAAGACAACCTGGCAGCAGGCGCTACTCGCGGCGGTGGATCAAGCCATTTCTTTGTTGTCAGCGCCAGACTTGCTGTCTGAGTGAGTGGGTTGATTTGTCTTAGAAGTGATTGTCTGTTGATACACACTTCTTGCTTGCCCATAGCAAAGACCTAACCGCGACAAGTAGGACTTCGAGTAAATCGATAAGTATCTGTGCATTGTCCAATGCTTTCCCTCGTCTCCACTAGTATGGTCCCTGCTGGACGATCCTCAGCGGGGTCAACAGCAGAACAGCACCTGGTAGGGGATGCCGTGACTGCTTCCATTCAAATCACCACATAATCCAGAAAGAAAACCGAACAGAGATGGCAAATGACAGAGAGGAATCGAACGCATGGCAGTCGTGCGGGAATTATTGGTCGCGGGGATTTTGCAGGACGTTGGAAAGCGTGCGGGCAGCGGCCTCGATGATTGGCCTACCCGAAGTATACGGCGATGCGGTGGTTTTCTGCCCGGCCTCGCAGCCTCAATCACTGACCTTCCGTTGCATGTGTCTCCCTGATAGGGCCATAGCCCCTGCTGGTGGTGATCAATCCTCAATCTTTGAACTGAATCTAATGCTATTAACAAGTTGGAGATGGCGGGGTCATACCTCCTCAGTGGGGCAACTGATTGCCAAAAAATAAAAGAGTTGTGCCTCAATCGCTGCAGAGCTGTGGGTTCAAGAAGCCCACAGCCCCCTCCCCCTCTACCCGGTGAAATGCAATTCACCGTCTGAGAGCATATTCGATCTATCACCTCAATTCTCACCACACGGCATTGTCCCTGCGCTCTTTTTGCTCTTGGTGCGCCATGGGTTTTCTCATCAACAGCACACCTTCGGGCTCCTTTCTAGGACGCATAGACTGGCTTCATGTCTACATTGCCGGCGCTGCCATTGCAGTCGGCGCATTCGTGGTATTGATATTATTACTTGCTTCCAGACAAACACGCAAGGTGGACTTTAACAGTGGCGTCTTCACTTACGTGAAATTCATCTACGCAAGCTTCCTCAAACCCCATGAGAAGAATGGGAATGGCCAGCAGGACGCTTTAGAGAGCTTCTACAAGACTCAAGTATGATCGAGCCTGATTCTGCAAGCTTGAATGCGCAGCTGACGAGTCATTCAAGGCTAGTGTATACGATGCCACTCGCAGACGCCTTCTGCGCGGACGCGAGGATATGCTGGGTCTGGTCGCTGCGCAGTTGAAACACAAGGTGGATAGCCAGGAGCTCAAAGCCGGAGAAGCGATCTGGGTTGATGTGAGTTCTCTTTTTCCTGTGGTCATGCATGCACACCTTGCTGATTGGATAGATTGGCGGGGGCACTGGGTGAGTCGTATTTGATTTGAGGTCTCGTCCGGATGAAGCCCTAATTGCGTTACTAGATACAACATCGAAGCGATGTCTGCTTTCCTCTCGGTGCCAGACTTCTTCGCGCACGTTTACCTGGTCGATCTTTCTCCCTCCCTCTGTGACGTCGCCCGTCAGCGATTCGAGCGACTAGGCTGGAAGAATGTCAGCGTCGTCTGCCAGGATGCTCGGTCCTTTAGGTTGCCTGAGGAGGACAAGGTAGACCCGCGCTGCAAGACTGCTACGGTTGCAGGCGCCGACCTGGCCACTATGAGCTACAGCTTGTCCATGATTCCAGGTAGGTTGTGCATCTAGGCTTGGAAGGAATATACTTACTGGTCCAGATTACTATAGCGTCATTGACTCGCTGCCTGCGCTGATCAAGCCTTCTGGCGTTCTGGGAGTCTGCGATTTCTATGGTATGTAGAAGGGTGAAGCCTTGTGGCCGTAAGATGCTAATTCGCAATTAGTACAAAGCATCGTGGATGTCTCCTCCCGCAATTACATCGGCGGCGCGTTTAATCGTCACGTCAACTGGCTTGGGAGAGCCTTTTGGCGCGCCTGGTTCGACGCCGACCGTGTTAGCCTTGAGGCTGCTCGTCGAGATTACCTTGAATATCGCTTCGGAACCGTGATCTCGGCCAGTGAGAGAAACTACCTATTAGGTGGAATTCCCTACTACATCTTTGTGGGATGTCAGAAGGATTCCACGACGCATTCTGGCCGCGAAGCCATCGAGAAGCTCAACGCCTCTTTCACCGAGTCTCCATACCTCTCCCCAGCTAAGCACCGGAGCGAAATGGATGCGGCTATTGTGAGTAGCACACAGGAGATCAAGTCCAAGGCGTACGAGTCTGCCGTGATCAACCTCGGTTCCAACCTTCCTCTACCATCATCATTCTATCAGAACCACCATTACCGCATCTTCTATAATGACCTCCTTCCCAAACACACGCAGTTCGGCCATGAGTACATCTATGCCTTCAATTGGGAAGACCCCCGCGTTGACCACAAATTGCTCGATATCCAGCGCGACGACGTCATCTTGGCCATTACCAGTGCCGGGGACAACATCCTGGACTATCTCCAGAAAAGCCCCCGGCGGGTCCATGCAGTCGACCTCAACCCTAATCAAAACCACCTCCTTGAACTCAAGGTTGCCAGCTTCATTGCCCTGGGCTACCGGGACGTCTGGAAGATCTTTGGAGAAGGCAAACACTCGGACTTCCGCCGTCTACTCATCGAGAAACTGAGCCCCCATCTCTCAAGTCAAGCGTTTCAGTACTGGCTCGAGCACACCCAGATTTTTACATCCTCCTCGGGCAAGGGCCTGTACGAGACCGGTGGCTCTCGCCACGCAATCAAGATGATTCGGTACCTCTTCCAAGTCTTCGGGCTACAGGGCCAAGTCGCGAAGCTCTGTGAAGCGCAGACGCTCGCAGAGCAGCGCAAGATCTGGCCCAAGATCCGCGCCGTCCTGATGAGCAAGCCTCTGCATTGGGCGGTTGTTGGGACTGAATGGTTCGCCTGGAAGGCCGCCGGCGTGCCGCGCAATCAGCGCAACATAATCATCGACGATTTCTATAAGCGCAACGGGCTGAACAAGGAAATGAAGCAAGCCAAGGACATCAGCGGCCAGTCGATCTGGGAGTACGTTGTGGACACCTTAGACCCGGTCGTTCAGGATACTCTCATCAGCAACGACAACTACTTTTACTTCCTATGTTTGCAGGGACAATTCTCCCGCAGGTAAGCTAGTAAATCCACTCCCAAAACCCCCCCTTTTCCCCCGCCCGCCTGATGTCGAGGGGAAAGGAAACACATAAATTAAACTAACTCGATGAATCTTGTCCTGCAAAAGATGTCATCCCGCCTACCTCACCCCCAAATCACACGTCAAACTTTCCTCCCCCGGCGCCTTTGACGGTCTCCGTATCCACACCGACGAGATCAATGAGGTGATCAAGAGGATCACGCCTAAGAGTCTCACCATCGCCGTGATCATGGACTCGATGGACTGGTTCGACGCTACAAGCGACGCCGCCTCCGCCCAGGCCCAGAAACTTAACCAGGCATTGAAAAAGGGCGGACGAATCCTCCTCCGCTCCGCCAGCATTGAGCCTTGGTACATTCGGCACTTCGAGGCGAATGGGTTTACGGCGCGGCGGGTTGGAGCAAGATACCCCGGCACGTGTATCGATCGGTATGTCCCTTCTTCCCTTGGCCTTCATGAGCCATGATGATCTATTCTCGGCCTGAAGAGAGAGAGAGAGAGAGAGAGAGGAAGACTGCGTGTCCATTTGCTGACCGAGAGACCGGTTCTAGTGTCAATATGTATGCGTCCACGTGGATTTGTACCAAGACTCGGGACTTGGATCGTCCAACGCCGAGTCGGGCTATGTCAGCTTTATCCCTGAATGAGTAAGGAAATGAGTGAGGAGCAGAATATTGTGATAAGCATTTCGATTCTCGCTAAAAGGACTTTGACCCTCGCGGATGATACCAAAGAGCAGTGATATAGAAAAATTAGATGCCCGAAATGATTGTTTGATGCCATGAAGTAGAAGTAGAAGTAGAAGTAGACCTACGGAGTACACCGTCAAGTATACCCAAAAGAGCGAAGAGGGAAGTTGCACTACAGGCTTGCGTTGCCTCCCGCAACCCGTCCCGGGTCCCCACCGCCTTCTCTTTCCCCCACCAAGAAAGAGACAGTCAGTCCTACAGTCAGTCCTACAGTCAGTCCTACAGTCAGTCAGTCATTCATTCATTCATTAATTCTCCTCTTCAATCCTCCTCCTCCTCCACTAACCACCACCACCTCCCATAACCCAACTACCACCCCCTCACCACCACCCCCCATCTTTTCCTTCCCTTGCTTCTTCTTGCATTTCTTTTGTTTCTCTTTTCTCACACCCTTTCTCAACCAACAACAACAACATTCGCCCCTCTCTTCTAAACTTCTGCCTCGTGCTAAAACTCGAACCCGGTTCCGTCAACTCTCCTTTTTCTTTTTTGCCCAATCCTAGCAACAAATCAGCGGTCGGTGGCCATCATGAACAGTCTGGTGGCTACACCACCTGTGCCTCCTCACCACTTTTACGAAGCCTCTCATCTTTCTCCTTCCCGTCCAAGTAAGATTTCCACATTCCCCGTCTTTTCTCTTTGAGTCCCTTGACTGATCTCTCTCTTCTTTCTAGTGTCTACTCCAAGTCATACGCCCAACCGGAAACGGAAAGCCGATGATGATGGTAACGATCATGATGGCCGAATGTCCGCCTCTCCCACCAACTCTCCCGCTTTCACTCCTCGAACCCTTCCATCGAGCCGACACCATATCAAACGTGCTCGTCCAAATGTCAGCGGGCGGCCTCTTTCGCTCCCTCGCTTGCTAGAGACGCTTGACACCGATGCTCTCCGGGGTGTACTCCGGTCTATGTGTGAACGCCATCCAGCGTTAATGGATGAGGTCATTCATACCGCTCCACGGCCCAGTGTAGCATCCGCTCTCCAGGTCCTTCGGAACTACCAGTCCAACCTTCAGTCGTCATTCCCCCTGGGTGGTAGCTCGGAATCAGATTACGCTTACAACCGAGTCCGGCAGCCTCTGGCGAGTCTTTTGGATGCTCTCAGTGACTTCACACCACACTTCCTTCCGCCAAATGAAACACAAGCTTCGGTCTCTTTGAGCTATCTAGATGGTGCGACCGACATCATCCACGCTTTGCCCCGGTGGCACACCCCCCAGAACAACCTAGAGCGGGACTCTGCGTACGACGAGATTTGCAAGGCCTGGATCTTGGTCATCCGGGAGGCCGCAAAACGTGGTGGCGGAATTCAGTTGCAGTATGGTGGATGGGATCAGAAGTTGGCTAAGCACAACCAGAACTCCGGCGGTAAACTGCAGGCAGCCGTCAACGAGCTTGGTTCCAGCTTAGGGTGGATGCACCGACCGGATGCCCAAGGCTATGGAAGCCCGGGAGGCAATGAACTTGGATCCATCCGCGAGCAACTCCTGTCGGGCACATACGGACTCGGCACCCCCGTCAAGGTTGGGCCATGGTAATGCTGCTGAGACATGACTGCCAACCTCATATCCTCTCTTCTTCATCCCTCCAGCCTACCTACATGAACACCCCCTCCACGACACCAACTCAACCCGCCCCCCCCCCCAAACTAGAGCTAGTGTCCGAAACCTCGACCGTGGAATGTCCACGTATGAAACGATCACGATACCTTATCGCATGAAACTAGAGTTGAGGGTCAGCTTGGCGTTTTGCAGTGTGCAAGCAAACATTTTTTTTTATCCGCGTATTTTGCCTTAATGTGTCATACTTTGGGAAGCCGACGCCTTCCTCTTCAACTGTCGATCTAGATTGCCAGATTTCCGGCTCCGGGTTCGATTCTTTTCTTTGTGTGCAACATGTTCCATGCATTCATGTCCTCCTTGCATTGATACAGTCCAGCATGGTTTTCTGTCCTTCCTTGCAATATGCACCGGCTTCGTTCCTTTCTGCCTCACCATTTCACTTTTCTTCTCAGTCATCTTATCTTCACGACCAACACATTGAAACAAGACATTCCATTTTGACCACCAACACACACTGTCTCACAATCCTGTATACCCCTTTCGTCCATCATGTTCCCTCGACTAATACATTTTACCGGTGTCTGGCTTGTTCATTGGGGGTTTGCAAGGAGGCATTCTCTACACATTCTGCTGGTACCCTCGGGCCAAGTTTACAAGTCAAATCAAAGCAGAAAGCAACAAAGAGCATTCGTTTCACCAATGGTGGAGGTTGGTGCAGCTTCTTATTAGCGAAATGGGAGAGTTTTCTGAAGCGAATAAATGCAGAGGTGGTAAACAACCTGTCTCGATAGGTTGAATGGTGCTGTATGAGAGCTCACGCCGATGAGAACTCAGATCTGCGGTGCAAGGTAGCCTTCTCCGCAAGAGTCTCAAGCTCAATGCTTCCGGTGCATTAGCTGTAGGTCTTCGTCTATACTATCATCCAATCATAAAATACTATGGTTCAAGTCTCCCTTCATCTGTAGTTTCAAGAGGTCATACTTGAAAGAGACCCAGTTTTGACTCGTGGGTCCATAGAACAATTAGATATATCTTAGCAGTCCCAGTAGTCAGTCACATCCATCATGCAATGATTCGCACTGAGGGATGGTGGAGACACGACTTGAACCCGAGCCCAGTGCTTTACGTAGCGAGAGAACGAGAAGCCGAGCAGAGAAGAAGAAGACAGAGCCTCCGACCCCCTCCCCTCGCCGAGGAGATACACACGGGTACATACACGAACAAGGTGTATTATACATACACACGTACGGTCATTTTGCTTCTAGTCAAGGGGAGAGCTCAATACAACGCACGTTTCACAGCACGGAACAGCCACCCGGCATCTCCCCAGCCGCCTTGGTCCCCCGGTTTCTCGTGGACGGAGAGACCGTCCGACTCGGCGAGGGACATTGTATCTGTATCTTCTGCGGAAGATCCTGCGGCGGCGGCGGCGGCTGCATGGGGAGATGTGGGGTCATCCGCGATGCTGTTGTCCTCGTTGTCCTGTGTTCCAGTCAAGGGGTGAGGGTGATGCTCCGGCAGTGTGGTCGTTCTACGGGATTCGGGGGCTTCGCCACCGCCGCCGCCGAACGAGAGCGGCCAGTCCTCCACACCGAATAGGGTCCATTCTACCATGCGATCGATCCAGCTGCCGAGGCCAAATCCACGCTCCCGCGTGAGGCGTTGCAATTCCTGCTCGTCGATCTCGTCGGACTCATCGTCGGAGTCGAGGTACGGGTAGTCTGAGGTGAAGGAGGCGAGGTCATCCGCGTTGTCGAATTGGGCGTCTTCGTCGCGTTGGAGGGAGGCCATTTCGGCGCGGACGCGCTCGTCGACGAAGTCTGGGACGAGCTGGCGGTGCTGCTGCTGTTGCTGCTGTTCTTCGGTCCTTTGGGTGCCGCCGGTGCTGGCTATGAGGTCGGCCGTCCTGCTCTCGCGGCGGGAGGCGGAGGCTGCTGTTGAGGTTGCCATCCCCAGACTAGTCATGGCGAGATCCGCTCTGCTGGCTACCCGGCTTCCTGGGCGGGACCGCGAGGCCCGTCTGGAGCGGGAGTTGGCTGCGGCTGGGGTGGACCGTCCAGAGCGGCCCTGTCGAGGACTGCTCGCGGAGGAGCAGGTATGGTGGTTGTTTCGGGAATGGGGATGGTGGTGATCGTTGAGGAAGTCAAGGCTGAGTTGATGGTCCTCGTCGATCAGACTCGTTGAACTCTGCCGCTTCACGAGCCAGCTCTGGCCCTTTTCTTCGCGGGTCGAGGATGCGAGTGCAATGCCGGCGCGGAGCATCCATTCTGTATCTTGATGGTGGTTCGGGGATTGACGGGAGCGAGTGCTGCGGCTGGCATGGTGATGATGTTGGTGATGTGGATGATGATGATGATGATGTTGTTGTTGTTGTTGTTGTTGATGGAGCGGGCTGCTCGCACCCCGGGCTTGTAGGTTGGGATCGCTGGCGTGGTGGATGCGGCTAGAACTCTTGCTCCGGGGAGGGTGTCGCGCGCGGGACCCGCTGCGGGAATGCGAGTGCGAGAGGACCCCCGGAGTGCCGGGGACGGAGAAGCTAGCCAGATAAGACCGTGCCGTGGGCGGGTCCGGCCTGTCGTGGTGATTGTGGTGCTCGCTGCTGTGGTGGGGATGGTTGAAGTAGTCCGGATCGTCGATTTCGTCTTCACTGAGAAAGCGCGGATTGAGAGGCGCGAGGGAGACATGGTGCAGAGAGGGATACGATCGTCGAGACCGAAAGGCACTCTGCGTTGGAAGTTGTGGGGGTCCCTGGCTTTGCTACACGAGGTTGATGACGCTGAATGAGTATATTGGGGGTGGGGAAACTTCAGTATAGAAGTCGATAGAGTGCTTACCTCCATCGAGCAAGATTCGATCCACCGGATCGAGATGTTCTTTTGGAAGAGATCGAGAGAGATTAATCAGAATGGAGAAGTGGGGAGGAGGAGGGAGAGAGAGGGAGAGAGAGAGAAAACCGTAAGAGTCTTGGAAGGGAGCAATGGAGTCCTTAAAAAGGAAAACATCGGCTCAGTCCACCTTGGCCCGCACGCATGTGAAAATGCGGGCAGCTCAAAGAATGGATGGATAGTTATTCACTGCCTGGTAAAATCATGGCATGGCACCACTTCTCCATCCATCCTCATTATTATAATAGTAGGTTGAATTACATGCCTGCCTCAGGTACCGAGGTCAATGCATTGAATGGTTGGAGCGGATGTGGAAGCACGCGTTGGCTGCGAATGGCGAAAGTCAATCAATCAATCAATCTATGGAAATTGACTTCTGTTCAAGGTATATCCATCTTCAACTACTCGCTTCAATAGAAGTGACGGCAACTTCTGACCTGGTCAGTCTCTCCATTCTGTTTTCATTCTGTTTCACAAACGAAGGCGTGATCGAATGATTGATTCAATGATGATGACCAACAAGGCACGCCACACCGCCCAGCGAGGGGACGATCCGCTCTCGATCCGTTCGTTGGCTTCGTTCCCTCCCCATCTCCTCTTAACTTTCCATCTAGTTTCATCTTTCCTATTAACTGCTAACTAAGCTGAACTCGTGTCTCTCCCTTGGACGCTCGGTCGTTTGTTAAAGCCGACTCTTTATTGTCCCTATTCTCTTCCTGCTTGCTGTCTTGGTTCATTGTTCAGTCCACCCTGCGTCCTCTGTTCTCTGGTCCAGCCGCGCCTATCTCGGCCTCCCGTCTCTTATCGTGGCACTGAGCTAGTAGTCCTTCCTTTACCCATCGTCATGGCTGACGAGACAGCCAGGCCTCTGCTGGACAGTGATTCCAGGCCAGGCTCTCCTCATTCCTTCCCATCACCAAAGGGTGGTGTAAAGACAGCTTCTCTCACTTATCAGGAGCCTCGACCTTACGAATTATCCGACGAATCCGCTCCTCTCCTACATCGCCGGGATGACGATGATTTTCTGGGGTACGGCGGGACCGACCCCAGAAACCGACGTGCTTCCGAGCCGTCACGCCCACTCTCTCCTGACACGGCCTTGAAGAAACGACGTGGTAGAATTCAATGGCCAATCCTCTGTGCCATGACCTCAATTCTTGCGGTGGCTGCAATTTTGGTCTTCGTTTTCATTGCCCCAGCAGCTGTGAAGGAGTATGTCAAGGATGCGACAGTCTTCAAGCCCACCAATATATCAATCGAATCGACGACTACCACCGGAGTTCGCGCGCGTATACAGGGGAACCTGAATCTGGATGCACGGCGCATTCGGAAAACACCGGTGCGAAACCTAGGTCGTTTCGTCACTTGGATCGGAAGAGAGGTTGAAACAGGGGATTCCGAGGTGGAAGTCTTCCTACCCGAGTACGGGAATGTTCTGGTGGGCACAGCTTCTCTCCCACCACTCAAGATTAACATCCAGAACGGCCATATCAACCATGTCGATTTCATTGCGGATCTGGTCGCAGGTGATGTTCAAGGCATTCGATCAGTGGCTTTAGACTGGCTAGACGGTCGACTGGGCCGCGTTCGTCTAGACGGACGAGCAACCATGCATCTCAAGTCCGGCTGGTTAGACTTGGGTGCACAGACGATTACTGACTCAATATTTTTGGAAGGTTTGTATCGGTTCTCTGTAAAAGTCTTGATTCTCCAGCGGGCTAACCGGGTGAACAGAAGGCGACCTGCCTCCATTGCCCACGGTCAATGTGACCCATTTCAACGTCCACGATGCAGATACCCCTGGAGACAAAGGAGCCATGGTTGTGGAAGCCTCTGTGGCTGCTATGATTGAATCTCCTTTCTCCCTGAACATTCCATCTCTCGGCTTCACGGTGCTTGTGCCCAACTGCTCACCAGGCGATCCTTACATCGCAGTGGCCGGTGCCATGACTGAAGGATTCCCAGTCATTCCCGGTCAGCCGACTCTGATTAGTGTCAGCGCCCTCATTCGAGGTCTACCAGATGACTTGACGACGGCTTGCCCGGGGATGAAGAACTCTCCATTCGACTTTCTCGTCAAAAGCTACGTCAATGGTTCGGGAACGACAGTTTACGTTCGTGGGGCTGATGCTCCCTCGCTGGATACTCCGGACTGGATGGTAGACGTGCTGAAAACTGTGACAGTACCGTTCCAATTCACTGGCCATGCTTTGGACAATCTTGTGCGGAATTTCACCATGTCAGACGTGCACTTTAGCTTGCCAAACCCTCTGGCTGAGCCAGACTCGCCTGAGTCCCGGCCAACGGTCTCTGCCCTGGTTAAGGTTTTGGTAGGGCTGCCGAAAGAGCTGGGTCTCGAATTCGATGTGCCCCGGGTCCGAGCCAATGCCGATGTCTTCTACCTCGGTCAGAAGGTTGGGGTCCTGGATCTTATGAAGTGGCAACCGGCCAATTCAACCTTGCTGGACGATATCGACGGCAAGCCGGCCGTGCTGGTTGATTTTGCCATCAAGAGCGCTCCGCTGGAAGTGACCGATGACGAAGTTCTGACGGATCTTCTCCAAGATCTCATCTTTTCTGGTCACACCGTGAAGCTCAACGTGACAGCGACTGTAGATGCTGAGGTTGCCACGGGACTCGGAATCTTGACGGTCCGTGAGATTCCAGCAACAGGACAATTTGTTGTCAAGCGTTAGTCGCTGAGATGCTCTGCATGACGTGGCTATCATTCAACTGACTATAATATAGCCCCGTACGGTGGCTCTCTCGATCAATTCAAGCCACAAATTGAGTCGCTTGAATTAGGCGATACGAGTGCGTCGTCACTTCTCGTGAAAGCGAAAGTCAATGTTACGAATCCTACGCCGTATGCTGCTTCGGTACCCTTCATAGATTTTGTAATGTTCTTCAATGGCTCGAGAGTAGCCCACTTGACGGCGAAAGACGTTGAAATAATTCCTGGGATGAATAGCGGCCTTCGCGTGGATCTTTCATGGAGTCCTCTCGGCCTTGACGGACCAACTGGCGCTAGTGCTGGGAGGGATCTCTTGTCCCAGTATATTTCAGGTAAGATTAGCAGGCAACTTGCGGTCGGGTCAGTACCTAACTAGTGTTGCCCAGGGTCAAACACCACAGTCACTGTGCGCACACACGAGAAGACTATTCCGGCATTACCTGGACTAGGAAGGGCGCTTTCGAGATTAGCTCTCGAAGTGCAGATCCCTCATGTGCCCGTTCCTCAGGCTCCGGGGCACGAGCCTGATGCAGGCAACGGATCGATGGGATTCATACAGGGTGCTACGGTATTATCCACTTTCATAGACCTCGTCCTTTCAATCAGGCGATGACTTCTGATGTGCCCCGTAATGTTTATCGTCATCCTTGCGCGGACATGTATCCGGTGAGCGAGACTGACTAATACGGTTGCGTGCTTTGTAGATGCACTTGTGGTCATCGACGGCAGAGTTCACACTCTCTTCACCCTTTCCCAACACAACTATTGAGATCACTTCAGTTGATGCTCAGGCGTTATATCAGGCGGAGGATGAAGAGGCCGAGGTCGGCTCGATTGACTATCGGATACCGTTCCCAGTGCCTCCAGGCGTATCTGTAACTCCGCGGATGCCAGTGGATCTCAAACTGGGTGGGATTGGTTATGATGCCCTAAAACGAGCCCTTGGCGGGTCTCTGAAACTGGACGCCGTGGCTAAGGTAGGCGTGCAGATTGAGCATTATAGAGATTGGGTGAAGTACCATGGCAAGGGCATCAAAGCGAAGGTAAAGCTATAGCATGATTCTTGGGCGACTGGAGTGGGTCGGTTGGGATAGTGGAGTTTGGATTCCGGAGTTTCTGACAGTCATAGAATGACCAAAATGGTGTTTTACACTGGACGGCTATTCAGCTTTGCAACATGGAAAAGTCACTGGCGCTGTGCCACTAAACTACCCATACCACGAGTACCAAAACTTCTTAGAATTATAAGCCGAACCCAAGCAAGTGGTGACGTGCCTCCGCCGCCAAGCGATCGCACACTTGCACTTCACACAATGACTCATGCTCACCTCTTGGGAAGATTCGCTCAACAGCCTTTAAAAGACTATTCGTGATCAGAACCCAGCTTGAGCGATTGTAAAGAGATTTACGAGGCGCGAAGTCGGAATTCAAATTAGAAAAAAAATACAAGCTGTTTTTCATTGTAGGATATTCAACTTTGGATATCAGAAGAAAAGAAACGTTTAACCAGGGGGGAGGGTGCTGGCATCGACAACATCGGCAGCATCCTTCTCGAGCTCCTCGGTAGGCTCAAAGAGAGGCGAACGGGGCAGAGCCATCAGACCGGTGCGAGTGGATTCAAGCACACCGAAGGGAGCGATGAGCTTCATGAAAGAGTCGATACGGGACGGCTTAGCAGAGCTATTTGTGTTTTAAGATCATCAAATTAGTTTTCAATCGTTTTTTCTTCCCATAGTTTGCATTAGAAATTAAAATGGAAAAATGACTCACACTTCGACGATGCAGTTGTTGGTGCTGATATCAAGCACCTTACCACCAAACTGATGAGTCAGGCGGGTAATGGCATCAAGATGCTCGTGCTTGTGGCGGAGGGCCTGACTCTGGGGCAGGTTGCGCGGATGGTACTCGGTCTTCGCGATCTGGTGCTTGGCGTCGTTCTGACCCTCTGCGGCGGCGGGCTCGCCGGGAGTGGTGATCTCGCGGTGGTGCTGGAGCAGCTCCTCGAAGAACTCGGGGCCCAGGATGCTGACCTTGGCGAGGAGGAGCTCACGCTGCACCAGCGCTGAGTCCGTGTAGTCCAGCACGGCCCAGACGGGGACGAGGTCGTCCAGCTGGCGGCGGGCCTGCTCAACGACGCCGTCCTGACCCTGCAGGACAATGGTCATGCGGGACAGATCCTCGACCTCGGTGTTGCAGACAACCAGACTGTCGATGTTAAAGCCGCGGGCCGCCAGAATCCCGGACACGCGGGACAGCACACCGGGTTCATTCTGCACCAGACAGTTCAGGATGTGGCGCTTGGGCGGGTTCGTGGGCACGCTCGGCGTCTCGTACAGGATGGACGAGACGGCCGTCGGGGCGTCCCATTGCGGGGAGGCATCGGAGACGGGCAGGGGGAGAGGCGAGCGACGGTGCAGCGCCTTGTAGGCGAGCGCGGAGGTGGAGCTGGATGAGGCTCGGACGAAGGAGGAGGTAGAGGAGGAGGAGGAGCTCGTGGTGAATCGGGGCAGGGTAGCGGCCAGGCGCGAGCTTCTGCTAGCGACCGCCAGGAAGGGCGTCGATGACGCTGTCACAGACAGCATCACGGGGCGCCGGAATGCCATAATCGCCGCAATGAGGGGCCTGAATCAAATGACAGGCTTCAAAGTGGAGGGCGAAGGATAGGGCAAAAAACCGGGGGAGCGTAAGTTAAGATTCGTTCGTAGTCATACGGATGGGGGCATTTTATGTCGAGGCCGCCTTCCGACCTCGGGGTTGCTGACTCAGTCCTCCGTTCGCCGGTCGTCCAGCCAAGCTAGTCCCGGTTCAGCTTAGCCAGCTGTCTTACTGCATTGGGATTAGCCTGCAGCCGCTGGCCCAGATTTCACCAGTCACATGATGACCAGTGGGCTCTCCTTCGATGAATGGATGCATCTTTCCGCTTCATACAATTTCTTAACTTATCTTTCCTCTTGGATCAGGTGGCTGATGATGGCTCTGGTTCATCGTCATTGATCTCTTGTGAGTGATATAACTGTGTTCAGCCTTTCCCTTTGTTTGCTGGTGATTTCCAGTGCCAACCTCTGGCTGTTCAAGCTTTTCATTATACCTGCTCTTTAAACTGTACTGACGCTAACTACTACTCCGGAGCACTAGACTAAACCACGGACTAGTTCCAAGGCACCCACCACTTTAGTGTCCACCAACTGAACGTTCTTCTGCACCTCCACCGCCTCGGGAAAGTCCTTTGCATCCAAGTCTCCGATATCCTTGCTTTGGGCCCTATTTGAGCCTTCTGCTCGCTGCCTTCCTCATTACTTTCTCGCCGCCTCTCTGCTACGTTCCCTGTCGAAGCCCTTTCCGCGTCGTTTTCCTGCCCACCTTCACACCTATTCACAATCATCATGGACGAACATCGCCCGAAACGTTCTCGCTTCGACCAAACCGAGCCTGATTCGCGGCGCCCGTCGCGCTTCGACCGTCGCTCTCGGTCTCCTTCGTCGCGACAAAGCGAATCTGCCCGAGCCCGCAGTCCCCTCAGTCGAGAGCCTCGCAGCCCTAGCGCAGACACTGCCAAAAAATCCGATCCTGCTGCAGCAGCCGGTAGGTTATCGAGTTGTATTCTGGCGGGATCGCACATTGCTGACATGGTTCGATCCAGCCGCCGCTGCGGCGAAAATCAACGCCCAACTGCAAGCGAAGAAAGGCATTCAGCATGTCGATGTCCCTCCGATTCGCTCGGTATGTCATCTCGGAGGCCCCGGTGATTGCAAGTCAGCACCAGAAAGAATCCCCATACTCACAAATGCTGTCTGCATAGTCCGGAAGTCCTATGCCCAAGTCCGGCTCACCCGCAGATGTCGATGCGTCCGGAAAGTTGAATGCCGAGATCTATGTCGCAGACGGAGATTATATTAAGGACATTGAGATCAATGATTTGCGCAACCGCTACACGCTGACCAAAGGCTCCACTCAGAAGATGGTAATTACTCCTATTGCATTTGCTGATCTTCCAGGCATCTTGCTCGCTGGCTCGCTGGCTGGCTCTTGGCTCACTAGCCGGCTGCCCTTTCTCCCCTGACCTTTGTTCCTCATATTTTTGTGATTGTGACTAAAACTTACCCAAGTCAACTGAACTCACACACAGCATCTCACTTCCCCTCTTTTGCATCTGCTGACCTCCACTGCGTGACATCTAGATCAAGGAAGAAACCGGCGCTGGTACGCCTCCATCTCATACTTTTATCAACTGTTGACTGCTTAAGAAGGAAGCTCATGATTGATTCTTGTCTCAAGATGTCACCACCCGAGGAAACTACTACCCCGATAAGAGTATGGCCACAGCCGCGGTATGCTTTGCCTCTATCCTGTCACGAGCGTCTGTTAGACGTTGAGATCTAACAACTTTGCGTCGCATAGAACCCTCCGCTATATCTCCACGTGACGAGCACGAACAAGGAAGGTCTCGAAAAGGCAGTTGCCCTGATTGAGGAGCTCATGCAGAAAGAGCTCCCCAACCTGGTCGATGAGCGGCGATTCCGCCGACGAGAGCCCGAGCCGGTCGAGCGTGACGAGTACGGTCGCGTAAGAGATTCATCCCACCCCCAGGCTCAGGCCTGCAGCTAATCATGTATAGCGTAAATGGCCCGAGGAGCGTATTCCGGTCGACCTCGAACCCATTCCAGGATTCAACCTCCGTGCCCAAGTCGTTGGCCAGGGCGGCGCATACGTCAAGCACATTCAGTCAAAGACTCGCTGCAAGGTCCAGATCAAGGGTCGTGGATCAGGATTCATGGAGCCCAGTACAGGCCGGGAGAGCGACGAGCCGATGTTTCTGCACGTGGCGTGAGTATTTTATAGCCCATCTCTTAAGCCCTTCATCATTGCTTACAGGCTGTACAGTGGCCCCGACCCCAATGATGTCCAGAGTGCAAAAGAGCTATGTGAGGACCTTCTTGCCAATGTTCGTGAGCAGTATCAGCGCTTCAAGGAGAACCCGCCCCAGCACGGTTATGGCGGCTACGGTGGACGGGGCGGCGACCGCTACCACTATGGCGGTGGTGGCGGTGGCGGAGGCTACGGTGGAGGCTATGGAAATCACCACCACAGTAGAGACAACAACAGCCATAACTCGCCGTCCGCATCTGCGAGCCCATCCACACAAGGTGCGCTAGGTGCGTCGGGAACTGGCACTCCTACCGCGGCGGACTACAGCGCCCAATATGCCCAGTATTATGGATCAGATCCGTATGCTGCCTACGGTGGGTATCAGAACTATGTCGCCTACTACCAGTACTATCAGCAGGCCGCCGCTCAGCAGCAACAGCAGCAGTCCCAGAGCCCTGCTCCTCCACCACCGCCCCCTGCGAGTGAGGCTCCTCCTCCCCCGCCGCCAGGTTCTGGCTCTCCCCCACCTCCGCCGCCAGGTGGCAGCTATAGCGCCGTAAGCTTATCTTCTCCGTGAACTGACAGAAGCTCTTGTGGCTGACTGACCATTCGTTCTACTGAAACAGGTTCCGCCTCCTCCAGGGTTGTAAAGATATAGCCACGCGCTCAAAAATATACCCATGACGGTACAGGAGGCATATCTAACCTATCATCCACGTATATTCTAAGAGCCAGACTGATTTTCACTACTGAAAAATGTGCAGTGAAGAAGCTACAGTTACTTATCTACTCACTTACCCGATCGGCCACCTGACTCTGAACCAAGCCTTTACCTGGCCTCTAACCGACTCACTTATCGCTTGGCTAGTATTTGTAGTATCTTGTTTGTGATTGACTGACTCACCACTTGACTTGCCCTGCTCTCATCACGGGTTCGGTGCGGTCGTCCAACGTGTGTAGAGCTCAAAAAACCGCCCCATGGAGGGGTTATCTGGTGCATAAATCATATCTTTCTGTTGACTTAGAAAAGCTTATCCTATATTGATCTCTAGCAATTATCGTCTTTTCCCTAGAAGTGATCCAGGATGGCATGGAATCGTATGTACTGTACAATGTGTGCTGTGCAAGAAATTCCTCGATTCCCCATGCGAAAAGGTGCAGTGGAAACCCGCCATTTGCTTTATGAAACATTAGATGCACTGATGGAGAGGGCGAAAATGTCTTGAAAGTTTGGTCCTTCCATGAAGCATAACGATAACCAGCATCCGCTTCTGCAATGTTGCTCCAGGCAATGGAGGGCTAGGACAGAAGTTAAGAGACCGCCTAATCTCGATACCCTGGAAACATCGCAGGGAACATCTTCTGCATGTACCAAGGGACATTCATATCAACAAAGTCGTCCGGATGGCTCTGAGGCGCCATTCTGGCCTTCCGTTTCGCGACCCCTTGCGATCCCTCCTTGCAGAAGTCGCACGCGAAGTCGCAAGGGGAAGTAGCGCAGCCGGGGCTCATTTGTGTCGACGCGGGGACCTGCGAACCCATCTTTTCGAGCTCGAGGTCGCCGAAGAAATCCTTGATCATCTCGTGTCTGCACCTGGATGTGGTCTCACAGTAGCCAATCACCTTCTGGAAACTAGCCAACCGGGCAAACTGGTTCTGCACGGTTGAGTTGGTTGTTCGGTTGTTGCTGCTGGTCTTCTGGTTGTTGTTGTTGCTGCTGCTGGTGGACCCGCCGGTGCGGTTATGGGCATTCTCGACATCGCGCTGCAGGCGGTCAAGGATTCGGTCCCGTTCTTGGGTATTGTAGTAGACGATCGAGGCTGCGGCGCGGCCGTCGCGACCGGCGCGCCCAGATTCCTGGACGAAGCCTTCGAAGCTGCGCGGGGGGGTCCAGTGGATGACAAACCGCACGTGCGGGCTATCGATCCCCATGCCGAAGGCGGTGGTCGCGACAATGATGTAAAAGGCTGCGCGGTTTGGTGTGTTTCCGGCATTATCATTACTGGCGATTTGGGAGATAGGCTTCGTGGATGTCCACTCAGACTGAATTCGGGTTCGATCTTCTGGAGAGAGACCCGCGTGGTAGGCTACAGCATGGATACGGCCGTCCCAAGCTTTTGAGAGGGCGCTCGCAAGCTTTTCAGAGATGGTTCTGAGGGGCACGTAGATGATTCCGGACACCGGCGGTAGCTTCGCAGTTTCTTCAGCGCCCAATCGCGCCTCTCTGCGGGTCTGCACGGACTGAAGCCATGCCACGAAGTCCCTAATCTGAAACAGTTCAGGCTCTGTCGGATCGCTGGCAAAATCGTCTAGGTACCGGACCTCGTAGTGGATATTTGGACGGGCGGAAGGAGTATTGAAAATCCTCAGCCGTAGCGGATCCAAACCTAAGAGCTTGATGATGTCCGCGCGGACACGGGGGGTTGCTGTCGCCGTTAGAGCACTAATCGGAACGGTTGGATTGGTCAGAGCTCGCCGAAACCAGCCGAGTTCCTTGTAGGCAGGCCGGAAGTCGTGGCCCCATTCGCTGATGCAATGGGCTTCGTCGATGGCTATGCGGATCAGCTCACCCTGCGAGTGAATGGTTTGAAGATTCCGCCGGAAGGTCTCTGTTTGGCAAAGTTCCGGCGTCACATAAAGAAGGCGAGTCCTAGGATGGCCGGACAAGAGGTCATCCAAGATGACTCGTCTTTCGGAGATCGGGGTGGTGGAGTTGATTGTCGCTACTGCGACTCCGAGTGCTTGCAGTGCCTTGACCTGGTCTGTCTAGATGCCGGATTAGATGAATGCCTGCGTGTGCGTTTACAGTAGCCGTCGAGTCTTACCATGAGCGCCAGCAGTGGACAGATCACGACAGTCACTGTAGGATGGCAGGGTCAGTCAGCCAGTGCCGCCCATCACGGAAGCAGTAGTAGCGAGAGTGGATGAGCCCACCTCCATGAGTGGTTACTGCTGGAAGCTGAAAGCACAGGCTCTTTCCGAACGACGTGTTTGCCTGTAGAAACACATCATGTCCCTCGACAGCGGCCGTGATTACATCGCGTTGCAGTGGCCTGTTCGGATTAGCGAGTCTATCATCTAGAATACAGGTGAAGAAGCATGAAGGATCGAAAGCTCCCGTTGCGCACCTGAAGGAGTTTTTCTGGAAGACACGGCGCAGATAAAAGTCCAGGTCCACTTTCCGGCGCTGCAGACCTCCACTGACCATATTCACGGCATCTCAATGGCAGAGGAAGATTGGGATTGAAGGTGGGATGGGACGAGAAGTGCTCACGAAGGCGCGGGGAGACGCGCCGAGGAAAGAAGAGCGAACACGATACCACGTGATATTGACGAAAAAGGAAGGAATTGATTATAGCACAAGAACACGCCCAAGATTGATTTCATCGCTATGTTCGCAACCAGTTTTACACCTGAGGGTATATCTATCTATCAGGTCTATATAATAATAATAATAATATACAAAGCACCCCAAGCCACAGCCCACCACCACGGTGAGTGAACAGATACATAAGCGAAAGGAACCAACAGATCAATCTAACGCCACCGGACGTTCTGCATCTGCTTCTCCAGTTCCTCCTTGACAGCCATGACATCCTGCGCCCTGCGCTTCCAGGGCTGCCAGAGGCGTTCCATCTGGAGCCATACTTCCATCGTTTCCCGCGGTCCGCAGCAACGCCCAAATCCGCGCAGGATGAGCACTATCATGCGACGACCAAGAAACACCCCGTTTTCGATTTGACGCTCTAATTCCTCCTCCGGAAATCCGGCGTCGAGCGCCTCGTGGATTTGCTTATTGATACCCCCACTAGGCTCGCCAATATCATTGGTTTCCGTATGCATGCCCTCCTCAGCAGAAGGCTCTCGTACGTTGGCGCGTGTTTTTATCAATGGGAGAGGGGTGTACAACCCGGTTGGCGCGGGCGGAACCGGGGGTTGTGCGAGGGGGACATAAGAGTCGAGCAATGGGTTCTCCCATGTAGGGCTTTTCTTTCCAGAATGCGGGTGACGCTCTTGTTCTGCCCGCGACTTGGATTCGTAAAGGGCTCGCAAATACGTCTTCCACGCCACTCGCAGTCTGTCCGCCGTCCAGCCCTCTCTGCGCCGCCCATGATGAGCAAACCCTTCGAAGAGAAACAAGTATATTAGTCCGCGCGGTGGTACTGCAAAAGCCTTCTCCATATCAGCGATAACAGACATCAACGCTTCAATGTCGCCTGTTTTGTGGGCGTACAAGGACAGCAGGATCCGGTATGTGCGGGTGTCGGGGGTGATGCCCACTGCTTCTTGAATAGTGCGATAGTGGCCTGGCAGGTGGTCCTTCAGAGAAGCGGAAACCTCTAGCAGGCGATTGAGTTTTTTAGATCTTTCTCGATAGTGCTTGAAGTCAGTGGATAAATTGCCGTAGATGGCATGAGTGCTTGCGCCCGCAGCCTGGTTCTTCATCATCTGCGCATAGATGGCCTCAGCCGCTTTCACATCTCCCGCGGAAATGAAGGAAGCCATCAGGCAATTCATTACGGCGGTGTCAATGATCTCACCGCTTGAGGTAAAGTCATCAAATGCTTGCCGGACGCCGTCAACGTCATGCTGTTGTCCATGACGATAGATTCTGGAAACTTTGCCGGTACGCCCAAATTGGAGTCCTCGCTCTTCCATTTCCGCCATGAGCCGATCCGCCACGGTGAACTGGCTGGCTTTGACGGCGATATCAAAGAGGATGGTGAATACAACCCCGTCTGACTTAACTCCGCCCCAATGCTCCATCTTCTGCCAGAGACCTATCGACCTTACTAAGTCTCTTTTGAACACTTTGCCCGAGGCCCGTCCTGCAAGATGGATAGCAGACGTCCATAAAGCGCGGGACACCTGGAGCTTGGCATCAACCATATCATCTAACAGCGCGAGGAATCGTCGCGCTTCCACCCACCGGCGATTGTCAGGGTTTGCAAACCGACGCAGCAGAGCACCGCGACAAGCTTTCGAGAGATGGGCAACTCCCGGATAAGGAAGGTCTCTGTAAAGTCTGAAAACGTACTGATTTGATTTGCTCTCGTCCCATATGGCGTCCCGCAGTCTCGCAATCGAATCGGATTCTTCAGCGTCGTGCGACTTGGCCTCCTTGATTGGCGTGATTGGCGTGGAATATGAGTCCATCTTTGTTTGGGTCCTGGCCACTAGATCTGCTGCCTGCTCCCAATCGAGTGAATCGTCGAATAATGTTTTGTAGAAATGCGACACGGACTCGTGAAGCGCTTTCGTCGGTGAAGTCCTCCCCTTGTAGCTATACTTTTTTGATCCTCGTTTCTCATCCGATTTTTGGACCGTAGTGTTGATCTTAGTAGCGTCACTGCGCGCGGGTTGATTGATCTCGCTCTCTGCCGATGTTCTCTTTTTGGTATGCGTGGTTTCGTGTTGCTTCAGTGAGCTTCTGTTGAGGTCCTCGTGGGCAGCGAGGTATCGTTCACCCGTGACATTTGGCCCCTGAGGTCGCGCGCAAGGGCCCTGCAAAGAGCTATTCGACCAAGGGCAGTCTTCGTCATTGTTTTCCTTTACCCTCAATGCGACGCCCGAATTAAACATCCGCTGTGTCCGTGATTGATGCAGGCGTTTGGGTGCCGAGGTCAGACTATCAAAATGATGTGTTGAAGGTCTTCTTCCAGTCTGTCTCGAGCGCCGGTCCTGCCAGCTGAGAATATTACCTCGGGAGGACTTTTGAGGCAATGTCGAAAATGCTCTGCCACGAGGCGAGTGTTCGCGGCAGTAACCAGCAATCACCAGGGAACCGACGAACACGTCAGCTATAGATGCTGCATTGAGGCGAGGACGTCTGGAAGCAAATCGTCTGAGGGAGGTATTATAGGAGCATGAATCGGGTTTTGACATGGAAGAATGGTGGAAGGACAAGCACGTATCCAATGGCTGCGAGAGAGGTCGCAGATTGGGCGAGCTGGAGAACCTAGTAGAAGGAGGCATGAGATGACAGACATTGTGGCATTGGATCAGCCATGCATATCCCGAGGAGGTCTCGAGCAGGAATGCCTAGGATGATTAGGTGGCCGGTATATCAATGCGACTTTTCCGGGGATGATTGGGAGGAACGCGGAGAGGTTGTGAAGCAAAAGAGGATGAAGGAGAATAGAGAGGGAAAAAGGAAAAAAGGAGAAGAGGAAGAGGGGAGAATAGAGAGGGAATAGAGTGATCTGTTGTTAGATGAGGAGGTCAGACCCAATCCAAGAAGCGAGTAGGAGGAGGAGGAGGAGGAGGAGGAGTAGCTCCGCGTTCAAATTATTATGATGGGCTTTTGCTGGTGGAAGTCACAGTCTCTGCCATTTGCTTCCAGGGCGGAGCCGGGGATAAGCCAATCGGAGACGGGCATTGGCAATCAGCGGCAGTCGCTGTTTTTCCACCTTCTCCCGCCCAAAACCTTTCCGGGTCCAGTTTCCATGGCGTCGTTGGCTCTGCTGTCACTCACCTAGATTTCATCAACGATCACTTGACTAACTCTAACTGATCGATTATACCCAACGGCTATCGCTTCCTTCTCATAAGATACTGCACGGTCTCCTGATCCTCCTCCGCCGACGCCGCCGCCCTCCTCCCAGTGTACAATGGGCAAATACAACCTCACAGCGCTTCGCGTGCGCGAAAAAGCTCTTCTGTCAAAGGCCACGCAACAGATCAGTGTACTCCCCGTCTGGGCTGATGTGGTCGGCGACATTCCTCCCGCTCAAGTCCTTGTCCGAAACCAGGCACATCAACATCAACTCATCCGCCAGCGTGTGAAGCAAGTGGGGGGAAAGAATGAGGTGATCTACAAGGTTCAAGAGAAGAAAGTCAAGTCGAAGAAGGCGAGCCGCGTGTTCCTGCCTACCGAGATTAAGTACGAGGAGGATCAGCTGCGTAAAGAATTCTTCAAGGACCATCCTTGGGAATTGGCAAGACCTCGAGTCCTCGTTGAAACTACGGGCAAGGACGGTTTGAAGTATGACTGGAAAAAGCTTCAGCAGCCAGGGAAGAGGCTGGATGGTGAAAGGTATGCTACCGCAATTGGCAATTATGCGCAGGTTGTCCCTGCTCATGGCCTCTTGGTGCATTGCTAACATGAGTTGCTTGCGTGTTTAGTGTTGTTCAGCGCCAACTATGGCTCCTGAACAATGTCCCTAATATGACCAAGAGCCAATCGTACGATATCGCACGTCGCGAATTCTATAAACTCCGTCTGCGGGAAGATATCGAACGACGAGTTGCGGCAGAAGAAGCCGAGGCTACTGGCGCTACTTTCGGACCTTCCTACTTAGATATCGGTATGAACCTCGAGAACCAGGAGTATGAGCGCTGGAAGACTTGGGCCAAGAATGAAGCCCAGATGCTGGCTTCGAGACGCGCATCGATTGTTGGTCCTTCCCTGCCGGATAGTGAAGAACAAGCTCTGGGCGCGGAGGAGGACTCTGGGGAACTTCACCTCGAGTAGATGAGTCGTTGGTAGACATGAGATGCATTTGGCGTGGTGACTCTGCTGAATATGCCATGTACAGTGGCCGCGGGTAGTAGTGATGGTCAGCGTTACTGGGCTTATGTATGTACAATACGGAACTGTTGATATCTCTGGGTTCATTTTGCTTGCAATATTATTTCTACGCCTTTTTATTTTTATTTCATATTTTATGTTTCGTTCCCTCTTTTTTTCCGTTACGCTATCCGGGCATGGAATCCGAATATCATCATCGCGTCTTCTAAGTTTCGTGTTGGTGGGAAACCTGGAAAAGATCAAACAATAGCAGTGTTTCAGATGTGTTCAGGTGTGGCTGCCGGGCACTTTGTAGGGGGGAAGGAAGGGACCAATCAACCATTGGGCCAGACACTGACTAAAAAGTACTTACTTTTAGTTATCGCCCCGTCCGTCTCTTCCACTGACAACGGAGTACTACCTCATGTCCATGTCAATCAATTAATAT